AATGCAAACCAAAATTAGCAGCCGAAAAAAAGTTGCATGATGTGAGATCCACTTAATTATTCATGAAAAACAATTCTCGAGGTGGGAAAAATTGGAGAGTCCAAGTTCGAGGAATCCCCCTTTTTCTCCTTTTTTGGGCTGATCAAGAACTTATTTTCATTCTATTTTGCGAAAAAACTTCCGTTTTACAACGGACTAAGTAGTTGAGTGAATTCGACGTTGAAATTTTTTCGTTTTTTGGCGATTCTTGGAAAAGGGAAAAAGAAATATTGTAGGCTTACAAAGTCGTAGGAACGGACCAAATAGAATCAGCTTTTTATTGATTTGATTACCATGATATTCTAAATCATATTTCGTTTTTGTTTTTTATTAAATTTTAGACTACTCTAATGTCATTTCGCTGCAGGGAAAACGAGTTTTTTTCTTTCGGCCTGGTGGTAGAATTAACAAGGGAAATTCTCCAAGTGCAACGCGTAGGTTTTGATGAAACTTGGCACAAATTTATTTTTCCAGATAAATCATCTGACAGGGGAAGTACTCCAAGTGCGACTAAGCATGGCTGCAAACCGGGCCAGCCCGGCCCGGGCCAGCCCGGCCCGGCCCAGCCCGGGCCGCAGGCCCGGGCTTAAATCTCCAAGCCCGGCCCGGGCCCGGGCTTGGAAAATTTGGAAAGCCCGGCCCGGTTCGGCCCGGAAAATTTTTATACTAGGTTGGAAAGAAAGAAAGCGGGAAATGAAAGGAAAATTATGGCAAAATGTAAAGAAAAATTTAGCAAAACCTAGGTACATAAGGTCACTTTACGTTCGCTATCAGCAGTGTGTCCGAAAAAATGAAAAATTCTGTCGAAAAAGCTTATTTTTTCCTTTTTTCCGGGCAAAAGTCAGATTTCAAAAAAACCGGGCCGGCCCGGGCCGGGCCTAAAAAAAGAAGCCCGGAGGCGGGCCGAGAAATTAGTCGGCCCGGCACGGGCCGGAAAATTTTGCAAAGCCCGGCCCGGAGCCATGCCTAAGTGCGACGCTTAGATTTTCTTTAGATTTTGCACACATGTCGGGCATTGACTAAATATCAATTCCTGAAAGTTTTAGCTCGCGCTTTGCGAGCGCCGCCGAGATATTGAACGATTTTTGCCGCCGAGAGAGCACGCTAAACGCGGAGAGCGGTCAGAGAGAAAAACGCTTTCTGGCCATTACTTTGACAGTTTCGTCCGGAAAAATTTGATTTTTTGTAGAAACATTATCCTTTACGGTAGAAATAGGCATGAAACTTTTCGTGCCGAAATTCGGCAAAAAGTCCTAAATTTTCGCCGACTTTCGATCTAAAAATCTCGGTTGTGCGCGAGCTAGGATTCTCGCATATATCTTAGAAAAAATTATTCTAAATTTGTGCCAAGTTTCATCCAAATCTGAGCGTCGCACTTGGAATACTTCCCCTGTGAATTAAAAATTTAAAATTTTTCAAAAAAAATTTTTTTTTTGCCTTGGTCCCCCCTTACCTCCGATTTTTAGCCATTACCCAAAAAATTTTTTTTTAATTTGACCTATGAATTTTGATAAAACTTGGCACAAATTTTAGAGAAGAATTTGTCAAAAAGATGTCTGAAAATTCTAGCTCAAAATCATCTCGCGTTTTGCAGAAATAACGTCCAAAAATTTTTTTGCGATTTTCAGATCGGCAATTTTAACATTTGTTATAAACGAGGTAAATAACATTTCTGCAAAGTTCCATATTTTTCCGAGCTCAATCCGCTATAATATATCGCTAAAAAGTATTTTTTCCCTGACCGTCTCTCCTCATTTTCCATGATCTCTCACTCACAAAAATCGTTGAATATCTCGGCTGCCCCTATAAGGCGTGGGCTGAAATTTTCAAGGATTTATTTATGAGCCATATAGAGCTTCTATGCCAAATTTGAAGAAAATCCGAGAGGTGGACTTTGAGCAGTTGAACATGATATTATTTTAGATAGAGGTCAAAAAACTGACTTTTATTTGGGTCTATGTTTTTCGCATAGAAATAAAAATGCTTTTTCTTAGAAAACTTATTTTTAGAAAAAATAATTTTTTTCATAGAAAAAAAACATTTTTATTTTAGAAAAGAATGGTTTTTTCTTAGAAAGTGCAATTTTTAGTAAATTTGTGTAAAATAATAACAAAAATTGATTTTAAACAGTAACTAGTAGTGAATTTTATTAAGTAGTGGGGTAAAATAGTAAGAGTAGTTACTTTTTGAGTGAACATTGGAGGCTGGGGTATTCGATGGTGCTGATTTCGAAAACATAGTTCGTTTTTTGTGATTTTGACTTTTTTCTTAAGTAGTACTGTAAGTTAGTAGCAATTTTGATTTTTTTCTTAATTGTTGAATTGGTTAATTGAATATTCTTTCTGGTTCGTCGGAATTTGTCTGAAGTTATATAAGGGTTAACTCAAGGATGAGCAAGAAATCTTTTTCAATCGACATTGACGGCATAAACAATACAAATCGTTACTAACTTACAGTACTACTTAAGAGAAAAAGTCAAAATCACAAAAAACGGACTTTGTTTTCGAAATCAGCACCATCGAATACCCTATTCCCCAATATTCACTCAAAAAGTAACTACTCTTACTATTTTACCCTACTACTTAACGAAATTCACTACTTGTTACTGTTTAAAATCAATTTTTGTTATTATTATACACAAATTTACTAAAAATTACACTTTCTAGGGAAAAACCATTTTTTTCTAAAATAAAAATGTTTTTTTCTATGAAAAAAATCATTTTTTCTAAAAATAAGTTTTCTAAGAAAAAGCATTTTTATTTCTATACGAAAAACATTTTCCCCTTTTATTTTTGTTTTCTGACCACGGCATACTGTAAAATAACTTTCTTACGTCCCAAAAAGCCCTCAGATCACATTTGAGCCACTCGTTATACCGTAAAAAATATCTTGCCTCGTTTTTTTATATTATATTATACTAGACACCCATTTGCAAACCAAAGACCAGCCGATTAGATAGTCATGAACAAAAGGACAGGGTTGACATGACATTCGAAAGGTCACAATGCAACTAGTGGAAGGGACTAATAAAGTTCAGCTTTGTACACAATTTTTCAAGCTCCAATTGGTCCGAAATAAGTCCAAAGTGCTGGGCCAAAGCGTACGAAAAATTGATTAAAAATTGAAAAAATTGGAGTTGTGGTGGGAATTTTTTTTGGTTTTTTTTTTTGCAATTTTTCGATTTTTTCGAATTAAAAAACAAAAAAAAACGTGATTTTTTCGCGATTTTTTTTGTCATTTTTATTTATTTTTTCTCCGATTTTTTTTTAATTTTTTTAAATTTTCTATGAAAATGTTTTTTATTTTTCCCAAAAATCTCATAGTACAGAGCTGTAAAAGTATAAAAATCTAAGGGCATACCTCCTCAAAGCCCTTTTACGACGCAATACAATGTTCTATACGATCACGACTACTTTGGCTAATGACTTTTGGCCTTCTGCTAAGCCATAATCCCGTCGACAATAACCGGCTTAAAACAATGGCTTCGGATTAGCGTACGGTATAAAAGATGGCACATGGAAACGCAGGGGGGACACTCTTATATGCGTACGAGAGAAGAGCAGTGCGAAAAATTTGGGTGAAAAAATTTAATTGATGTTTTTTCGAGAAAAAAATTTGTTGGGGGAGATTTTGATGAAAATTGGGACAATTTTAGATGCTTTTTAACTCGCGCTTTGCAGAAACTATTGAGATTTTTGGATCCAAAAATAGATTTTTTTTCTGTTAGAAAATTTCAAGGTTTATTATAAATGAGGTAAATAATTTTTCTACAAAATCTACTCTTTTTCCGAGCGCAATCCGCAAAGATACGTCCAAAAAAAGTATTTTTTCTCTAACCGTCTCTCCTCCTTTCCATAGTCTCTCGTACGCAAACATCGTAGAATATCTCGGCTGAGCCTGCAAAGTATGAGCTAAAATTCTGAGGGATTACAGTATAGCCTATATACAGCGTCTATGCCAAGTTTGAAGCAAATGGGAGAGCTGGACTTGCAGTACTGGACTTTATATTATTTTAGATGGACGTCCAAAAAATTCATTTTTATATCGTCTTAAAGACGTCATAGATTGTTAAAATCAATCTTTCTAGGCTTATTACGTATCTCTGTGTATCTCTGCGTCATATCCGACCGCATAATACATAGGTTCATATTAATTTTACCTCCTTTTTTGGACCTTACACTAGCTCGCTCAAAAATATTGCGCAAGTCGATAAATCTCGATAATTTACACTCTATTTTCGTCTTCGAGCCGCCACAACGAACCTCTTCTGTTGTGTGAAGTCAAAATTTATGAATCTCTTCGGGCTAAATAATGTAATTTACCCTTCACATCTCCTTTTTGCCAATTCCTCATATAAATTCGGGTGTTCCGAGCTCAAAAGTCAGTTCCTACGGGGTGTTTTGATGTTGTTTTGTTGTAAATGGGACGGTAATTGAATGGAGGGTTTCAGATAAAGGGTTCGGAGAAATTTTTAACGTTTTTGTATATTATTTTAGTTTTTTAGCCTGAAATTACAAAGGAATAGTAAAAAAGTAAACTTTACTTGCCTTTTAAAAAGTCCACAATGTCGAAAATGCTCTATAAAGGCTGCATTTCACAGTATGAACTTACAAAAGCCGGAATTTCTTTCAAAATCTCGACTTCTGAAAATTCGCCAGGGCGCAGCTCGCGGGAATCAAATTTTGTCAAAACCGTAAATTTGATCTTGTACTTGATCTTTCAGCTATTTCATGGTCTCAAATAGACCATTTCCCTCCTTTATTGCCTCATATTATCCGCACTTTTTGCAATGCGCAACAAACCCCGGTCCATTATTCATGAATAATATAAGATTTTGCACCTCAACTCGTTTTACCACGGCCGCGAACGCTCATGAAATATTCATGGCACGCGAAAACCCCCTCGAGCACCACACTTGGCCCTTCGTGTTACTGCCCCGCTTCATACAGTAATTTACAGGCATGTCGGGCGTGGTGGAGCCGCTGTGGATTCGGCCGGAATCGGCGCAAAAAGAACACATCGAAGAGGAGAAGATGCAGCGATTGGAGTGCGAGGCCGCGAACAAGATTCTGGGACAAGGAGTTGAGGTGAGCAAAGCTGTTTTGATGCGTTTTGTTCAGTTTTTTTAGAAAATTTGAGATCAGTTATATTGCACTAGATAAATTGATGAATTTTGAATAGAATTTTGAGCGAATACAAGAGTCTATGGTATTTTTAGGTCCGTCGGATTGCTGGTGGAGTGGTTTCGAAGCCGGCAGTGCTCTGTGTTCATGACGGCAAAATTCTGACCTATCCAAGTACAAGTTGTTTTGTCTTGCGATCGCTCCGGGTAAAGCTCTCAACTCCCATAAAAACCAGTAAGTTTTGGTCTGAAAAGTATTTTGTTACAATTTTAGACCCCTGAAGCAGGTAAAAATTCAAATTTCAGTGGAACTAAATCGACTTCTCGAGGTTCGGCAAGGTTATCATAGTGATGGTCTGCATCGTGCCTCAAAGAAGCCGAATTTCCGCAAAGACGCACCTGTAAGTCGTTGAATTTTTGCTTGTTGATTTACGACATGGTATATTACGATATTTTTTACAGGAGAAACGCTGTTTTTCACTCATCGCAAAGCACCAAAGGAATTCCGTAAAAGCCATCGACTTCCTTGCGGACAATCAAAACGAACTCGAAACCTGGATCGATGCGTTGAAGATTGTGCTCAAGCATTTGGTGGAGAATTGCGTCACATTTGACGAGAAGATTTGGTTGATGAAACATTTCCGGAAAGCCGACATCGACAAGAATGGCGCGTTGGCCTTCAATGAGCTGTGGATGCTGCTGAAACAGCTGAATTCACAGATGAATGAGGTCCATGTGAGGTGTTTGTTTAATGTAAGTGAAGGTTATGGTCTTATAGTTCGTTGAAAGTTGATTTGAAGGATGTGGGGTACAATTTGGGGAAACGGGAGATTAAATATTGATTTAGTGGGGCAAGTGTAATATAGAGGATAGAAGAAGTCTTTAGAGATCTTCTTCAATGCCTTTGATTAAATTTAATCATTGGGAATGATCTGTAAGGGCTTGGCGTTCAATTTTAAAGCTCAGGGGTAGAAATTAAAAAAACAGGAGATCAAATATTGATTTAGGTGGGCATCTTTAATATCTAAAATAAAGTCGATCTTAATGAGGTTGCTATTAGCTGAAAATCGAAGGTTAGGAGTTTCAAATAGTCAAGGTTTAATGTGTGTGACTCCTGGGTAAAGTTTGAACAAACGCGGTCCAACGTTGATGTCAACAGGGCAAGTGCAATATCAATCAAAATAGCATGCAGAAGGCTGATATTTTCCAGTCTAAATGTGGAGTTAGGTTCTGTAAGGGCTCTAGATTGAAGCTATAAGACATGCGACATCTATTTGTTTTGGTTCGATGTCTTTTTGTAAATCTTTGGTAAGGTGGACACCAGGCAAAATTTTGATGACACAACCCTAAATTTAGAGTCAAATTTAGTTTCCTCTGGACCCTTTAATGCCTTTTCTATAAAATAAACCAGTTTATTACAGTGGTGGACCTGATCCAATGACAAAAAACGTACCATTTTGCATCCGGGAAGTATCAAAAATGTGACAAAATGCTTCCCTCTCCAGGTGAAAACACTCCGATTTCAAAAGCGCGCCCGCTCTTTTTGTGAGAGAAATTTGAAGGCGCTCTTCAAAACGAAGTTTTTTCGCTTGGAGAAGGAAGCATTTTGCCACATTTTTGATGCTTCCCGGATCTAAAATGGTATGTCTTTTGCCACTGGATCGGGTCCGTCACTGTATGTCTCGACCTGTAATCCCATGCCCCATATAAGTATCTTCCTTGTTGTAAGTATTGCTCTGCCTGTCTTTCACACGCAAGATCACGTCATTATTCTACAATTTCCTTTCAGAAAATCCTCGAAAAACACAACAAATCGAAGGCTCAATTGGAGTTGAATGAGTTTCTGGAGCTCTTCCGATTACTCACCACTTCCGAAGAGCTGAAACACGCCTTGAGGGAGAATTCGGAGAAATCCGAGGAATTCATGGACTCCAGAGACTTGTGTAAATTCCTCCGTGACGTGCAAGGATTCGAAGATGTGGATTGGCAGACCGCAACAGACCTCATAAAACAGATGGAAATCCATTCAAAAAATCCCAATCGCAATAGTCCGGTGAAAATGAATGGTCAATTAGTCCTTACGGCGAATGGTAAGAGCTTTTTACTGCATTTTCGACCTTTAAATTTGCTAAAAATTGACTTAAACAGAGTTTTTTTTGAGAATTTTGCCTAGTACAATATAAAAATTTTCGATTTTCATTATATTTTTTGTATTTTAGGGTTTCGCCGACTCCTTCAAAGCAAATATGGCTCGATTTACAAGCCGAATCATCAGCATATATATCAGGATATGACTCAACCGTTGTGCAATTACTATATTTATAGTAGTCATAACACCTACCTAACCGGCCTTCAATTGAGTGGTCGAGCGACGGTTGAAGGGTACATTTCGGCGTTGAAGGCTGGTGCAAGACTCTTGGAATGTGAGTTTTGAGAATTTTCGGTAGTTTTTTTGGGTTGGGTTACTTTTTTGACTAGTGCAATATATTAGCAAGTGTAAGGTAAATTTTGCTAAAATTACTGTTGATTTTAAGATAGAAAAGGTTATTGAAGCGTTGTAACGGATATTTTCGTCTTTTGGGATCTTTGAAATAGGAATTTTGAACTTTTTTTGGCGTTTTTATATCAGCATGGGTAGTATAATATAAACTTGGTCATAATTTTTAGTTTGTCATGCGTAAGCTTGGTCGTATAGCTTTGTTAGACCCCAGACTGCTTATTTTATTGAGTGAAAGCGAATTTACGATAATTTTTGGGGTCTAGACGTACCGAACTACCTAGTTTAATATAAGTTTTATCTACAGTGGCAGACCTGATCCAGGGGCAAAAAAACGTACCATTTTGCATCCGGGAAGTATCGAAAAATGTATCAAAATACCTCCCTCTCCAAGGGAAAAAACTCCGATTTCAAAAGCGCGTCCGCTTTTTTTGTGAGGGAAAGGCCCTTCAAACGGAGTTTTTTAGTTGGAAAGGGAGGCATTTTGCTACATTTTTTGATACTTTCCGGATGCAAAATGGTACGTTTTTTGCCACTAGATGAGGTCTGCCACAGTAGATAAAAATTATATTAAACTAGGTAATTCTTTACATCTAACCCAAAAATTATCGTAAATTCCTTTTCACTCAATAAAATGAGCAATCTATGATCTAAAAAAGCTATACGGCCGAGCTTACGCAAGACAAACGAAAAATTATGAGAAAATTTATATTACACTACCTATGCTGATATAAAAACCCCCAAAAAAAGTTTAAAATTCCTATTTCAAAGATCGCAAAAGCCGAAAATATCCGTTACAACGCTTTAATAACCTTTTCTAACTTTAAATCAACACTAATTTTAGCAAAGTTTACCTTACACTTGCCAATATTGCACTAGTGAAAAAAGTAACCCAAACCAAAAAAACTCATGAAAAACTAAAAAAGTCACTGTAATTTTCCAAATTTCAGTGGACATTTTTGATGGTGAAGATGGAGAACCCAAAATCACTCACAAACGAACCCTCATCACCGCCATTGGATTGCGCAACGCCCTCACTTACATCAAACGTTACGCATTTGAGAAGTCGCCCTACCCGATTATACTAACCCTGGAGAATCATGTGTCATACGACCAACAAAAGACCATGGCCCAAATTTTTGAGGAAATCCTAGCCGATATGCTCTACATCCCAACCCCCGAGACCGTCGACGGCCCGATCCCATCGCCAGAACAACTGAAATTTAAGATTTTGTTGAGAGGAAAAGTGACTCAAGGCATTTTCGAGGCGGATGATGAGGACAGCAATGAAGATGAGAAGAAAAAACTGGAAGCGAAGAGCAGCGGAGTGAAAGAGACCCATCCCGCAATGAATCGGATCATCGCATTGCCAACTGTGCCGCTGAAGAAACACTTTGTGGAGAATATTATTCATGACCGTAAGTAAAAATTTGGTTGTTGTGAGTGAAAATGAAGAATATTTGGGAGTAAGAGGGATGATATAGGAACTAGAGAGTTGTCTGAGCTTGTATGGGGATGGTAACGTCTGGGAAGAAAGAATTTTTACAATTTTTTGGAGTTTGTAAACTATGTTACACTAGGCAAATTTTAGTCAAAAAAGTTTAAAAAATAGTGTTAGTTCTACATTTCAGCGGTAGATAAAGGTAGTATGGGCCAAGATAGGTCATATATAGAGGTTAGAATAAAGAATCTGGTGAAATTTTTGTATTAATTTATATTGCACTAGGTACTTTTAATGAAAAACATTCAAAAATAAGATGATTTTCGGCTTTTTGTGGCGGAACAAAGTAGTATATGTCAAGAATTACTGTTTTATGGTACGGTGGATGAAAAAATTGACAAAATTTGAGGTCAATGATATTATACTTGATATTAAATTTGATCACCCGGTTGCAAAAGTTTAGCCGATTTTTTTGTATAATTTTTTAGTTAACGATCCTAGATGACAATTAGAAGATTTTGAACGATCTTTTGAGTATTTTTTATAATCCAAAAAATTTTTAGACGCCTCTCATTCCTCGGCGTCTCTCGGTGAATCCGTCGTTGATTGGTTCGCCACTCAGAGCTCACTCATCCACAAATACACTCAAAAACACATGGTAAAGAGCTATCCGCATGGTATTCGACAGGACTCTTCCAATATGCACCCGTTAAACTCGTGGCTTTGTGGAGTCCAATGTGTTGCGATGAATCTGCAGACAGAAGGAGAAGAAACCGACCTCAACGTCGGTCTTTTCACTGTAAATGGAATGTGCGGCTACTACCTGAAGCCGGAGATTCTTAGACTCGGTTTGAACCCCATTGAAGTGGGCAGAACGACAGAGAAATGGATGAGAATGCGGATCAAGGTGATCAGCGGACAATATTTGCCCAATGCAGATCCATCCGATGATATCATTGATCCGTATGTGTGCCTACAGGTGATTGGAATCCCTGCAGACACGAACAAGTGCAGAACGAAAGCTTTGAGAGACAATGGTAAGGAGATTTTCAAAAATTTTGGGATTATTCGGGGAAAATGTGGGTTTTTGAAGGAAAATCTAAAAAATAGGTAATTGTGACGCCGTTTTATTATTTGAAATTGATGTTGATTGGTGTAAAATGGCTTGAACTTTAATGATGCAGATTTTGAGAAATTTTGGATTTGTAAATTACGAGTTATAGGCCTTTTTTTGGTCGAAAAATTGGATTTTTTACGGATTTTGGGGGAATTTTTGATTTTCAAGATTTTTTAACGAGGGTTTGGTATTCAAAATGAAGTTAGATAGTAGCTGAAGTAGTAACACTCCCATTTCAGGCTTCAATCCTGTCTGGAACGAGGAATTTTCCTTCCAAATCACCTCGCCCGACGTCGCTTTCCTCCGATTTGTGGTCATGGACTTTGACACCACCTCGGCGGACGACTTTGTCGGCGAATTCACAATCCCCGTGACGAGCATCCGGCCCGGCTACTCGTTTGTCCGCCTCCGCACCTTCCAACGCTCCCCCGACGAAGCGGCCAGCCTTTTCGTTCATATCGACATCTCCGATGAATACTAACTTAATCTTGTTGAATTTTAAACCGGTAACCCCTTGTAAATATGTGATAAATAAAATTATTTTGTTGAAAAAACTGTAAGATGGAAGTGGGAGCAAGAAAAATCAATAAAATTGTAACATTGCCAATATAAAGGTTTCATCGTATAAAATGTCGTCAATTTCGTCATTCTACAAATCTTCGTAGAATTCTCGATCACATTGTTCTCTCTCAAATGGTTGTCCACGTGTAGATCAGTACATTCGTCAAGTTTTCTAACAAAATTGTGTCCAAAAGAGGTTGATTATCAGAATGGACAAGGAGGTGATAAAATATCGTAAGTTTCTTTATTTTTTCCTTGTGTTTTAGGTGTAAAACGGTACAAACCGCTAGAATAGAGAGTTTTGAACGTTCGGGAACAAAATTTTCTTTTGATTGGGACCAAATTATGCTTGCTCCAACCTTTTTTTAAAGAATTTTGGATATATTTTTATATTATCCATTGTAAAATTGTTCTCAGGTATTCGCGAGGCTTGGATAGCATTCTCTGATGCCAAATTCAGTACGCCAATTGATAATGTAACAAATCGTCTGATTTCGGAGTTTGTCTTTCAAATGATCGACCGGCTGATGGAGTTCACAGGAACAGATGTTTTCCTGAAGAAGGCGGAAGAACTACACGAGTATGCAATGTTGCGAAAGGAGGAACTTGCTCTGGCCATTCGACCACGCGACGTAGAGAGATTCCAGCAGTATATTGATTATGTAAGAGGAGTGTTTACCTAATTTTACATCTGGCCTCATGGATAATATAAAAACCGTTTTAGTTGAAGAAATCAGACTTTGAGAGGTATAATGAGCCAAAGTTTGAGCATGGACTACCGTTTATTTTGACTGTGGAAGAGATAAAACGGCTGAATGATAACATGAAACGTCAAGTTGAAGATCCGGTATGTGCAATATTTTTTTTGTTTCGCATGCTTTAGGCTGAGACTGAAGCAAGACACCAAAAAATTCGAGCGCTGCCGGACAGTTACGATGAGCTGTATGATGGAGGAGTCCCAGCACCTCGTTTTCCCTCATCGTCGCGGCATGTTGAATATGAATCGAAAGCCGAGGCGATCAAGAGCGGATTCCTGTCGAAGCTCGAATTTTTTCCTTCCAATCCAAGAACAGCTCATTTCCCGCCTGTGAATTCAGCGGTAAGAGGATTTTTGATTTGTTTTTTGTTAGTTTAGGTCCAAAGCCACATTGTTTCATATCGACCAAATTTTTTTGGGTGTTCAGGTGTCGAAGACAGCCGAAAGTCATTCGAGCTCGGCAAAGTTGAACCCTCCGTTGTTTCGGCCAGCAAATATGATAAGTTCCGCGACTTCCGCTCCTTCTGGATCAGGTTTTGGGAGTATGGGTAACAAAGCCAAAGAGAAGATCCAGAACAGTTCGAAAGAGGCCTCCCCAATTCCTGTGGATGAGACTTGGGAGAAGACGTCAACTGACAACTTTAGTAGTGAAAGTCTGCGAGAAAAAACGGCGGAGGAACGAGCTATGGACCGGCCCAGCAGGACCATGGATAATATCGAAATTCCCCGAGATTTTCGAGGAAGATCGGTCGATTCAAACGCCGAAAGAGGTCTTGTGAATTCCATGGCTGGCCTTCATATTTCGCGAGACAGTCGTGGGAAATCAGTGGACCGAAGCAGCCAATTGAGCAGGTCAAGTGTCATGGATAAGATCAGAAAAATCTGCGACGAAGTTGAGAAGAAAGCAGTGGAACTGGAGAAGTTAAGAGCTGGACAGACTGTGGATACTTTGAAGCATTCATGTCACCATTCTCGAGGGGAAATGATCGATTTGAAAGGCCCAGAAGTTCAGAAGACCAAGGAGAATATCGACTGGAAGGCACAAAATTCCGATGGGAAATTTTCGATGGCCGAGAGCGTGCAGGACATTGGTAGACATCAGGAGGCTTTGGCAGACATCAGGAAGCAATATGAAGAATATTTGAAGACATTGGGGAAGAAAAAAGACCAAAGGACCAAGGATAATATAAAAATTTCTCAGAACTCCACGGAAAACCTTGGAGAAGTGCAAGCACAGAATAAAAGAAGACCTGTGAGAGTTATCAGACAGAATTATAGCGAGCGGCGAGAGAAATCGGAAGATTCATACGGTCAATTAACAGGGGAAGTACTTCAAGTGTGACGCTCAGATTTTCTTTAAATTTTGCACACACATCGGGTATGGACTAAATATCAATTCCTGAAAGTTTTAGCTCGCGCTTTGCGGGCGCCGCCGAGATATTGAACGATTTTTGCCGCCGAGAGAGCACGCTCAACGTGGAGAGCGGTCAGAGAGAAAACACCTTTTTGGCCATAACTTTGGCAGTTTCGTGCGGAAAAATTTGATTTTTTGTAGAAACATTATTCTTTACGGTTGAAATAGGCATGAAACTTTTCGTGCCGAAATTCGGCAAAAAGTCCCAAATTTTGGCCGACTTTCGATCTAAAAATCTCGGTTGTTTCTGCAAAGCGCGAGCTAGGATTCCCGCATATATCTTAGAAAAAATTATTCTAAATTTGTGCCAAGTTTCATCAAAATCTGAGCGTCACACTTCAAGTACTTCCCTTGTAAGCAGAAGAGCCATGGATAAGATGGACTCAAAATATCAAAGTTCCGGGAAGAAATCAGCCCTGGATGAAAGCATGTACGAAGGACCGACCTTGCAAGCCATGAGGAAGCGATATGCAGCGGAATTGGAGAGTTCGGAAAGTGAAGAGGAACGGGAAAAGGTAGGGACCAAGGATAATATCGGAAGTTCTCACAAGGAAAGTACTTCTATGTGGTCTGGAGTTACAGATCGGGACATATATAAAAAAATTTGCAAAATTTTTCTGATTCAGAATATGTATAAATTAGCTGCCAAATTTTGGTTTGTAACGGTGAAAAGGCCCTCAGAACTTTTCTCGCAATACCACGCAAATGCCCCTTTTTTTACATTGGAACTATTAATTAAGGTGCAGTATTAATCAAATTTGATATTTTAAGGCTTGTCAAGGTGCCAGGGTTTACATTAGCTCAAAATAAAGCTTTTGGTTTGATAAAGACTTGGTCAAAAAGGCATTGTTTTGAGCTAAGGTAAACCCTGACATCTTGACAAGCCTTAGAATGTCAAATTTGATTAATACTACACCTTAATTAGTAGTTCAAATGTAAAAAAGAGGCATTTGCATGGTGTTGCGAGAAAAGTTCTGAGGGGTTTTTCGCCCTTACAAACCAAAATTGAGCAGCTGATTTTTACATATTCTGAATCAGAAAATTTTGCGATTTTTTTGATATATGTCTCGACCTGTAACTCCATACCTCGTAAAAGTACTTTCCTTCTCAGGAATCGTTGCTAAAGGCTGGAGAAGGACGAGAAAGGAGTCGAAGACGATCCATGAGAGTAATCCGGCAAAATTATGAAGATTCGACGCAGAAATTGCGGCAGCAAGGAAGTCAAAATGTTAAGAATAATAGCACCTTGGATCGTAAAATTCAGCAAAGAAGTCAAAGCGCTTATGAGGTCAGATGCAATAAGGCCGCGGAATGGGTCGATAAATCGAGTGCATTCTTTGACAGCACTGTTGGAATCTCGGCCAAGTCGAATATCCCGAAAGAACTAAATGAATACGATCTGAGTGAATGGGACACCCTGAACTCGGTCGAGAACTCGTTCAACAACGAGAAGAAACGGTTTGAAGGCTGGGTAAAAGAGGAATCCGGAGCCGGCGAGAAGAAGGCAGAAAAAAAGGAGGAAAAAAATATGGAGATCCAGGTTCAGAAGCCGGGCCTCAAAGTGGATGAGAAGGAAGAAAAGATTGGTAAGATTTTTATTTTTTTCTTTGAATTTTTAGAGTTTAGAAATGATTGATGTGAAAAACGAGGAAACGAGTGATTTTTTAAGAGAAATCTGGAAAATGGGTTATCATGACGCATTTTTTCACGGAAGTTTAGAAATTTCGATTTTTGGCAAAGGGATTTTTTGGCAGACGTATTTTAGAAGGAAAATTTTGACTTATAAAAAATTTTTTTTTTGAAATTTTGGACTTGGTACCCCCTTACCATTTTTTTCTGAAAAAAATTGGATTTGTTCCCCCTGGCCATATTTTTTTTATTTTTTTTCAGCCGAAAATTGTATGGAGGATGCGAAACCTCCCTGTCAGAAAGAAACGCCCTTAACCTCGCCAATCGTTGTTGTCCACCGTCCAGGCGGGCTGGACGTCATCACCAATAACCCCAAATACACGAAGACCCACAGTGTTGTGTGTGAAGTGAGAGTTTTTTTTTTGAAATTTTGGGATGTTTTGGAATTTTTTTTTGAAAAAATGTTTTATGAAATTTTTCAAAATTTTTTAAACTCTTTATTTTTGATTTTTTTTATTAATTTTTTTTTCAAAATTTTTCTAATTGAAATTTTTTTTTTGGTATTTCGATTTTTTTGATTTTTTTTTACTTTTTTATTTACTTTTTTTATTTTTTTCAGGACATTCTCAAGTTCAATTACAAGCCCTTCACCAGCGGACTCACAAACAGTTTTGGCCAATCCTGGAACACATTTGAAAAGGTACATTTCTAGCGATGTAAATTGATTATAAATTAAATTATGCTGTTAGTTCTAAGTGTTGTTTTTATTTATTTTTTCACGTTTTTAACGCTTCATCAATAAATTTCTCAATTTGCTTTTGTTTTAGCCTCAGCCGACGGTTATAAAGAATGTGGAATGGGACCTCCAAAATAGTGTTAGAAAAAATGAAAAGCGAATTTTGCCGAACCCCGGGATAACCGAAGCCAAGAAAAGTGACGTCATTTCTCCGAAATCTCCGGCGGAAAGCTTGGTAAGTTGAAAAATAGATATCGGGAAAAAATAAAAGTAAAAAAAAAATTAAATTTTCATATTGCCAGTGGTTCAAAAATATGAAAAAAAGCTAAAAAATTTTTTGCGATTTTTTATTTATTTTTTTTTTTTTTTTAATTTTTGATTTTTTGCTTTTTTTGAGAGTAAAAATTTTTTTTGTGCCAAAAAAAATATTGTTTTTTTTTGCCAAAAAAAATTTTATCAAAATTTTAAATTTTTTATTAGCCCTTTTTTCAGGTCACGGTCTCCACGATTAACATGCAGTCGAACGCACCCAGCCCGCAGGTCCGCCAACAGAACACCTTTTCCTACACCCAGGACCCCGAATTTGTCTACGCCCAATGGACTCGAATCCTCATCCTCTGCGGCGACGATTGGCCAAGTGTCCGCATCAAGAAGTCCCTGCATCCGGGCACTTTTATCCATAGACTCACCGACACTTCCACACTGAAGCAATTGGTCGAATTGCTGAGGAAATTTGAGTACTCGGAGAAAGTGAAAAGCGTCGGAATCACGGCCAACAATCACTGGACTCGACAAGCGCCCGGAAGCTGGGGATTGATCGGGGTGAGTGGAATTTTTTGGCGAGATTTTTGGGATTTATGTTGGAAAATACAGGGAAAAGTAATATTTTTTTGGTAATTTTTTTGAATTTTTGAAAATTTTTCTAATTTGAACGCTTGAAGTTTACAAAATTTATCTTGATTTTTTAGGTAAAAAAATTTTGGGCAAGGTTTTGCGATGATAGGCCCAAAAACGTTTTTTTTTTGTCTGTCCACTCTCTTCATTTCAAACACTCTCTCGCCAAAAAAGATTGTTGAAAATCTCAGAAGCTCTTGCAAATATTGAACTGAAACTTTCAGGGATTAATTTATGGCCTTTTTAGAGTATTTATTCAAAATTTCACAAAAATTGCCTAAGGGCATTTATCCTAAAATTTGAGAAAAAAATTTTTTTTTTTTTTTTGATTTTTAAGATAATTTTAGGGAAAAACAAGGGTGTTTATTGTTTTTTAACACCTTCTGCGATTTTCTCAGCGAATTTTGAAAAAAAATAAAAAATTTTTTGAAAATTTTTTCCAAAAAAAATTTTAAGGACGTCTTCCGAGTGATCCAAGAGCTCTTCCCGATGGCCCGTTTTACCATGACAACATGTTTCAACACCTACGAATTTACCGAACCCGCATTTAATCGACTTTTGAACAAGAAACTGGCTCACAGCAGGACAACAACCCTCATTGATGTGATAAAGGAGATAAGTCGAGGAAATTTGAGGCTGAAAAGACATCATTTGGACGATGACTCGGCCCAACAGCTGTATAATTTTATGCTCGACGTTTAGCTCGAGTTTTTAAAATTGATTTATATTGTACAAAAAAAATCTAAATTTTTGTTGAGGTCTAATATAACGTTTTTTTTGTTATACTGACGATTTTTTTTTCAATATTCAGCTAATCCCATAAAATTTATTGCAAATTGACTCTTTTGAGGGGGCAATAGTAGCTTTATTTTGCTCAAGTTTATATTTTTGACCTTATTTTTGCCGTGTTTTCCCAATTTTTCGATTTTTTTTACTTTTTTGGTCAATGAAATTGGAAGTTTTTTTCAAAATAGGAAAGTTTATGTAACAATTGGAGGTTTGCGATGAGTTTTGTCAGAATTTGAGGGTCGCATTTTTTTCACTTTTCAAAAAATTTTCGAAAATTTTTGCCTTGGTCCCCCCTCTCCATTTTTTCAAGCTCCGATTTTTTTCCGAATCCGTTTTTTTCGAAAATTCAATGCAACAGGGTTTATTTTTGAACTCAAAAATCCAACGACAAAATTTACAAACACTACTTTCGACCAAAATTCGTCTTTCTCATGGATAATATCGGGCTAATCCAGCGCTACTTCAATGGTCGTTAACTCATCAAACGATGAGACCGGCTTCTCATACACGTCCAGTAAACCACCACCAACATAAACCGGGCGATAGGAGGGCGAGGAGCTGGCAATCGACTCCTTGAAACGCCGATATCCTTCAACAACGGTGGGTTGGGCGGAAATGTTGAGGGAGAAGAGGAGGATAAAGGCGAAGGAAATGAAAAATCTGTTCAGTCTGGAAAGTTTACAGGTTATTATGATTTTTTTGTGTTGGTTTTTTTGACACAACCAAAAAAATATTTTAGAAAAAATTTTGGATTTTGTTTCTAAAATCAGTTTTAGACTAAATAGCCGGAGGCAATTTTTCTAAAATTTGACAAAAAATGATCTTAATGGGCCACAGATCAATCCTGACATTCTCTCCAGGTTTTGTCAAAATTAAAGCTTACGAGTTTCAAAAAATTTTAAAAATTTTCCCTTGGTCCCCCCTTATGTTTTTTTTTGATTTTACAAAAAAATTTTTTGGCCGAAAAATGCTAATTATTGGCCAACAAAGGCTTTTATTAAACCATTCAAACACCAACAGATGCCACTAATTTTTGTTAATTTTTTTGCCCAAAAAATTGAGTTTTTTTTTTTTGAAAATTTTTTACTTACCCGAACATTTTGGTCGTTAGTGCAATGTAAACAAGTAGAAGATATAAAAACAGTTAACTACCGATAAAGTAGTTCCTCTCTCAATTCTTTGGCAGTCCACCAAAGGTTTGTGAGACGAGGGAAGAGTCACCGAAACTCTGCTCGAGTTTATTTGGGCGAGGCCGAAGGGGAGGAACGGCTGATTGTGAAGTGAAGATCCGCTCGCATTTTCCCATTTTTATAACCAATTCGTGGTATTTTGTTCACGAATCAAACATGTTAATCCCGCTAATCTCGGTTTGGTGGAGGTCAAAGGTGTCTCTGTGGGGGCCGGAGGGCGTTTCCGTTGAGGGCGAAACATAGTGTTGGAGGGGGCGAAACTGTGAGATGAAAAAAAATTTAAAAAAATCAAATTTAATACCATAAAGCTTGTTACATCACATTTAAATTTTGTAAATTCAAAAGAAAGAACTTTGATTCTGAAAAGTAAAAAAAATACTGCGAATTTTTGCAAGTTTTTTTGAATGGTTTTTACCGCATTTTGCTTTGGAATGGACGACAAGTACAGTTCCCAAGTAAACGCAAATTTTTGCACACAAATTGGGCATAGGTCACATAGGAATTCCTGAGAATTTTAGCTCGCCCTTTGCAAGCACAGCCGAGATATTCAACGGTCTGCCGGGAGAGCACGCGAAATGCGGAGAGCGGTCAGACAAAAACGCTTTTTGCCCATATCTTTGCCAGTTTCGCACCGAATGAATTGATTTTTTGTGGAAACATTACTATCTGTGTGACAAAGAGCTATGAAGTTTTTCATGCCAAAATTTGCAAAAAATTATCGCATTTTTGCCAACTTTCGACCTAGAAATCTCGGTTGTTTCTGTAAATTGTAAGCTAGGAGTCTCGCATATGTCCTAGAAAAAATTATTCTAAATTTGGGCCAAGTATTGTCAAAGTTTTGGGTTGCAAAAATTTTATATTTCAAAAAATTTTCCTGTGGTCCCCCCTTACCATTTTTTGGAAATTTTTTTTTCAATTTTTGGTATCCAAAAAATCGTTCTTTCATCAATTTCATAGTTTTTCCGCTGTTCAAAGCTCTTTCTCTTCTGAAGTTCGCATGAAAATTGCTTCGAAAACACAGAGCGATAAGCCTTTTCGGTAATTTGCATATCAATTTTCGGAAATTGCGTCAATACTTTAATGTCGGAGTCTGCCGCCAAACGTACTTGTCTGCCTGTTTTTTTCTTCTGCACTAAGTGTTATTTCAGACTGATTTTTTAGGTTTTCAAAGATCACATTAGAAAAATGTTATTTTGAAAAAAAAATTTACCGTTGAAAAATAAATTTTATTTTTGAAAAAAAGTTTTAATTTTGTTCGCCTCGAGGCTTCTGGTTGATGATGGCACTGTGATCCTTGCCGATGATATTGACCAGTGGATTCTCGGGTTCCGACATCTTCACTTCCGCCCTCGGGCCATCCGGCTTGGCCTTTTTCTTGCACTCCGAACCCTCTGAAATTTCCAAAATTTTACAAAATTTCCAAAATTTTAAAAAATTTTGAAATGAAATTGGGCTACCAAATCTTCGCACGGTGCAGTGGGCTTGCTTTGACTTGATCTTGCACTGTGCGGGAGAAAAATTACAAAATAATTTTTATTTGCACAGCTTACGAAAATTACAGTGACGGACCTGATCCAGTGGCAAAAAACATACCATTTTTTATCCGGGAGCTATCAAAAATGTAGCAAAATGCCTCCCTCTCCTACTAAAAAAACTAAAAAACTCCGTTTTGAAGGGTTCCCTCACAAAAAAAGTGGGGGCACTTTTAAAAACGGAGTTTTTTACTTGGAGAGGGAGGTATTTTGCCACATTTTTGATACTTCCCTGATGCAAAAGGTACGTTTTTGGCCACTGGATCAGGTCCCTCTCTGTAATTTTCGTAATCTGCACTGTTCCATCGAGAATTTTTGGATTTTTTGGTTTCCAAATTGTAATTCCACAAAATTGAACGTTTTCAATTATTCAGCGACCCACTAACATACTTTTCAAAATCTTTTTTGACTCCGGGACTACATTCGTATCCTTCATCCTCTCTTTTTGTCTCTTCAGAATATCCAAAACATCGCTATTCATCAGAACCGACGGTTCTTGATCCGTAACAGCAGTCAAACACTTCGAAACTTCCGTTCTAGTCTTGTCATCGACGGCTCGTTCGACTTTCAGCTGGACTCGGTTGTTCTGACGGAAGCCGATAATCATGAGACGTCTGAAACTCAAAGTGGGATCTCAAGATTCAAAATTAGAATTTTTCATGGCATATTTGAGATTTTTAGCTCGCCGTTTGCAGAAAAACCAAAGATTCTGTGATCAAAAATTTTTCCAAAAAAAAATTTGCGATTTTCAAAATGAAAACTTGACGTTTTGTTTTCACTAATGAGTAAAAAATTAGCAGCAAAAATCAACTTTTTCCGAGAAAAATTCGTAAAGAAATGGCTGAAAAAAGTTTTTTCTCTGGCCGTCTCTCCTCATTTTATGTACTCTCTCGAAAAAAGATCGCTCAATATCTCAACTCAGACTGCATAGAATTCACTAAAAATTTCAGAAAATAAAATATGGCCCAGGCAAAGCAACTATGCCAAATTTTGCAAAAATTGCCTCAGGGCATTTTCCCAAAAAAGCTACCGTAACCCTTGGATACGATAGATTTTTGCTTACTTGCAAAGCTCCTTTTCAGTGACTGGCCATCCGTCAACTTGCAAAATCTTGTCTCCTTCGCACAGGAACATCGAAGCCACCGATTCCTGATCAACTCGGCTGACGATTACGTTCCCGTTCAGGTCGTTTTTCACATTCAAGCCCAACTTTTGGCCGGAACCTTGGTTCCAAACCAAAATGGCGTCCTTGATTTCGTAGCCGGGGGAGGGATTTTGGTTGTCCTTCAGAAGCCGGGAGATGTATTTGTTGTGCAGGAACTGAAGTTTCAAAAATTTGGATTTTTTAAAAAATTTGATGAGATTTTTTTACTTTTTCTTTTTGGAACTAGACTTTCTTTCTTTTTTTTGTCTCTTTTTTATAACATACGACAGATTTTTAGCTTGCGCTTTACAGAATTCATCAAAATTTTTGGGCGAAAAGGTCAAAAAGTTTGCCTTGGTCCCCCCTGAGCATTTTTTAAAAATTCCAAAAAAAAAAAATACTTGTCCTAATATGGACCAAATTTATTTTTGATGCTATAGCAGATCTTATATTCTATTCTACACTGGTTTAACAGTACCTTCAAGCCGAAAATTGGCAAAAAAATCATTCGCAAAAATTTTGCTCCTCCTTGACCATTTTTTCGAAGTTTTCGGAAATGGTAAGTCCTAATTTGGCCAAATTTTTTCCTGCCAGATCGACACATCCTAGCAGCGCAACTCACACTGATTTTCAGGGTGTTTCCCGCCTTTTCCTTGACGATTTTGTTGAACTGCTCCACCGATCCGATGTAATCCCCTTCCAGAGTCAGAATGCGGTCGCCCAATTCGATTTTGCCGTTGGCGATCGACTCCTTGTCCACGCTGGTGACCATCATCGAGTCGTCGATGGCAATGCCGAGGTTCCCGTCCTTGTTGTAGATCATTGTTTTGATCTCTTTGGTATGCGATGGGGCCATGATTGTGCAGTCGACCAATCGACTTCACGGTGCGTTGAGGAATGAGGGAAAAGGAAAACTTTGAAAATAAAATTCTTGGGAACGGGGTTTTTTTTATTTTTTGGGGAAAAATGAAAAGGAAAGTTTACGTTTTTCTCCATAATTTTTACGTTTTTTCTCCATAAATCGATCACAAAGTGAAAAATGGGGACGCGTTTGAAAATTACAACCTAAATTTGTGCCAAACTTGAACACTTGGTGGCAGACTTTGAGCACATTTCCTGTCAGTATTTACAGTACTTTTACGAACTTCTAAACGCCTTTTTTTTTACAAGGGAACGGTCTGAACTTTCCCCAGTTTTTCGGGAAAACGACTAGTACAGGTGGATAGAGCAGGTCAACTTTGATAAAAACAGAGTCATTTTCCAGCTGCCAAATAAGCCCAGTCGACTAGAAAAATTGAAAATGACTCGTTTTACCAAAGTTGACCTGCTCTATCCACCTGTACTAGTCATTTCCCCGAAAGCTGAGGAAAGTTCAGATCATTAATTCCCTTGTAAAGAAAAGGCGTTTAGGAATTCGTAAAAATCCTGTAAATAAGCTGACAGGAAATGTGCTCAAAGTCTGCCACCAAGTAGTAAAGTTTGGCTCAAATTTAGATTAATAAAATTTTACTGGTTTCTTTGACTCGCCATACCATTTTCTCCTTGCGCTTTTCCTCTTCATATTTTTGATCCCATTTTAATCGGGGTTTTCCTGAAACTTTGCCTTCAGTCTTTATTTGTCCCGTTGTTTGTTCAGCTTCCATCATTCCTTTGAACTCGAATATATAAAACTCCAAATTATGTTGGAATACACCCATCATTTACCTTTAGTCCCGACTAGAATGTTTAATCTAACTTAAATTGCTCTCTAACTCTTACTAACCACTACTTGGGGAAGTGTCAGCGTCTTGTTTGGAGTCTTCAGTAAGTCGTCTCAGGTAGTGTTCATTTGCAGGGGAAGTGCGCGAATTTTGGGCGTAGAGCACACATTTGTTCCAGAGAAATTTAGCTTGCGCTTTTCAGGGGAAGGTAGTACTTTCTTCGCGAGAATGGGAGAAATGGTGAGAGCGAAAACCCTTTTCCTGCCGTAACTTTGCGAGATAAAGTTGATTTTTTTATTGAAACTTCGCTTTTTGCATCAGAAAATACTAAATAAAACTGGGTTGATTTCGCAGCTATTGCCAGTTTTTGAAAGATTTTAGAGCTTTCGGTTATCCAATTTTTACTAGCTTTTGACTATAAAATTCCCGAGCTCGCATTCTCATGTCTTTGAAAAATTAACAACGTCAAAAGTTATGATTGAACACTCAGCCGCATTTGATGGCTTCATTCTAGTTTTCTTACAGGCATACAAAGAGAATCTGAAAACGGCCAATCCCCGAGATTACGACATTTCCCTTTTGTACCACTACTTCATACAATTATAACATTATTCTTTTGTATTTGCAAATAAATCGTTTTTAACAACACTATTAGAAAAATTGAAAGGAAACTTTTATGTAAAGATCTGTTGAATTTTTGCCGGAAGCTTCTTGGATGCGTAAAGTACGGTACTCAAACCGTTGCGGGACGCAAATGAAATCAGGCATTTTTTGGCATAATGCAACAACAAGTATTCTGCCGGGACCAGTAGGTATTCTACTGTAAAATATGATGTGAGTACAATAGAAGTATCACGTAGGAGGAGTGGTGGGTTCACCTGGGTTTTGTATAATGTAATATCAACGCTACGGCCGCGATTCCCAGCGCTTCTGGCCTGTTAGGCAGGCCGAGGAAAGTGGAAGATCAAACCATAAACATGTGCCATAATCCTGCAAGGTCTTGTAGGTTTTTCTGACAGTTTTTCTATCTTGTTACTGTTGGTGGGGCTTCTTCCTTGTTGTAATTCGTCTTTTCAGCAAAAGTTGGCGTAATCCTGTTCAACGGTCAAAAATATTGCGCCAGAGTAGCAAGTCCAATGAAAAATCATTGTAGACAGGTAATTTTTCAGTTTATTGTTGATGTTTAGGTATCCCGGATGCAACAAAGAGCTTTATCTCGAATTTTTGGAAAAAGTTTTAGGGGTTTTGCAATTCTTTGAGAGAAAATTCCGGAATTTTTTGCGGTGGAGGTAGACATGGCTCCCGGGCCGGGCCGGCCTGGGCCGGGCCGAAATTTCGGCCCGTCGGCCCGATTTCAGATCGGCCGGGCCGGCCGGACCATTTCCGGCCCGTCGGCCGGGCCGGCGTTTCGGCCCGGCCCGGCCCGGAATATTTAAAATCCAGAATCTCGAAGTGAAAATTGGGTTTGATAATGAAAATAAACGCAATGTCAACACACAATTGGTTTTTTAAGGGGTTCTTTGTTTTTTAGATAGCTATGGAACACAGTATTTATCCATTTACATGATGATAGAAAAAAATTTGGTCATAAGGAGTTAGACTTGGGGAGACTTTCGTTTCAATGGGCCGGCCCGGGCCGGGCCGAAGAAAATTTAAAACGGGCCGGGCCGACGGAAAATTTGAAACGGGCCGGGCCGGCCGGAACCCTTCAGGCCGACGGGCCGGGCCGAGATTTTCGGCCCGGGCCGGCCGACGAGCCATGTCTAGGTGGAGGTAACAAGATGAGGTTTTTGGGTTTTCAATGCAAGGGTTTCCAGGTGGGATATTTATGAAGATGGTGACCTGAATTGGACTTGACACTTCGTATTTTTTGGTTTGTTCCTGGGTAACTCCAAAGTTTAGCGAATATTGTAAGGTCAGACGAGGTGAACCGTCATTTCACGGAAGTCCTGCCGATTCAAGTGATGGAGATAGTTTGAATACCACTACATATTTTATGTATCATACTAACCATTGAATTACGTGTATTTTTCATAATTTCAAAATTTAATAATTTTGATCATCTTGGAATATAGTTCACTTTTAATAAATACATGTAGATACAAATTGTCTATCCGGAATCGCACTTCACTTCGTTGCAACCTGGAAAACTACATTCGACGCTGCACGGCAACCCGAAGTGTTTCCTGGCTCCTTTCGACACTTCGCCCATTTTGTATCGGTTGAAATCAAACAAAATGTCACAAAAGAATTTTTCGTGGGATTTTGCGACCGAAAAATATTTTTCTCGGAATTATTTTATTTCTTTTGTCAATTTTGACACTTCGTTTGGACGAAACTCAAAAGTGGGCGGGAAACATTTTTCTTCTATTTCGGGTTGCCGTGCGCTGTACTTTGTGGAATATTGCAGGAATAAAGGCCAATCTTTGTTGTAAACCACCTTCGAGTGCTCGGAAATTGGGAATTAAAGGGTTTTGGGGAGAGAAGAAGGCATAGCTCAAAGACAATCGATCCAAAGCCATTTTCTTCGACGGCCTTTCAAAGGAGATCACCTCAATCCTTTTGATGTTATTGCGGAATGAATAACGAGTAAAGTAAAAGGCCAAAACATCCACAGTTTGTTCCACCTCTAACGTTATTAACTAATGAATAACCAAAAAATATATTACACTAGACAAAACCCAGGTAAAACGAAGCAGAATCAATGAAAACTCTGATAAATCAACCGTGAATAGGTGTATTCCCCAGGTAAGAACCTTCTGTTGTACTCAAAAGACATTTCTAATCCTATTTTACTGTATAATACTTCGTAAATTCTAAATTATACACGGTTCCCGTCAAAAAGTTGTTGTTGTATCCCACAACGATTTGAGGTCGAAGAACATTTACTGGTGTACCGTACTTTCCCGCATCCAACAAGCTTCCGGCAAGTTTCGCGTCATTTCCCTGCGCCTTTCGGCACGCGCGCGCATCCAACAAGCTTCCGGCAATTTTTGCGTCATTCCCGCACACCTCTCGGTGCGTCAGTTTGCCGGGAAAATAGGGAGAGGAATGTTGCGGCCCGATCGCGTCGCTGAATTCAAAGGCAATTTGATCTTGCCGTGAGGTTGTGTGAGAATTTGTAACTTGTTTTTATTGTGTTTATGCGTATTTTTATTGGCTTTTATGTGGAATATTTTTATTTCAGTGTCCCGTCAGGTTCTACGTCCACCCAGATCCGCCTGGAATTGTGCAACGGCCGAGACGTGTCCAGCGAATGAAGGTCGAGCGGGCTCAAAAGGACATTTTCACACTGGATGTGATGTAAGCCTTCTTTTACATTTGTTTTGTTCGGAATTTAGGCTGAAGTTTTGGGTGATGGGGAGCGATATTGTAGTAGATCTTCGCTTGAACTGTGATTTCGCTTGAAACTTGGCAGAATTGGTCTGCTTTTAGCACTATTTTTGCGAAACAACATGTTGGAATAGGTTGAATGGGAATTTGCACCGGGTTTTTTTAAAATTGGTCTGCTGTTAGCAGTGTTTTTGCACAAAAAACGAATTGGAATATTGTACTAGGCGGACTGGGAATTTGTAGCTAGGTTTTTTCTTCTTTACGCCTTTTTTATTGGCCTTTATGTAGAATTTTTTTTATTTCAGCGTTCAATGCTCCGTCAGTTTCTACGTTCACCCAGATCCGCCTGGAATGGTGCAATGGCCAAGGAGAAACCGAGAGCGTCCAGTGCATGAAGAAGGTCGGTGGAGCGGGCTCTGATGTAAGTTTTCTTTTACATTGGTTGTTTTGGAATTTAGGCTGAGGTTTTGATAGGGAGCGATATTGTAATAGATAATATTGTAGTAGAAGTTAGCTTGAAGCGTGATATCGCCCGAAAGCTGGCAAAATTGCTCAGCTTTCAGCAGTGTTTTTGCTCAAAAAACATAGTGGAATATTGTACTAGGTGGACTGAGAATTTTTGCCGGGTTTTTATCGTGTTTATGCCGATTTTTATTGGCCTTTATGTTGAACGCCGTACATGCCTCGTTTCAGCGTTCGGTGCCCGTCTACTTCAAGGTCCACCCAAATCCCGACTGGAGCCGTCAAACGTCCAAGGAGAAGACCGATACCTTGAAAGCGAATGGAGAAGATCGATGGAGCGGGGTCAAATGGAGACGCAATGGTTGTGACGTAAGTTTTCTTTCACATTGATTTGTTTTGAGTTTAGGCCAAAGTTTTGGTGTTAGGTGAAGATATTGTAGTAGATATTAGTTTGAAGTGTGATAGCGCCTGAAAGCTGGCAAAATTGGTCAGCTTTCAGCGGGGGTTTTCAAATCAAGTAATTTCGAAGATTTTTGCTTGAAAGTAACATTAGTTACCTGAATTTTCCGAAATTTTTTGGCCTTACACTTGCCTTTTTTTCGGATCTCAAGTTCATTGTTGGGGGCGGTCTTTTGGAGCGCTTGTTGAGTTCGTATCGCTTCTAAATTATTTTTCTGATCCCTCAAGACAGTACAGTGCTCGTGGTAGTACTAGTCGCGGCCAGAAGTCCTTGGAAATTTCTGCGACTCTGCACTGTGCATCCGGCCAAAAAGTGCCTTTGCACAGTGCAATTTTGTTTTTTTGCCTTACATTGCGATTCCCGCTTTTCGAAACGACATCAATTTTTCGGAGGGCGAAAAATTCCAAGGACTTTTGCCGCGAATAGTATTATTGAGTTTAATTTGGTTAATAGTTGTTATTGTTTATCAACGTGGAGATCGAAAATTGGATGGAAATACGGATGTAGTTTTTGATTTTAGCTTTTGTCATAGTTTTTTTGTAAATTGTTGTTGTAGAATACAAATTAGCTGTTAATGTTGTTGTCATAAAATTTTACTAAATTTTTGTTATGTTGTCCATGCCAACTATTATTCCAAGTTTTTTGTTGACTTGTATGGTCTTATTTTTAAGGCCTGTGTATGTCTTTCTTGAGATTGTATGCTTTTTATTGAGATCAGATTATTGCCTTTAGCTTTTGTAATGTTGTTTTAGTCAATTATTTTTGTTGTATTATTGCATATAAAATTATTGATTTGTTTGTTCTTCAAGTGTTTTTTTTTATTTATTGTTTATTGAATTGTTATATTAGTAATTTTATGTTGTTTTTAAATTGTCAGCTTCCCTATTCTTCGTTGATGGAGCAAAATGGATGGCTTTTTGATTCAAATGGACTCTTGAGACCTTGAATTGTTTTTTTGATCTTTTTTGCTTACTTTATTCATTTTTCATTCAAGTTTGTGTTACATTCAGTTCTTTGTTTATTACTGTTTGAAAATTGTTTGTAACTTCTTCAATAATTATGTGTAGTAGCAAGACAGTGTTGTTTTTACTTTGTCAGGATGTCTCTTAGTTCTTTATGCCAAGAATGTAAGATTTTGATTCAAATGGATTCCACAGGAAGTCTATATTGTTTTAGTCTGCTTTCTCCCATGGTAATGCATTGTATCCAATTTTAATTGTGATTTTGACTGCTCAATTGTGCCTTTAGGCCTTTATTTTTAACCTATTTTTGTTATGTAAATTTTTCATTGTTTTTGCCTGTGGTTTGAATACCTTTTGAAGTTGTTGTAATTAGATGTTTTGTTCATTTTACTGCTTTTGATGACAAAGTTGTTGTTTTATTATTGTGTATTTTGTTAGATAGATGTTTTTATTGCCTTCTGATATAATTTTTATAGATTTACCATTGTAAATTTGATTCGATTTTGTTTTTTTAAATTTTTATTACTAGCATTTGGTTGTATTCCTCGAATTATAATTTTTATAGTAGATCTACCCGGGATTGTACTGCCCTTTTCATGTTTTCCTCTGGTGTTATCATTGGTAATATCAGAAATTAATTCCCCATTTATTATGACCATTGTTTCTGGGCCAAAAAGGTCTTAAAACAAGGTCGGCGATACAAATTCTTCTTGAGCTTTTAGAGGCCGCTTTCACTTTGAATTTGATCCTGGAGAGGTGGATAGTTATTGGGATGAAGCGGAGAGAAATTTGAAGTTTAGGAGATTTGAGTTTTTTGTATAACGATTTGACAAAATTTTGTTATTATATATGTATGGTTAATGATTATATTTTCATCGACTTCGGAGCGTTGAGCGATCTCCAATCGACCCTGGAAGTGCCAAGAGCAATGTCAAGTGTCTGAACACCTCAATTTTGATTTTTTGAAGGTAACTTTGAGTTATTTGGTAACTGTATTTAGGTTAGATTGTATTCTTCTTGGTAAATGTTTTACTTTTACTAATATTTTTTATTTTCAGGCGTCCGATCAGGTTCCAGTTGTGCTCCAGTCGACCCGGATGGTGCCAAGAACAATGTCGCTTCGTCCAGTGTCCGATAACGTCAATTTTGCTTTGTAAGTTTGAGTTATTTTGTAACTGTGTATGGATTAGATTGTATTATTGGTAAATTTTTTACTTTCAGATAGCCCGATTAGGTTCCAGTGTCCGCGGAAAGTTTTTTCATCTTTTTGTATTATTATGTTGAACATTTATGGGTTGAATATGGCCGTATAAGCGCCGAATTTTTTTGAGGAGGAGTAGGCAAAAGGCCTCATCCTCTGTGTTTTTTAAAATTTTTTAAACATTGAAAAGGGAATGAAAAACTTAGTTAGCTACTGTTTAGTTTTGTATTCTGGTTTTTGCTATCATGGAACAAATTAGGCTATCAAGTAGAGGGTGTCCCGAGAAAGTCGCTGGAAAGATTTTGTAGGTTTCTTGGCCTTCATCCAAGATCCAAAAAATGAAACTATTTTTTGTTGCTTGCAAAAAATTTTAGCCGTCCGCAAAAAAAACTTGTCGCTGTCCGCAAATGTGAATCTTTTGCGTATAGCTCAATATTTAACAGAAAATTTTTATGTGAAAGTTTTTTGGTGTTACTTTTAAACGTGTAGTAGTATATTTTGCTCTTTCTCTTTGCGGACAGTGAAACGCGCATCCTTTTTGTAGGTTTCTTGGCGCTCATCCAAGATCCAAAAAAATTTTTTTGTAGCAAAAAGATGGGCGATTTTTTGCTTTGGATTTTTTTGCGTTAGCGAGAAACGTAATGTATTCGGCGGAGAGTTTTGTGAACTTTTTTGGTCTCCACACCAATCCTAAAAAGCTATTGCATTTTGCGTTGTTGGCGCAAACAGTGCTGTAGTGTGCAGTGCTATACTCCCGGGTGTATATCTCCGACCACCCTTTAACTTGTTGATTGGGCTGCAAGTTGCAAATTTTATTTGCCCTATCAGAAAGATACAAAATTTTATTAGCGCTTTACGCGCGGTTTTTCCGGGGATTTTCCAGAAAAGTGTGGACGAACTTTTTGATCACCTATTGTTTAATTATTATTCCGATAAGTACTGGCTATGAGTCCAAAACTTCTATATTGCATAGTTTAGACATCCACGCGTATATTTGTAACAAAAAGTAGGGAATAGCGAAATAATTCTGTGGATTACACCTTTTTTGGTATACCGACTTAGAGGGGGGAAAGGTAAAACCTGATGGCATGCAGTCAATTTTTCCGTCTGAAGTACAGGTAGATGTCAGGGGTTTCATCAAGCATTTGCAAACCATTAGAAGATTCACCTGCCTACTGGATTTAGAGCCTTGTCTAATTTCAGCTAGTTCAGGCTGATTCTGAAAAAGTTACATGTTTTATTCCTACACCAGATAGACTACGGTTAGGTTAGTGCTGACCTAGGTTCTTCCAGCTTTGAGGTGAAACGACAGGGAAACCGAAACTTTAGGACTAAGTGGAAAATTTATCATTAGAAAATCGGAAATGTTGCGCGTTTTAGATAACTAAACCAAGCCGCTTACTCAAAGTAACAGAGAAAACATTAGCGATTCTAGGTGAATAGAAAGTTTGTCCACCGATTTTTGGAGGATTTGTATTTTTTGTAGCAGATCGCCTTTTTGAAACAGATTACTAGTATACATGTCAAATCGTAGAGTGATGGAGTTATTTTCGCTTTAGTCGAAAATCATTGGTCAAAAATGTATTCCCGGGAGTATAAAACTGGCTTTGTGCGACCAATAATAGGCACGGTGAAACGTATAAAGGCACTGCAGTTTCATTGCCGATTTTGCGCTATGTTTTCCACAATTGGTGGAGAATTTTTTTTGGTGGAAACTGCCACCAAGATCGGACCTTCATCTTTCTGTAAAAAATTTTTTGTGTGAAATATTTTTTGTAATCCACGCAAAAAAACTTCCGCTCTGTGCTAAAAAAACTTTAGCTCTCCGCAAACAACTGCTCACTGCCCGCAAATCAGAATCTTTTTGTGCATGACTCAAGTTTAGCAGCAAATTTCATTTGAAAGTTTCGGGTATTACTTCTAAACGTATAAATTTTAAAGGCAAAAACATGTACATAATTTATAGATCTGTTTTTCAGTATACTAGAGCAGTAGTTGTTACTTTTAAAACGCGTTTTGCCACACTTTGGAACTTAGCCTAACAGGGGGCGGACATTGTTAAAATCGATGTCTCAGAATTAAACCAAAATTGGTCAACTTGATCGTCATGACAGACAAAACATTCGCTTTCTTTATTTTTGCCCAAAATTACCGTATGACGGCATACTGTAACATTCTTTCTTAAAAAAGATATGCCCTAATCGAGAAAACGAAGCGTTATTTTAGCTCAAATCGAGCTCAGTCGTACGTTTTCGACCATGTAGAAAATTTTTGTAATTCTCACCAAAAACTAAAAATTACATCTAAGCTATGTTACACATGAGGTAACATACTATTTCGGGTGTAAAATGGGCTACTGTAGCTTGTAGCACTTTTAGATACGCTTAAAAAAAACTTCAACCTTAACCCAATAAACAGTAGAAATTTAAAAAAAATAAAATGCACAACTTTTGAGATACAGGGATTTCAATCTGTCATGTACAAGGTCATCAGAACCCCGAAAAAAGCTGGCATTCTTGGGATTTCGGGTTGTAGCACTTTTTGATATCCTCTAATACATTATTGGCCTTGTAAACGATGATGATGAAAATTTCAGGCGAAAAAAATGCACAACTTTCGAGAAAATGATCAAAAGACCTTATTTTAGGTCATCAGAACCCCGAAAAAAGCTGGCATTCTTGGGATTTCGGGTTGTAGCACTTTTTGATAGCCTCTAATACATTATTAGCCTTGTAAACGATGATGATGAAAATTTCAGGCGAAAAAAATGCACAACTTTCGAGAAAATGATCAAAAGACCTTATTTTAGGTCATCAGAAGCCCGAAAAAAGCTGGCATTCTTGGGATTTCGGGTTGTAGCACTTTTTGATAGCCTCTAATACATTATTAGCCTTGTAAACGATGATGGTGAAAATTTCAGGCGAAAAAATGCACAACTTTCGAGAAAATGATCAAAAGACCTTATTTTAGGTCATCAGAACCCCGAAAAAAGCTGGCATTCTTGGGATTTCGGGTTGTAGCACTTTTTGATAGCCTCTAATACATTATTAGCCTTGTAAACGATGATGATGAAAATTTCAGGCGAAAAAAATGCACAACTTTCGAGAAAATGACCAAAATACCTTATTTTAGGTCATCAGAACCCCGAAAAAAGCTGGCATTCTTGGGATTTCGGGTTGTAGCACTTTTTGATAGCCTCTAATACATTATTAGCCTTGTAAACGATGATGATGAAAATTTCAGGCGAAAAAAATGCACAACTTTCGAGAAAATGACCAAAATACCTTATTTTAGGTCATCAGAACCCCGAAAAAAGCTGGCATTCTTGGGATTTCGGGTTGTAGCACTTTTTGATAGCCTCTAATACATTACTGCCTTTGCAAACGATGATGGCGAAAATTTCAGGCGAAAAAAATGCACAACTTTCGAGAAAATGACCAAAAGACCTTATTTTAGGTCACCCGAAAAAAGTGACGAAAATTTATGATATTGTCAAAACATAGACTAAAAAATTTCATTCTTCGTCTTCGACATTGGACCCGGGGAGAATCCGAATGTTAAGTCAACGAATGTTAAGTCGATGTTTCATTGCCCGGACGAAACATGCTGATGACCTAAAATAAGGTCTTTTGATCATTTTCTCGAAAGTTGTGCATTTTTTTCGCCTGAAATTTTCATCATCATCGTTTACAAGGCTAATAATGTATTAGAGGCTATCAAAAAGTGCTACAACCCGAAATCCCAAGAATGCCAGCTTTTTTCGGGGTTCTGATGACCTAAAATAAGGTATTTTGGTCTTTTTCTCGAAAGTTGTGCATTTTTTTCGCCTGAAATTTTCATCATCATCGTTTACAAGGCTAATAATGTATTAGAGGCTATCAAAAAGTGCTACAACCCGAAATCCCAAGAATGCCAGCTTTTTTCGGGGTTCTGATGACCTAAAATAAGGTCTTTTGATCATTTTCTCGAAAGTTGTGCATTTTTTTCGCCTGAAATTTTCATCATCATCGTTTACAAGGCCAATAATGTATTAGAGGATATCAAAAAGTGCTACAACCCGAAATCCCAAGAATGCCAGCTTTTTTCGGGGTTCTGATGACCTTGTACATGACAGATTGAAATCCCTGTATCTCAAAAGTTGTGCATTTTATTTTTTTTTAATTTCTACTGTTTATTGGGTTAAGGTTGAAGTTTTTTTTAAGCGTATCTAAAAGTGCTACAAGCTACAGTAGCCCATTTTACACCCGAAATAGTATGTTACCTCATGTGTAACATAGCTTAGATGTAATTTTTAGTTTTTGGTGACAATTACAAAAATGTTCTACATGGTCGAAAACGTACGACTGAGCTCGATTTGAGCTAAAATAACGCTTCGTTTTCTCGATTAGGGCATATCTTTTTTAAGAAAGAATGTTACAGTATGCCGTCATACGGTAATTTTGGGCAAAAATAAAGAAAGCGAATGTTTTGTCTGTCATGACGATCAAGTTGACCAATTTTGGTTTAATTCTGAGACATCGACTCAACAATGTCCGGGCCAATCTACGATTTGTAATAAAACGCGTTTTAAGCACCACTTGTATTTTTTCTTGAGCAGTTTTTGCAACGTTTTTCATTTGCGGGCAGTCGTTGCGGCCCCCTTTTCTGAACACTCCTCCTTGAATGAACCCTCCCCCTTTTTGAACACTCCCCCTCATTTTGAAAATTGAAAAAGTGAAGTGTGACATCTTATACGATGAATTTTTTTTCAAATTGAGAAAAATAAGATGTGACATCTTTTAATTTGAGAAAAATTTTCATCGTATAAGATGTCACACCTTATTCTTTTCAATTTGAAAAAAATTTTCATCGTATAAGATGTCACACCTCATTTTTCTCAATTTGAAAAATTTCTTCATCGTATAAGATGTTACACCTTATTCTTTTCAATTTGAAAAAAATTTCCATCGTATAACATGTCGTTTTTTCAATTTTCAAAATGGGGTAGTGTTCAAAAAGGGGGGGAGTTCAGATTTTTTGGCGAAAATCAAAAAAGGGGTAGAGTTGAAAAATGGGTAAAGTTCAGATTGGGGGAAAGGTCAGAAAAAGGGTAAAGTTCAGGCTCGACCGCGGGCAGTTGAGAAGTTTTTACTTGCGGACAGCGAAAAGTTTCTTTGCGGACGGTGAAAAGTTGCTGACCTCGGTTCTTGTAGTTTTGAGGTGAAACAACAAGGAAACCTGAACTTTAGGACATTGAGGCAAATTTCTGATTATTAGTAAATCGGAATAGTTGCGCTTTTAGATAATGGAAACATGCCGCTGACACAGAGCAGCAGAGAAAACATTAGCTATGTTAGGTGAATAGAAATTTTGTCCTCCGATTTGTGGGAAATTTGCGTAACTTCGGTTTGAATTGAGTAGTATCCAACTTTCAGAGTGAAAACGATCCATATTCAATTTTCACTTGAAATATGGGTTGTCAAAAATTTATCCGGGAGCATAAAACTGCCGTTGCGCGAGGAATAATAGACACGCTGCAAATTGCCGACCACTGCAGCTTTATTGCACGCCATTTTGCATTCTTTTTTTCCACAATTGGTGGAGAAAATTTTTTGGAGGAAACCGCCGATCTTCACCCTTCTGCAAAAATGTTTTTTGAGATACCAAAAAAGACGAAGCGAACTTTCCGGCGAAATATCTCGGGACACCTTACAAGCTACTAATATCAAATTGGGGCTAAAATTATTCTAGTACTTTTAGTCTTTACATTTATTTAGATAAATTTCAAAGAAAGACAAAAGTAGGTTAGGAAAATAAGTCGATGAGGGATAGATCTATGATATTATATAAGTAGATTTAGATGGTACAATCAAAACTTGTTTCGATGATTTAAATGCGAGGGATTAAATTAGATTAGTGATGAGGGAAAGATGAAAAATTCCTGAGTCAAATGGATATATATGAGTTAGTTGTCGGCGCAGTAAATTGTGAGACTTTTTCGCATCGTATTTTATTGTGCTTGTTTATTTTGGTGCACAGCCTTTTTCCATTTCAATTTTCCGGGTACCAAAGACCCTTTCGAAACAAACTCCCGTCACCTTCGCGGTACAAAAGAGTCTCACGGAATACTGCGCCGGCTACTTGTAGGAAGAGTAAGTAAAAAAGTTGTAATGAAGTTAATTTGTACAGAGTATAGGAATAGGTTGAATAGACCGAATCAGGCAGTACAAACGTAGTGGTTTGTTGGGAATAAAATGAAAATAGGATAAAAAATAAGGTAATAGGAATAGTCAAAAGTGGATAGAAAATGCATTACAGTCTACTTATGAGCCGGATAGGAAAAATATCACAAATAAAAAATTGAATGGAAATAGAGTAAATGTAACAGTCTTAGCCTTGTGCTGAACTCATCCAATTCGACGTCCCAAACTGGTTCGGCTGCTGCTGATTGTTCTGGGAATTGACGTCTTGGCCGAAATTCTGAAAAAAATAAGTCTGTGGAGGGAAAAAATTTCAACCGAAATCACTCTCCGTCTAAAAGGTCTTGAGAATTTCCTGCAATCCTCACCGTGCATTTTCTGCAAAAATTGCGTCGCTCGGTAGAAAAACGTGTTCTGCACTGTGCATCAGACCCAAAAAGGCGAGTATGCACAGTGCATTTCCGTTTCTCGGATTTTTTGTCGAGGAAACAAAATTTCACCCGACTTTACTCTTCGCCGAAAAGGTCTTGAGGGTTTTCTGAGCCCTCGGCTTTTTCTGCAAAAATTGCGTCGCTCTGTAGACCAAAAAAGGCGAGTTTGCACAGTGCACTTCTTTTTGCCGTAGCGCGGTTCGCTGCCCGAAAGATAATTTTTTGGAGTATGGTAGAAAAAATGCACGGTTACGGAGTAGCAGAAAATTCTCAAGACACTAGACGGAGTACCTTCAAATAATGTGGTTTCTTGAAAATTTATTGAAAGTTGTGAAGGACTAGTTACTCTTGAATCACGGGGTTTTTTGCGGGCAGCAAGGAATCCACGGTGATTCTGCGGGCACTTTGGAGAAAGACAAGTTTTGGCTGATTTCCAAGTGTTTTTGAAACAAAAAATCTTTGGCTGCCCGCAAAATTGCTGCCCACAGACTCGCGATACCCCTACAGTAACTGTCATTTGTCATCACACTCCACCTCACTCCACTCACCTGTTGTCCCTCGGGTTGCCATCCCGTGCGTGGGTTCCACTTGGCAACGCCTTGATTCGTAGTTAGAGGGGGTTGATTGAACGCCGTCCCCGGTTCGTGGAGCTGCTGCCCGAATTGTTGTTGGTTTACATTTGGATTGGGGATGTTGGAGCCGAATCCGGGGTTGTTGAAGGACGACGGATTGGAGTCAATGTTACGTGCCGTGAATGGAATTTGATTCTGGGTGGGGTTGTTAAAGGTGCTCTGAAAATTTCCAATCGTGGGTCAAAGCAAAATTTTTCGTTTTCTTCATTTTTTTGGGAAAATTACGACTTACTTGTCCTGGATTTTGAATATTTCCCGGATTATTGGGGTTTTGCGAGAAGATCTGGGACGGGCTTGGGGGATTTTGCTGATTTTGAGGATTGTTATTGTTACTGCCAAACAGAGCCTGGCCCCATTGATCGACGTTGGAACGGAAATCGCTGGCAGCTTCGGCCGAGAAATTCGCAATTTGACCTGAAAAGTTGAAATTATTTGTTTGAATTTTGGATATCTTTTGGATTTCCAATTGCACAGTGCGGTTTTTCACAAAAAATATTTTCGCACGGTGCAGAACGAAGTTTTTTCGCATTGCACCGTGCAAGTCGAAATGTTCACCAAATTTACCGCACTGTGCGAAAAAAAAAACTTTCATTCCGCCGCACTGTGCACAAACTTTATGCACAGTGCGGTAGAATCAAACTTTTTCATTCTGCCGCACTGTGCGAAAAACTTTTTCGTTCTGCCGCACCGTGCAAATTAAGAAAAGTTTCTGCACTGTGCGATCGACAATTCATCTCACCTGGAACTTTTTGGACTTGAATCCACTGACTCTCCAGCGCATTTCCAACCCTCTGAGCAGTCGGATTTTGCCCAATCGCCTGTCCGATTTGGCCAATTCCCTGGCCAATCTGATTGATTCCACTCTGGAATCCACCTCCGCCACCTCCATTCTGCCCGTTATTGAACTGATTCTGATTATTTGGGAACGGATTCTGACCGAATTGACCTGGCTGTTGGCCGAACTGGCCCGGCTGCTGACCGAATTGCCCTTGGTTGTTCAAAGTTCTCTGCTGATTCTGCTGCGACTGTAATTGCGGGGATTGGGATAATAATTGAGACAAGGGGACATTGGTTGGGAGCTGGGGGTTCTGAAATTGGGCAACGGGATTGGGAGCGATGCCGTGGAGGCAAGAGGAATGCACAACGAATCAAAGGATAGGGAGTTAGTGGGAAAAGTTGGAAATTCAAAAAAATTATAATTTTATCTAATAATTTACAGTCGGAGAAGAGAATGTATCAGATTACAGAATAAACCACCCAGTTATCACCAACCAACGTCACATCACACACAGTAAATTTAAAAAATATTATACTAGACGAGTATAATATAAAGTTATATTGCACTTACCTGAGCGGTGTTAAACTGCTGCGCGGCCGCAAAACCTTTCCATTGGGGCACGAAAAAGTAGAAACAGTCCCTTTGCTTGATGTTCAAGTAGTGCTCACCTCGGATATTGTCGTGCTCAATGGCGTAATGTGGAAGACAAAAGTCGGTGCATTCGGCGCAACGGAAGTCTGAAATTGGCAAAAATATAATGGTGTGGTATAAAAATGTCATATTCGTCACTTTTTCGCTTTTAAAATATCATTTTAATCGAGAAAAACCAAAAAATCAATTGCACGGTGCAATTTTTCGAATCACGTTTTTATTGCACTGCGCGATGAAAAATATTTGATTTTTTACATCGTAGTACTTTTACAGAGCTATAAAACTATTTTACACTGTTTTAAAATCAATTTTTATACTGCCCCGAGGCGATTTCAAGCACTTTTTTGAGCCGCACAGTGCAGTTTCAGTTTTTGCCTTTTATTGCACTGTGCAACAGAAAAATTATCACATTTATTGTACAGCCCAACTTTTTACTTGAAGCTTGACAAATTTACACATCTCTAATTTTCACCTTAAACTGCACCAGAGCAGTTTTGAAATAAAATTATGTGTGCACAGTGCATTTCTAATCAAATTTTTCTGCACCGTGCAGTCGTCCAATCGAAAAAAGTGCTCAAAAATTGATGAACGCTGACTTACTCTTCTGATTGCCGCCGGTTCTGGACAGCTCAACCCATTTGGCGCCTCTGCATTCAGCAAGTTCCGGTTGGAACGCCTGAGAAGAGACCATTGGATTGGAGATTGGTGTGGCGATAAGCGTCCAAGTCTCCTTCCAGCCATTTGTTTGCACCTCTTTCTGTAAAATACGACATTTTTTATGTATGTTGTTAAGAAAAAGTTTGCGAATTTTGAAAAAAATCGGTAAGTTCAACACAGGGTACCCCAAGTGCGACGCTCAGACTTTGATGAAACTTGGCACAAATTTAGAATATTTATTTCTAAAATATATGCGAGAATCCTAGCTCGCGCATTGCAGAAACAACCGAAATTTTTAGATCGAAACTTGGCGAAAATTTGACACTTTTTGCCGAATTTCGGCACAAAAAGTTTCATGCCTATTTCTACCATAGAGGGTAATCTTTCCACAAAAAATCAATTTTTTCCGCGCGAAACTAGCAAAGTTATGGCCAAAAAGTGCTGTTTCTCTCTGACCGCTCTCCACGTTTAGTGTGCTCTCTCGGCGGCAAAGATCGTTCAATATCTCGGCGGCGCTTGCAAAGTGGGAGCTAAAACTTTTAAAGAATTGATACTTAGTTCATGACCGACGTGTGTGCAAAATTTAAAGAAAATCTGAGCGTCGCACTTGGGGGTATTTCCCTTGCCAATCAAAAATTTTTCCCAAATAAACTTACTGTTGCGCCAATTCTGGCGGCTCGTTGGAACTGTTCGACGGACCGAATATCAGAGAGGTCCAGGTTCATCAAAAAGCAAATCATCTCGCCGCTATTTCGCACCGAGTTGTCCATGATGGCAATTTTGTTCTAAAATACGGATTTTATTTTCGAAAAATAAAAAAAATTTTTTTCAATATGACTTACTGTCTTAAAATCCAGTACTGAGACATAGCTCGAAGTAAATGGAGGCGCACCAGTCTGCTCAATTCGGACTTGTTCTTTTGCCACTTGCATTCTGAACCGATTCGGGGTGTCCGAATTTTTTCGCTCGATTGGCGGAGGTAGCCAGCTCCAGGACAATTGCTGAAAAAATAGATTTCAATATTACGCATCGATTTTTCATTTTTTCATATCAATTTACGGACCAGTCAAAAAAAATATTTTTTTGTCTGCACAGTGCGAAAAAATTATTTTCGAAAATTCTTCGCAAAGAATGTCGTTTTGACAGTTATTTTTACTTTCACTGAACGCTAGTATTGCATGTTTTCTAATGGCTCAAAAATATGAGAAAAAACTGTCATCGGTGAGGTATTTTATGACAATTCGTTTTTTGCCGCACAGTGCAAAAAATTTTGTTATGCTAAGAAATCTATAAAATACGTCATTATGAATGGTAATTTTGATCTGATAGAAATGCAATTCATCCAAATTTTTGTATTCGCTTCAAAAAATCCAGAAAATCCGTCATCTATGACGTCTTTTACTACTCTTTTTGTTTCATCGCACAGTGCAAAAAAATAGGATTTCAAAAAAAAATTTTTTTGAGCTGTGTCCCAAAATTGAAGCCAAGAATTTTTTCGTATTACTGAGAGGTTCATCTTACCGTAGGCAGTGCCAAAACTTGTGTCAAAACGACCGTTCCAATGATGGCTCCGATCAACAAAACCAATATGGCCAAACAGCAGAACTTGCTGCTGGGCTTGGCCCAGCAATTCCGCAGGTCTTGCATGCGGTTCTTCTTCGGTGTTGGGCTCTTTCCGCCGCCCTCGATCAACGTCGAGCCGCCGATGGGATGGAGCGCCTCCGAGGGGGGTCGGGAGCCGGCCATCACCGGCCCGGGAGTGTGCTGTGGCGGCCGAATGTTGGGGTTGTGTTTGGTCTGGAATTGAGACTTGTTTACCTCGATTTCATAGATAAATTATCTTGAGAAATACTAAGAAAATTGTCGTGTAAATGAGGGAGGAAACGGGAGAAATAAAAATGTCAAAAAGTCAGAAAAAAATGGTCGACTTTCGAAGTGAATTTCCCAAAGGGCGACGATCCGATTTGGATGAAATTTGGCTCAGATCAAGACTGAGTGTCTCTCAGACGCATGGCAGAATTTTACCTTGCGCTTTGCAAAAACAACCGAGATTTTTAAGCCGAAAGTTGCGGGAAATCCTATATTTTTCCTATTTTTTGGTCGGTTAATATCACGGCGGTTCCTGCAAATTGCAAACTAAAATTTTTGGGGATTGATGTATGATGTAGATAGACGATTTACTCCAAATTTGAAGAAAATATCAGTGTAGATTCTCGAGAAACTTCTCTTGTAAAGAGAACTTCTTCAATTTTCTAATCATTTCCGCAAACACAATTTTTTGCTGCCCTTTTGATGCATGATGATAAAGCTATTTTAATTAACTATTCTACAGGCCCTCCGGCAAAGAAAACAATCGATATTCGAAACACTCTTTCAAACCCATCATTGACTGTGATTCAAAACAAAATAAATCGTTTTCTACAACTCGTATTTTAAACCCCTCCCCAACAGCTAAAACGATCTTCAAACCCCGAATAATTAGCCATGCCTAGCCCCAAACAGTAATGACACACCGCGCGTAAAAAAACTTTCATGCAAATTTCTCATTTTGTCCCCCCTTCCCGCGAACCCTCAAGGCCCTTGCGAGGCCTTTACCTCTTTCACGTGGACTACCGTCAGCGGCGTTGCTATGTCTCGTCCATCGGCCTTGGGTCACTCTATTATCCAGAGCAGACTTTTTGTCCTTTTCTCTGCTCTCTCTTATTTTATTTGATCTATAAAGTCGGCAATGGGCGGACTTTTCATTTTCCCACAGTATTTTTACCTTGCGCGAAAACCTTGATATCTCTGATGTATTGAAGTTACTGTGGTCTCTAGTTTTTGCAATATTTTTCTCTTTGCCCTCCGGGCTCTATACGCTCTCTGTTCAGCTCACCTTTACCCCCCCTCTTGTATTGTCCAACGGCCGAAATGTTGCGTCGACCTGCGTTTTCGCCCTCGGGCGCTTCGCGCTGCGCCAACCAACCGCCTTTTTAACTCGCATAGAGATCAATCGCATCGAAGAGACGGCTGAGAAATTTCTCTCTCGCGTTTTTTATAGACAATTTGGGGAGAAGAGAGCGAAAAGAAACGGCGACAATCAAAAAAAGATCAGGGCAAAGAGAGAGAGAGGCTAGGGAAGCGGAAGAATATGAATAATCATAATCCGCGCGCCGTTACCACGGTAACTGCAGCGCCTACAACGCAAGCCATAAGCACCTCCGACGTTGACCCCCAGCCGAACAGCGCAAACAAATTGCGGAGTGCGCGGCGAGGACCGCAAGGGATTGATGACATATAAAGAAAATAGAGGGGGGAATGTGCATGGAAATGAAAATTGCGGCAAAAATACGACAGGTAATAAAAATTCCAGTCGAATTTTGTATAGCAACATAGAAAATGGCCTATCGGCAAAAAAAACTTTGTGAATTTTGGACTTGAAGACCTTGGAATATCAAGTAAATTGCTCAAAGTAAAAGGCTCCGAATTTCTTGAAATTTAGCACTCATGCCCTGCCTGCACCGTATATCAATTCCTTAAAATTTTAGCTCTAGAATTGCAGGCATAGTCGAGATATTCAACGATCTTTGCATTCGAGATATACTGCAAAACGAGGAGGTGGGACGGACAAAAAATGTTTTTGCAAGGGCTCAAATCTTGCAAGTATAGTGTCGGACCCGATCCAGTGGCAAAAAACGTACCATCCTGCATCCGGGAAGTATCAAAAATGAGGCAAAATACCTCCCCCTCCAACTAAAAAACTCCGTTTTGAAGGGCTTCTCACAAAAAGAGCGGGCTCGCTTTTCAAAACGGAGTTTTTTAGTTGGAGAGGGAGGCATTTTGCAACATTTTTTGATACTTCCCGGATGCAAAATAGTACGTTTTTTGCCGCTGTATCAGGTCCGACACTATACTTGCAAGATTTGAGCCCTTGCAAAAACCTTTTTTGTCCGTCCCACCTCCTCATTTTGCAGTATATCTCGCATGCAAAGATCGTTGAATATCTCGGCTATGCCTGCAATTCCAGAGCTAAAATTTTGAGGAATTGATATACGGTGCAGGCAGGACATCGGTGCTTTTGCCATTGGATCAGGTCCGCCATTGTATACTAATACAAACTTTTTGTCGTAATTTTTTCCAAGTTTTCCCAACATCTGAACTTGCATTCCTAGCAATTTTTTTTTAATTCCTTATATGGAAATCAAAATTTTTTTGGCGATTTTAATGGAGATATATGTAGCTTATAAAAACGGCAGGCTCAGACATTATAATACATCTCCAAAGCCATAAAAATCTCCAAAAACTAGCCCAGTTCGGCGTGAAAACCGAAAGTAAACACGGGTTCAAATGGCATCACAAAAGAGACGATCAGATAACAATACGGAACCAGAGATGGGAATCAAAAATTTTATCATGAAACAGAGCACCCTCAAAAAACTGTATTTTGCTGTAGGGTTTAAGTTGCGCGAAAAAACTTTGCTCTGCAAAAACCAGTTCGCCTCCGATTACCCGTTTGATCCCCAGTCAAGTTGCTCGAATTTCAGCCGCTAAGCCCGACCGAGCTCTAATTTGAATAGGGCTCGGTAAACACAGCCTCACGCATAACACGCATACCAAAACCCGTTTCGTCTTTCAGTCATCATGCAGGTCAAACTATCGTGCAAAACAAATGCTAACAATAGGGCTGTTGATCGGGTAAATTAAGAAAAAAAAACGTGATGTATTTCGGCTTTACCGGGCAAATAAGTGAGTGACACATCCTGATGGAGACCAAATACGATATAAGATATATAAGATTTCAGTTTTGGAGGGATATATGACATAAAAAACGGTATAAAAAAAGAAATCTGCCGGAATGTCATCATGCTTTACTTTTTTGATAAAAACAAAAGTTTCATTTATACAATCATAAAAAATCGTTGTAGAATTTAATAAACACCCATCTCGGAGGTGTTACAAAAAAATTGAGGCAATTCCGACAACTCTTCTCACAAGGAAAGTACTTTTATGGGGGCTCCTACTTTTTGATGGGACATATCTCAAAAAATCAGAAAAAATGTGCTGATCAAGGATATATAAATCTTAGCTGCCCATTTTAGGTTTTTAAGGGTGAAAACTCAATCGGAAGATGACTTAAAGCCCTATATGAACCCCTTTTCGCTAAATTTTTCACAGGTTTACAATTTTTATTTTGGCTTAAAATGATGTTTATTGTGTTTCTAAGACGTAATAAATCAGTCTTGACACAAAAATTTATTTTTCCGACCTTCAACTACAAAAAAAGTTAATTCAGTCCAAAAGGGAAATCGAACCCGTGCGGCGTCCTCTCTCTTGATTCCCAGACTACGGCACTAACCACTCGGCCACACCGCTCTCTTCCGAAGGAAGAGACCGACTGCGCTTTTTATCGTTTCGAATGCATGCGCCTTTTGTAGGGAAACTGAGCCAGTTTTTGGGCATTTTCACCCCTAAAAACCTAAAATGGGCAGCTAGGATTTATATATCCTTGATCAGCACATTTTTTCTGATTTTTTGAGATATCTCCCGTCAAAAAGTAGGAGCCCCCATAAAAGTACTTTCCTTGTCAAAGTTTTATAGTATTATCCATGACCCATCTAACACGTTAGTAAAGAACGTTGAATATCTCAAAAACTTATGCATGTAAGACGCTGGAATTTCGAACATATGATATCTAGAGATTACAGATGAGGCATGCAAACTTTGAGGAAAATCCGGCCATTACCCACAGAGTAATTCTCATATTTTTTCACCCATCTCAACTACTACCCCAAACTCACATTAACCGAAATCTGACTCCCCGCCAAGCTCCCGCCATCGCTGTGGACGGGCATTGTGGTCCAACTGGTCTGTCCAACCGTTGTGCTGCCGTATGGATTCAAATTAACGCCAGCTCCAGTGACTGTGTAGATTCCAATATTACCGGGGTGCATTTGAACTTTCTGCTTTATAATGTCGTCAGCATCTACGATATTGTTCCAGGACAAATGACGTTTCACCGGAGACCGATAGGACGAATCGGAGTAGCGGCCGGAAGAGGCATCGTCCGAAGAGCCGGACTGATATGGAGGGGGTGGGAGTACTGCAATGGCAAGTGTAATATAAATTTTATAAAAATATTCGAAAAAAAGTACTCGAAAATACTGTCCGGCATTGAATACAGCTTGATAGTTATAAAATCTTTTATTTTAGAATAGTTACTGTACTTACTGTCATACGGTAGATGGGAAACTGGCAAATGCATTGACTTGGTCTTATTCAATATAGAATACGATGATTTGGGAGGCGTTGTCGGCTCGAAAGGCCGGTAAGGATGTGTTGTCATCTATTTTACCTGTAAATCTCTGATTTTATCACCAGCAAAAATTTTCCCGCCGCGAAAACAAGCAACGCCAAAACTTTCTTGGCATTATGCAACAAGCAAAAAATATCGTCAAAAATAATATTTTTTGGATAGAACGGGAGAAAATACGACTGTTACGGGTCAAATAAGTGTAATTTATGGTCGAAATCCCAACAAAGAAAAGCAGGAAAGAGATGATCCGGAAAAAAGGTAATATTTTATTGTTTTATTCCATATTTTTAGGTTATTTTGAGCTGGGATCAGAAAGACTGGCCAGAATTGTGCTGAATGGCATTGGAAATGGAGGAGAAGAGGATCAAGGGAGGTTGAAGGTTGACAGAGACTACAAAGTGGACGGATCAAGAATATTATTGTAGGTCTTTACTATCCTTCATAAATTTAGGAACTTCGGAGGAGGAAATCGAGGAGTTTTGATGTAAATTAGGTTATGAGGAAGGTTGAGGAGACTGGTTCGCTTTTTATACGCCTATTTTATCGTAACACAATATTAGTTCTAGGTAGAGACGATTTTTATATTACACATGATAGCTGATGGGAAATGTTGATTTTGTCTATTTTCTCGGACATTTTTTGACAAAATAGTTGTCTAGATAGAAATTTTAGGTGATAAGGGCCCCTTTGAAACTAATTTTGTCTTAGTTAGGCCTAATTTATTCCTAAAATTATCTTCATCTTGATGATCAACCCACATAGTTATTTTTTTAGTGAAATCTCCTCAACGGACGAGACTACTGTGCGGAAAACAACCGAAAATCTTGTGGAATTGATCTCATTGTCTCTTCGAGTGGTAAAAGCAGGCCTAAAATACGGTGGGGTGATCGAAAAATCGACGGAAATTCCATTGGACTTGAAGCCGGTTTTTGTTGAATAAATTGTAAAATACGAAAAACTGTGCTTCCATTTCTTAGTAAGACTAAAAATTCAGGTATTATAAACAAAAAACACCAGCTATTCAAAGCGAATTCAGCGAAAATATTGGTCTTTGGCGGATAAACACATAATCGTTTGGCTAATTGACTCAGTTACGCCACGAAAAGCATAAAGACGGATCGTTTTCCGCGAATACGTTTTTGCAATAACATGTAAGCATGTCGTCCGACCCTCCGCGATCTCCTTCTTATAGTCATAAAGCGAAAAATCTCCTTGAAACCTCACTTTAGCCACTAAGCGAGCAAAAATTCAAGATCGAAAACGGTATAAACCGATATTTATTTACTACTAACAAGGGAAGTACTTGAAGTGCGACGCTCAGATTTTGATAAAAATTGGCACAGATGGAGATTAGAATTTTCTTATTCGATTGCGAGCTTTCTAGCTCGCGCTTTGCAGAAACTGCCGAGAAAGAAGGGCCGGAATGTCGAAAAAAATCTTCAAAAACCGGCGAATTTTCCCTGATTCCCTTGATCTTGGCATTCCGTTTCAGGATAAAAATATATTTTTTCTCGCAAGAAATTTTTTCTTGATATTGTTCAACACTATTTTGTTGCTTTTATGTGGAATATTGTGCATTATTTTTATTTTTTTACACTCTGGACATAATTCTTGCGCTATTAATTGGATTGTTGCCATCCGGAGGGTAAAATGTTTCGTTTTTTGACGAATTTATACAGCTTTTCCTCTGCGGATGGGCAAACCACTCTAATAGTTGCTTCAAAGTTGTTTAGGAGAGATGCAAGACGTTATACTTCGTGTATGAACGAATCATAAAGTAAGTTTTCCAAAAATCTTGTTTTTTATTTCAGCAACTAATTCTGAACAACGAGAACAGCGAATGTGAACCGTCAGAACACTGAGTACAATGGCGGAACACCTTTGGGACCGTTTACTTTGTTCGCTGAAATGGATTAAACTGAAAAATAGTGAAAAAATAAAATGTTTGGAACACTTACTTTATGATTACCTTCATGCACGAAGTAGAGCGTTTTGCATCTCTTCTAAACAGCTTTGAAGCAACTATTAGAGTGGTTTGCCCATCCGCAGAGGAAAAGCTGTATAAATTCGTCAAAAAACGAAACATTTTACCCTCCGGATGGCAACAATCCAATTAATAGCGCAAGAATTATGTCCAGAGTGTAAAAAAATGAAAATAACGCACAATATTCCACAATAAAAGCAACAAAATAGTGTTGAACATTATCAAGAAAAAATTTCTTGCGAGAAAAAATATATTTTTATCCTGAAACGGAATGCCAAGATCAAGGGAATCAGGGAAAATTCGCCGGTTTTTGAAGATTTTTTTCGACATTCCGGCCCTTCTTTATCGGCGGTTTCTGCAAAGCGCGAGCTAGAAAGCTCGCAATCGAATAAGAAAATTCCAATCTCCATCTGTGCCAATTTTTATCAAAATCTGAGCGTCGCACTTCAAGTACTTCCCTTGTAAAATCGGCGCAGTTTACTCGTCTAACCTCAATTTAAACTGCGCACTAATTAATTGAGGAGTAATTTTAGTTGGAAAATCTGTAGTTTACAACCATTTTTTGATTTGTAACCATGCGTTTTTAAACAGAGATTGATGAATTTGACGGCGGAAACCAGTCCAAGGTTCAAATTTGATGTCGTGTGGAAAAAAGAGTAAATTATTTTGATGGACTTGATTACTGGGATATTGTAATAGATAGAGAGGGTAAATTAATGTCTAAAGTAATATCGAAAACTCAAAGACTGGTTGAAAAATTAATAAGAATTCATTTTATAGCCATAAACCTTATTTTTACTTATCATTTGAGCGATAAAATCAAAGGGAATCCGCACAGTGCGGAAAAATTAATTTTGCACTGTGCAACGCGAAAAATAGTGCAAAAAGCGGCTTGCACTGTGCGGTCGAAAGTTTTTTGACAAGGAAAGTACTTCTATGGGATATGGAGTCACAGGTCGAGAAATATATCAAAAAATTCCAAAACTTTTTTTCTATTCAGAATGTGTAAAAATTAGCTGCCCAATTTTGGTTTGTAAGGGCGAAAAAATCCTCAAAACTTTTCTCGCAACACCACGCGCCCCATTTTTGCATTGGAACAACTGATTAAGGTGCAGTATTAATCAAATTTGAAGGCTTGTCAAGCTGTCAGGGTTTACTTTTGCTCAAAACAATGCCTTTTTGACCAAGTTTTTACAAATTCAAAAGCTTTGTTTTGAGCTAAAGTAAGCCCTGGCATCTTGATAAGCCTTAAAATATTTGTCAAATTTGATTAACACTGCACATAATAGTAGTTCCAATGTAAAAAAGGGCCATTTTCGTGGTGTTACGAGAAAAGTTCTGAGGATTTTTCGCCCTTACAAACCAAAATTGGGCAGCTAATTTTCGCATATTCTGAATCAGAAAAATTTCGTGATTTTTTTGATATATGTCTCGACCTGTAACTCCATACTCCATAGAAGTACTTTGATTGTGAAAAATTTACACTTTGCAATGGGGTAAAAGGCTAAAGCTAAAATATAAATATCGAATAGAAAATGCATTGTAAATTTATAGTATAAAACAGTAATGAGTTGAAAAGAAACTTTTTTAAAACCTTTTCTGTTGAAGACCAAGTATAACATCGAAAATGACCATGTTCCCGCATTAAAACCCAATCGCTCACGACCTAAGCGTCTCAAGTTCGCAGGTTTACCCGCAGTTTCAAATTGCGATAAACCTGAAAACGCGCCCCGAAGCAATGACCTCGCCTTATCTTTGGGGGGCCAAACCCTTCAAGAAGTTCGAAACCCTTTATTCAAATTTATTCGGAGAGCCGGAGAAATGACCGCTGACCCCTTTCTGCGAATGTCTCTTCGTGGGGCTTGGACAAACAGAGTACGTGGAAAGTAAACGGGGCAAAAAGGTAAAACGAAAACAAAAAAAAGATACCGCGCGCGTCGGGGCCGGTGAAACGGGCTCGAGGCTGGGGTAATTTAAATTACCTCGGCTCCGCCGCAATCGCAGCGGCCATGGGTAGAGGGGGGAGGTAAGGAAAATGACGTCATAAAGTTGAAAATATCGAAAAAGGAACAAAAGTTGATTTTTTGCCAATTTTTTGTTGTCTGAATGCTTGATTAATGCGTTCGGATCAGAGTAGCTTTCATATTGCTCCGTATTTCACTAGTTACTGTGCAAAAATCGCGCCTACAGTGACGAACCTGATCCAGTGGCAAAAAAACATACAATTTTTGATTTTTATAGCTAAAATTTTATAATATTGGGTTGCAAAGAGCGTGATATGGGCTCAAAGATTCTGCAGAATGCAATTTGCCACATCTCAAGAGCGTAATTTATTTGTAACTAGGTAAAAATCGAAAAGAAAACCAGAAATTTCCCATTTTTGATGACTTAAAGCAATTTACAGTGGTGGACATAAGCCAGTGACAAAAAACGTACCACTTTGCTTCCGGAAAGTATCAAAAATGTAGCAAAATGTCTCCCTCTCCATGTGAAAAAACTCCGTTTTGAAGGCCGCCTTCAAATTTCTCTCACGAAAAGAGACGGCGCGTTTTTGAAATCGGAGTTCTTTTCACCTGGAGAGGGAGGTATTTTGCCTCATTTTTGATACTTCCCGGATGCAAAGTGGTACGTTTTTTGCCAGTGGATAATGTCCGCCACTGTAAATTGCTTTAAGTCATCAAAAATGTAAAATTTCTGGATTTCTTTCCGATTTAGCCTAGTTACAAATAAACTACGCTCTTGAGATGTGCCAAATTGCATTCTGCCGAATCGTTGAGCCCATAGCACACTCTTTGCAACCCAATATTCTAATATTTTAGCTATAAAAATCAAACATTTTTTAAAAAATCGTCAAAAACACGTTGCCCAAAAAATGTCAAAATACAGTACCCCCAAGTCAAAAAGTTTTCAATTTTAACTTTTTGACAACCTAGAAGCCCTAAAATTACGAGATATACCCTCCTCGCCGGTATTTGAACCCCAAATCCCACGCATCCCGCGCCTTTTATATACACCTTGTAGCAGGAAGTCGAGATCACAAGATCTCGTGGAAATGTCACGAAATTTCTCAATCACCCTTTCATAATAAACAATCTTTGATTAACAATGATCTATGATTGATGGGGAAAGTGTTACTTCTCGTTTAAAATGTGAAACAAGGTCAATATTTTTTACAATATTACAGTAAAAAGAAGCTCTGGGATGATTTGTGGGTGCTCAAATTGTAAAATATAAAGTGTAATAAGTGTAAGAAAGTTATGAGTAAGTCAGTAGTGGTGTAAAGAGTTTGTTTTTTATAAAACCGGGGACCGCGCGGAACTGGGACGATTGTGGAAACCGAAAAGTATTATTTTTCTTCGATGCAAGTGTCGAAATTAGGATAATCGAGGGTGGTAAATATAATTTTGAAAATGAGGGTCATTTTTTTGATCTTTACTTTTTTCCTTAAGTAGTACTGTAAAGTAGTAATTTTTTGAATTTTTTTCACAAATACTCGACTTGGTTGTTTTCGATGGTGCTACTTTCAAATCAGAGAAAAATGAATAAGATTTTCGAAATCAGCAGGGTCAAAAACCCCAAATTGAGTATTCAGGATAAAAATTCAAAAGATTACTACTTTACGGTACTACTTAAGGAAAAAAGTACAGATCAAAAAAAAATAATGTCATTTTCGAAATCAGCACCCTCGATTATCCTAATTTCGACACTTGCATCGAAGAAAAACAATAATTTTCGGTTTCCCCAATAGTCCAACTCCGGGATCGCACAATGCGAAGTTTAGGAATGGTCGGAAAAATTGCACTGTGCGATAAAATTTTAGGCAAACCACGGGCTAATTATAAAAACTTGACGCGTTTGTGAATACGATAAAGTATTTGAGACGACAAAAGTGCTGGAAACTAATTTTTCAGGGCCTTTTTTTATTTCCGCACAGTGCAATGCAAAAAATAATGGAAAATTCCGGCCGCACAGTGCAAATTTAAAAAAATTTTAAAACTTGGGCTTCGCAGACAATATTGAGTTGAAAAGAAATATGACTAGAGGTGTTAGGAAGATTGTGGTATCAGTAGTAAAAATTTCGAAGTAAAATTTCACCGCACAGTGCAGTTATGGGAACATTTTTAATCATTGCACAGTGCAAAGAAAAAATAGCCAAAAAAGTCCGATTGCACCGTGCGATGTCGAAAAATTTTAATTTTATAGAGCGTCGAGTTATGTGATACCCCCAAAAATCAGACCGCATCTGAATTCCGCCAATTTTTTTAAAAAAATCCTTGAGATTTTCAAGTTTAAGGGCGCACAGTTCAGCTTCAACCCCATAAACTAATAAATTTTTTTCGTTCTTCTGTTCGCACGCCGTTGTCGCTCTCCAGAAATTTCAGCCCGCTTACTTTCGAAACGCCGTTCCAAACCATCTTGGAGAAGATCCTTTCGCGGGGAGATCCATCTTTTCCTTTCTAATTTCCCACGCTCTTGACAACAATAGAACACAAAAAAAGATTGTTATTGTACGAAAGGGAATGCGCATAAGTAGTGGCATTTAGATTTGTTACTTTTACAAGGGGTTGGTGATTTAGATGGGTTTGGGGATTGCACGGTGCAATAAAAAATCAGGTCGTATTTTAGGTTTATCTAAAAAATAAAGTGAGAAATTAACAGTATGGGAATTCTAGAGGACTATTAATTATCAATCACCCACAATGAGAATCATAGATCTTCAGGGTACCTCAAATTTTCACCAATATTATCTTTGCACGGTGCAGCAAAAAGTAAGGTCGTATTTTGCAGTAAATGGTAGGAGGAGGTTAGAAATGAAGAATGTGATACATGCAATGAATATTAAACCATTTGGAAATCAAATCTATAGCTTTATAGACCTTCAGGATATCAACATTTTTATCAACCTCTTCTTCGGACTGTGCAGCAAAAAGTAAGGTCGTATTATAGAGTGTTGCTAGGAAGAATAAGGTCGGAAAGAAACAGTATGAGAATTCTAGACGGCTATTAATCATAAATAACTCAAATTTAGACTCAAAGGTCTTCAGGGCACCTCAAATTTTCATCAATCTTATGTTTGCACTGTGCAGCGAAAAATAAGGTCGTATTTTAGAGTGCCAGGTAAATAAGGTTAGAAATTAAAATGAGATACTTGCAGTGAATATTAGACCATTTTGAAATGAATTCTAGCCTGACAGACCTTCAGGGTGCCTCAAATTTTCATCAATCTTAATTTTGCACTGTGCAGCAAAAAGTAAGGTCGTATTTTGCAGTAATGCTAGGAGGAGAAGGTTAGAAATGAATAATGAGATACTTGCAGTGAATATTAAACCATTTGGAAATCAAATCTAGCTTTATAGACCTTCAGGAAATCCAAAATTACGTCAATAGTATCTTTGCACTGTGCAGTAAAAGGTAAAGTCATACTTTAAAACTCCCGCCCTAATGCCAAAAAATGATAGAAGTATTCTTCTAGTCCATTTCTTGTTCTTCTGCGATCAAATTTACTATTACATAATCACTACTATTAACTATATCCAATAATCTTCCCCACTGCACTGTGCAATCTTCTAAAAAGCCTAAATTTTTCCGTCGCACTGTGCCATAATCATTCTTAACTCCATCCAAACAGTAAGCATTTCGAAAAAAATAAGGAACGCTTTATTTTCGAAAATTCGTAAGTGGCCTTTGCAAATAGGTAGGAATACCCAATGAAATGTAAATTTCTCGCCCTTTCCCAAATATATTCGATTACTCACCTTGTGAAGAGAATGCAATTCAGAGGGCCCAAGGGTCATAAAATAAAAATATCCTAGGGTAATTTGGAAATTGATTTGAAAAAATTGCAATTTATATACTTTATAAATCATTGCACAGTGCAGAAAAAACAAAAAAAAATCCCATCGCACAGTGCGGATTATCGAATTAATAAATTAATTTCTCAAAATAAAAAAAAATTGTCTCAAAAAACCCTATGAAGTTGCCTAAAATCTGCTCTCAACAAACCCAAAAATTACATGGCACTTCAAACTACTCCCGTTACAAATCCCCCCTCATTTGCCACCCTTTCTAATTTCCATATACCCCATTCGCTTTGGGCGTCCTCCAAACGCAGGAAACCCTTTGCCTCAAGCGGCGCGTCGCGTGGCCAGCGCTCCGTTAAATCCGCCAAAAAAGGGGCGAATTTGATTTACCTGCCGCGGGAGCGCACGCGCGCTGGCTCCGCAGAAAAGGACATGGAGCATATCCAGGGTAACAGGTGTGGCGGGGAAGAAGCGAGCGACCCGGGAGGGCAAAGGGAATAATAAAATACAAAAAAACATGGCGATTGTTGCGACTTCCCCGTAAAAATTTCCTTTTTCAATCAATCAAGGTTCTAAAAAGAGTAGATAAGACAAAAATAAAAGAAAAAACAATAGACAAGCCAACATAAAACAATATTTCCCACCAAAACACACATAATGGACAGACACATGAAGACCCCAAAAGCAAAATTTCTTCCGCTAGTTTATTATCAACAAGCCAATAATTTATGTTCAACTTGATGAAGTTTTCATTAATTAAATAACATCAGAGAGTGAGGGTAGAACAAAAACAAATGTGTGTTACAGGAATAATAAGATCAGTTGGCGCCGGTCTCGTCGATGTAGGTTCCCTTGTCCAATTCGTCGGGCAGTTCGGGGATGGTGACGTCGAAGCGGTCTTGGACTCCGTTCAGGGTTTGGGCGTCGGTTTCGTCCGAGACGAACGTGATGGCCAGGCCTTTGGTTCCGAAGCGACCAGCACGAGCGACCTAAAAAAAAATGAATAATATAAAAAAAGGTTACTCCAAGGACCTCTGCAGACCAATCAGCACTTCCTAAGACTGCTACAAAATAAACTACAGTATTCTGGGGGAGAGTAAACGGGATCTTCTTTGCTTGGACTTGGATAAATTTGAGTAAATCTTGACAACTTGTGCGCTACTGGCCTCGCCTTCAACCGGCTTCGGTCCAAACTTGCAAAAGACCTTCTCCGATCCGTCCTCTTCAATTTCACCAACATTGTCGTTGACAATCGGACTAAAACTCAGTCAATATTACACTTGTCATACCTGATCGGAGAGAGGTCTTTCAGTCAGTCAGCCAGCCCCATCTCACCGACGGGAAAAGGGCCTTCCACTAGCCAAATTACAGTATTCCATGCATACTGTAACCATGTCATCGCTGTCGCCAATGAATTACAGTATCCATTCATACATTTTCCATTCAAAACCACCTCATTTTACGTCGGGATTCCCGCTCTCATCCGAACTTGTAAACAACCTACTCGATGAAGATAAGTGTCCGAGCTGTCCGGCATGTCGTAGTTGAAGACAATGTTCACTCTTTCGATATCGATTCCACGGCCAAACAAGTCGGTGGCGACCAAGATTCGCTTCTGGAAGTCCTTGAACTGCTGATATCTGGAGAGGCGCTCTTCCTGCGACATTTGACGGTGGATGGCGATGGAGGGGAAGTTCTGTTCGGTGAGGAGTTGGTTCAGGGCTTGGCAACGTTGGACGCTCTTCATGAAGATCACAACCTAAAACCATATAAATTTAGAGAAAAAACGGCAAAAAATATAAAACAATACGAAATGTTTTATAAAATATGTCCAAAGCATCACTAATGCACGGTGCATCGAAAAAATACCGGGCAAACTCTCAGCTTCAACGTCCCAAAAAAAAACAAGACCGGACGAGATGCGGATGGAAGTCGGTGAGATCTCCAAAAACTGAAGATCCCGATGACCCCACCCAACAACTCTAACGTTGCTCTACCACATCGGTAACACAATTCAACCATATATCATCCCTAGAAGGGGCGAGGAGTCAAACTGCTGACTTACGCTGTGGGGAACCAAAAACCTCTAGTATAACATTGCTACTTCCACTAAAACACAAAAAAATAATTAAAAATCTTACCTGATTAAACTCAAGCGCATCCAAAAGCTCCAACAACTTTCTGTTCTTCTCGTTCTCCTTCAGCTTCACATAATACTGCTGGAGTCCATGGAGGGTCAGCTTGGCATCATCATCAACAAACACTTCCATAGGCTAAAATAAGGTCATAAATCGTGTAACTATTCATCTATTTTGCGTTTCTGGAGATTCTCCAGCCAGTCAAGATCAATATAAACCCTTACCGATTGCATAAACTTCTTGCAGACCACTCTCAGATCCTTGGGCAATGTGGCCGAGAACATCATTACCTGCTTTTCGGTGGGAGTCTGACGGAAGATCAGTTGAACATCACGACGCATGTCCTCGTCGCCAATCATCTTGTCGCACTCGTCTAGGATAAAGTATTTAACATGACTCAGATCCAGCGCCTTCGACTGGGACAGAGCCAACAAACGACCTGGGGTTCCGACCACAATGTGAGGAGTGTTAGTCTTCAACTTCTCCTCGTCCTTCTTGATGGGCATACCACCAAAGAAGACGGCTGTCTGAAAATTCAGTCGTTACGTTGGTCTAGTATAATATGTTGGTAAACCATGAAACTTGGATCAAATCTTCCTCCAGACGTCCTAAAAACCAACGAAAACATTTCAAAGAACTCACCTTAATATTAGGCATGTATTTGGCGAACCTCTCATATTCCTTGTTGATCTGGAACGCCAGTTCTCTTGTGTGGCACATGACCAACACCGAGACCTCGCCATCAACCGGCTGTATCTGTTGCAGCGTGGCCAAAACAAAGACAGCGGTTTTTCCCATACCTGACTTGGCCTGACAAATCACATCCATACCCAAGATGGCTTGAGGAATGCATTCGTGCTGGACTTCGGACGGATGTTCGAAACCGCAATCGATGATGGCTCGGAGCAATTCGGGTCTGAGCATGAGATCGCGGAAGCCGGAACTGTGAATGGACGCATAATGTCCCTGAAATTGAGGCGAAATAAGCAAGTTTTTGAAGAAATTCGTATATTACACTAGTTCCTCGGGGATTTGGAAATTTCTCAAAAACTATCGGACAGAATCCCGCCAACTTTCTTGTGCAGTTACCTAAAGACCATCCCCAACTAATGAGAGTAAATTCGTCCAAGAATTCCACTTTAATCTAAGCCTACAACCATTTTCAGCTGAGCTTCCACTTGACAAAAAAAAATCCCCGATAACACCTAAAAACAAACACAAAAACCACAAGAAACATACCTTCATGGCCTTCTTGGCATCCCCACCGGAGCCATTCTCCGGCTTTTCGGTGGCATCGACCTCCTCCTGCTCTTCCTCATAGTCGAGAAGCTGATCCTCATCCATCCTTATCTTTACCAAATCTTCAAAACAATGCAAAAGTTAGTGTGGAGAAACGTCGGGGGACGTTGTTGTTCGCAACACGAAGAAATAAATTTCGAAAACAACGCAAAACTGGCCGGTCCACATCGACTTATGTTACACCAGACTCCTCATGTGTAATTCGGAGGCCGTCGACGCATGTGAAAGACAACATTCCGAGCCACGACATCAAAACGATAGAGAAATCGGGGCCAATGTGGCTTGCGAAATGGTTTTGGCGCTCAAGACGCCAATCGATTCCATCCACCGTAACTTCTCTGGCATTCCGTCGTTTTCGTGGTGGGACGCAAGTAGAAGTGCAGTGGGATGTAAAATATGAATATTCTGGGTGTAAACTAGCTTCTACAGCCCAAATAAACAACTGAGAACATCAAAGAGCAGAAAAAATCTTGTTTTACCATCAAAAATAATAAGTTTTCGCTAAAATATTACACTTGACATCAGTCGTTTAAAATAATATCGCTAGAGCTCAAATCAAGACGCTTTTGCTAGAATAAGGTACCCAAAGACCTGCCAGCTGCTTTACGCGTTGTCACAGACATATATTCCACTTTTTCCTGCCAAAAAACAACGCGCCAATCGGAGCTCCCCTAGTATAATATAAATTTACGGCTACACCCGTAGTAATTGCGCATGCGCAACAACAACTGCACACAGTCAACTTGGAAGCATAGTCTTTATTCAAGAATCGATAAAAAGCACAGAGGACAGGGATTTATTGGAGTGAGATGTAAAGTTTAGAGTCGAGTGAGTATAAGATAAATTTGGAACCGTTTTGGAGGACGTCCGGAAAACAACGCGGGAATTAATTTGGACGTAAAGAAGACCTGTTTTTGGGGGCTAAAGTAATCTGTTTGGAAATTGACAACCTAAAGAAACAATGATTTTGATCAAAAAATTTGGAAATTACACAACAAATTGTAAAAACTTTACGAAAAAGCAATTAGAACAACTTTCAACAACGAAAAAAATAGTCGGGGATACGCCCACCCCTTGACTGCCACTCTACTCACAATTATACCATTATCAACAACTAAAATTTCAGAAAAATTTTGAAAATTTCGGGAAACTCGCAAAAAATCGACCCTTTTCAAAAAAATCGTCAAAAAATTACAGTAATCCACAAATAACAGATAGATAAATTAGTGTAAATTGTAGAGGAGTTCATGAGCTTGTCGCTTAATCCAAGTCTCCTCTCTAAACCGCATACTGCGATATGGTATTTTTGATTTTATCCGGGAGACAATCCACAGCCGATGGGTCCGTGGAAATGGCTTTTTGTACCATTTGGGCCAAAAATTTCTTCACATCGATGTCTTTGGGGATGATTGGGTCCGATTGGATGTTGGTCAGCTTGCAGTAGACATCAGCGGCTTCCGATTCGAGGTCTTCGTCGGCTTTTTCGAAGATCACCGAGGTGGTGGTGGACTCCACAACATCCACCGAGCACTCGACCAGGGCGCGGAAGATGGGTCTAAAATTCGACCGAATAAACGACCAATAAGTTTACGATCATTTCGGAACAGGGACGATTGGAGTAAAGCACGATTGGGGAAACCGAAAAGTATTATTTTTCTTCGATGCAAGTGTCGAAATTAGGACAATCAAGGGTGCTGATTTCGAAAATGACATTCATTTTTTTTGATCTTTACTTTTTTCCTTAAGTAGTACTGTAAAGTAGCAATTTTTTGAATTTTTTTCATGAATACTCGATTTGGGGGTTTTCGACGATGCTGATTTTAAAACAAAAATAATAAGATTTTCGAAATCAGCACCATCAAAAACCCCCAAATCGAGTATTCATGAGAAAAATTCAAAAAAGTACTACTTTACAGTACTACTTAAGGAAAAAAGTAAATATCAGAAAATGACCGTCATTTTCGAAATCAGCACTCCCGATTATCCTAATTTCGACACTTGCATCGAAGAAAAATAATACTTTTCGGTTTCCCCGATCGTCTTTTCCCCAATCGTCCAACTCCGGGATCGCACAGTGCGAAGTTTAGGAACAGTGGGAAAAATTGCACTGTGCAATAAAATTTGAGGCATACCCCCGGGCTAGTTATAAAAACTCGACGCGTTTGTAAATACGATAAAGTATTCGAAACGAAAAAAGCGCTGGAAACTAATTTTTCAGGGCCTTTTTTATTTCCGCACAGTGCAATGCAAGAAATAATGAAAAGTTCCGGCCGCACAGTGCAAATTTAAAAAAAATTCAAAGCTTTAGCTCTGCAGATATTATTGAGTTGAAAAGAAATATTCTAGAGGTGTTAGGAAGATTGTGGTATCAGTAGTAAAAATTTCGAAGTAAAATTTCATCGCACAGTGCAGTTAAGGGAAGGGGCTTTTTTTTCTGCACAGTGCAAAGAAAAAATAGCCAAAAAAGCTCGAATGCACTGTGCCATGCCGAAAAAAATCTGTTCCACCTAAAAATCAAAAAAAAAACTAATAACTTCCACTTACTTAATCAATTCGTACGTATCTCCGATTAGGGAGGCCAATCCAAGTACAATATGCCGTTTGTCGTCATAATTCTGAGCCAAATGGTTTTCTCTGAGCTCTTTGAGTAAGACTTTGTCCACCACCATCTGCACCATTCCTGGTTGGATTTCATTCAACACATGGGCGAATCGTTCAGCTCCTTTGATATAAGCTAGTCTGGTCAAGAACAAGACGAAGATCCTCGTAAATCTCTGCGTTTTATTCGTTTGATATCTGTTCAACATTGGCAGTAGGATACCTCTGGTGGTTAGGACTGGGTTAGTCTAAAAAATTGGCATTAATTTAGTCCTGACATCAATTTTTCTATCTAACAAGGAAAGTACATCTATGGGGTATGGAGTTACAGGGCGAGACATATATCAAAAACCCGCAAAACTTTTCTGATTCAGAATATGCGAAAATTAGCTGCCCAATTTTGGTTTGTAAGGGTGAAAAAAGCATCAGAACTTTCCTCGCAACACCACGCAAACGCCTTTTTGACAAGTTTTTACCAATTCAAAAGCTTTGTTTTGAGCTAAAGTAAACCATCTTGGTAGCCTTACAATATCAAATTTGATTAATACTACACCTTAATTAGTATTTCCAATGTAAAACAGGGGCACTTGCGTTGTGTTTTTTTTATATTGGAACTACAAATTAAGGTGTAGTATTAAGGTGTAGTAAATCAAATTTGATATTTTAAGGCTTTTCAAGATGTCAGGGTTTATTGTAGCTCCAAACAAAGCTTTTGAATTGGTAAAAACTTCGTCAAAAAGGCATTTGCGTGGTGTTGCGAGAAAAGTTCTGAAGCTTTTTCGTCCTTACAAACCAAAATTGGGCAGCTAATTATTACATATTCTGAACCAGAAAAGTTTTGCGATTTTTTTTGATATATGCCTCGACTTGTAACTCCATAACCCATAGAAGTACTTTCCTTGTAAACTAATACTATTTTCGGCAAAAAGTCCTTGAAATTTCCTGCGACTCTGCACTGTGCATGAACCCAAAAACCATTTTTGCACTGTGCATCCGGCCCAAAAAGTGCTTTTGCACAGTGCAATTTTGTTTTTTTGCCTTACGTCCCGTCCCATTTTTCGCAGTGACAAATCAACTTTTCACAGTGCGACGAGATTTGGGGGTCGCAAAAAATTCGAAAATTCCAAGGACTTTTTGTCGGGACTAGTATCAACTATCAAGTATAACATAAATTCCTACATCGTAATGTGGAATAAGCGCCGTGGCCAGTCGGAATCCATTCTCTTCCAGGGTTCTCGAGCTGATCAAGCTCTGATAGCATCCCATGACGCTTTCCACATTCCCCGATCTCAAAACAAAGTCCGGCGCGGTTTTAATAAACGCCTCAAAAATCGTTGTGAGTGCCGGAGCGTTCACAACCCTCTGCCAGAAGGTTCCTCGGACCAGATGGGGGAAGAAACTCTCATATTTCTCGGCTCCGTAGTCCTGACGGCCAAGGCGTTTCTCGGTTTCGGACTGGTACAGGAGCAAAGCGACGATTTGGAGGGAGTACGGGACAAAATCCACCAAATCTGCGCTGATAATTTGCTCGATTAGGGGCATTACTCGCTCAGATATGGCTTCTTGAATGTAGGGGAAGCTCTTTTTGATCACCACACACAGAGATTCGAACACCAAGTGTGTAAACATCGGATTTTGGGACTCCTTGACGACCGCTTCGATGAGGCGGACCAGGAAATCCACGTACACATTGGCGGATTCGGCTTGTTTTTGCTGAAAATGGATAAAAACTTGTGAAAACTTATCAAATTCTCGAAAAAATTTCAAATTTTGACCTAAAGTAATATAAAAATTTTTCATTTCCAAAAATTACCCCATATTTGACCCCAAACTCACATCCATCAAGGACAAACACCTCATAAACGCCTTCATCAAGTAGTGGGACTTCTGCGAGTCGGGTTTTTGGATCGCCGAAATCAATGCCTCCAGGTAATCATGTGCGGGGATCGTTTGGGAATTGAAGATCAGCTCCTGAAATGGCCTCTATTCTCCTTGAAACTCCTCAAAATTCATCAAAACACAACTTAAAATCACAAAAACTCCAAAAAATCGCCAAATTTATATTACACATGCCGCACTTACATTATTTTTCTTGACAGTTGCCAGCTTATCGAATGCATAGCCCAAAAAGTGGTGCAGAATAACTTTATCCGAGCCTAGGATTCTTCTAGCGTATGCGTTCGGTTTTCCAAATGCTTCAATCAAGACCTGCGGATCTAATTGGTTCCTGAACAAGACCACAAAATTCAGCGCGTCAGCAATCAAGATTGGAGGGTACGAGTTGACGTCCACCTCGACCAGTTCTGGACGGACAAAACTGTTGTAAAAATCGTGAATATTGATGAGTTGGGAGACCGAAGTTGCACCTTGTCTGGCGGTGGTTGACTTGGATGCCAGAGCCGAAACCAAGAAGTAAACGACGTCTTTTTTGATCCAATTTTGTGTCGGATTGGACTGAAATTCAATTTTGATTAGTTTTAACATCAAATCAACCGAAAATTTATAAGATTTCAGTGAAAAAATGAAGGTATCAAAAGACTACCTAAAACAATATAATTTACCTGAAATTCATTAAGATATTGAGTGATGGCTTGGCCCAGAACATTAAAAACATCATTTTCAAAGTATTTCGTCAAGGCTCGGACAAAATCGACAGCTCCACGACGTCTGGTTTCCAAATCAAGACCTAAAACAAGGTAAAGCAATATAAAAATTCTCAAAATTCCATGACAAACCAAATAGATCTAAAATCAAGAGCTTTCTAATAAAAGAATATGTATTTTTCAACCTAATCCATCACAATATTCGTTAGTAAACCAACAAAATTTACCTTCAATATCCCTTTTGAGGTAATCAAATGGTTCATCTTCAAACTGTTCCAAATCCTCCTGTCGCAGCGTCAAATTCTTGATCACGACAGCTTGACAAATCTGCTCCAAAACTCCGGGCTCCCGAAAGATTTGGCCGTATCGTTCTCGCTCACAGACCGCCGACAAATATCCCAAAGCGGCATTGACGAGAAGGTCAAACCGGACACGATGATCGGTCTGGACCAGCAAATTCCACACAATCTCGATGAACTTCATAATGTACGGTAAGAATTCCTCTTCGAAGCGTTGGGAAAACAGCTTGGCAATATCACAAATGACTCGTTTTAAATTATCCAGGTTGTTTGGTTCCGTCGAATCGGATCGAGCCTCATAAGTCGGGAGTTTCAACGCCAAAAGACGAAGGTAGCCGGTCATCCACTCTTCGAGATGGTCCTGAAGACAACAAGAATTGAAAAGGTAATTTTTCAACCAAAAATTATATTGCACTTGACATCAACCTAAAAGTCGAACAAAAAAATCAAAATCATACCTCAAAGAACTCGGGAAGGTCTTGCCAGATGAGAGAGTAGTATATTTTACTCAACAACAGCAAAACTTCAAGCCATTGGTTCTGTTCATCCACCGAAATTGAGGGCTCTTGTCCCTCTGCCGGGATAATCTCAACCATCCTCTTGAACAGGTCCGTAATTGGTTGTGCGATACTTTTCAAGACATGGATGATCTCTCGGATCAAATCATCAGATCGTCCATGCTTTCGGTAACGATGAACCAGCTGTTCGATGGCGGTTAGCGACGCCAAAATGTGGGTGAAATCGCCGGTGAGGTTTTGGGCGAGGATCTCCATCAAATTCTCCCACCGATGAGGGAAATCGTAGGTTCCGATGATGCAGAGGGCTTGCGAAAGTTGTCTTCGGTAAACTTCTTCCATTTGAAACATCCCACTGATCACAATTTGACGGATCCGTTCTCTTTCCGATTCCTCAAGAGGAGCAACAGCCAATGTGCCTTCTGGGTTCTGAAAATTGACGGTTTAAGTTAATAGGACGAAATTCAGCTAACGAATTTATGCTAAAACTGACCACAAGGCCGCCATAGAGCTATATTTTATATGGGGCATCACATCTCATCAAAAAATATTGAGTTATAGCCGTCTTTTCAAAAATTCGCCGACGAATCCTCATGGATAATATTAAATTGGTCATATCTAGAAACTCAACCACTCAAGACAGCTCAAATTCCTTATCGACCTGCTCAAGACTTCCAAGAAACTGTATTCCAAATATCAAAATTCTGCTTCTCATCTCCAACCCATACCATCAAATTTTCCGACCTTACCCTTGGTCAATATATCCCGTACTCACCCAATTATTCCTGATGAAATTCTTGAACGCCACAGCAGCGGCAATTTTAATATCGTTGCCCACACTTGTCTCATTGATAACCTGCAGTAGCACTTCGGCAAACCCTAAAGAACAATAAAACAATATGAAGTTACATACCTGGAGTCTTTGAAAGTTCTTCCAGTTGTTGTTCGGCTTGCTTTATAATCTGACTACTCGGCGAAATACTTGCTTGCAGGATGGCTGGTAAATTCTCCACAATTCCGGCCATTTTCGTCGAAATTCACGTACGGTTTCCTCGAAAACTACCTAAAGTAATTTACGTAAAGATGCTGGCTATCTCATAGAGTAAAAAATAACAACCTCGGATACAGTACTCGCGAACTTTACAATGTTCACGATCTTCTCCTTTCGAAATAATAAAATTCGCACAAAAACGGCAATAAAGGCACGAAGAAAAACTAATTTATCATGCAGTCTGCGCCCTGGCGTTGAGAGAGTATTCCATTTGGAGAGGGAAAGAAAAAAACGCAAAATTTCCTCAGAAACCTCTCTGGCTCTCTCCACAAAACACTCATTATTTTCAAGTCAGGGCGCAGCTCGCATTATAAGCGAAAATTTTTGGAACGTTTCCAAAAATTTTCGCGCTTTGCAACGGAATGCCAACTTTTGGCATTGCTTGTTTTCGTGGTGGGAAAATCTTCGAGACTTGATGACAATAAAAATTTATGCAAATTTCGGCATTACGTAGAGCAAAAAAGATGTCATTTGGTCCGAGATCAATTCGAAAACCGGTTGCTGAGGTTTCTCCTTCTCCTAGCTCGAGTGATGTGGATGCAGAAAGTGTTCATCTTCCTGGCCAGCACCCTGTTCTTGTGTTCCGCACAACAGTGGATGTTGGATCTGGACTTTCAGACACTCCCGGAGGCACATTCGAACACCGAGTGTTGCGCGTATTTCCAGTACAATCAACGGAGTGGATATTGCAGAGCCAAAATTGTCAGTTTGACCCTGTACTTGTACTAGGTGTAAGATGGAAAAGAGGTAGAAGGAGACTACTGATTTTGACGAAACTTGGCAGAAAATTACTGTAGGGCCTAGTAATTATTTCGAGAAAATTTCAGCTCTCGGCGTTGGGAAATAAACGAGATATAACAATTTTAACTGAAAACGAGCCCTATTTTTACAGTAATCTCTCAATATCTCCGCAGTCTCTGCAAAACGCGGTCTGAAACTTTCAGGCCTTGATTTGATTATCATTTGGAATAGTTTAGCCAAAAATTTTATAAATCGGGATGTTAAACTTGATCCACTCTTCTTGGATATTACACATGACATAGCACGCTGAAAATCGCTCAAATTTATCTCTTATCATGATTTTTGTAAATCTCAACTCATAATTGTTCGTTTCAGCCAGCTGGAGTCCCCAACCATCATAAGAAGAAGTTCTGCGAAATGGCCCAAGCGGCCCTCTACAATGGTATGTGTAATGTCGAAAAATCCCGATTTTTGGCAAGAAAATGACAAATCTTTTCTTGATATATGTTTTACAGGCTATAATACGCTTTGTAAAACACTATTTGCCCAGTTTTTTCGGAAAATTTATATTACACTAGACAAAAATTTCTTTTTTTTTTAATTTTTTCCTATTTTTTAGACAAACTTTGTGTGGCCCACATTCCGAAAGCCACCAATCGCGGAAAGTCGGGCGAATCATCGCAAGATATGGCTTAATTTGTCATGAGGAAATAAATTTTATATTACACATGATGACAATTCAAAATAAACTCATTTTTTATGAAATATATGGGGTTTATTTAAGATATTACACGTTATAAGAGATCCTCGGTGAATAACTTGTTTTTTCCATTCGAAAAATCCGCGAAAAGAGTGTTTGTGTTCGCTGAAGAGCAGAGAAACGAAGGTCGATTATAATATTTTTGAAGAGAAAGGGCTCAAAATCCGTTCGATTCCACGGATTTTGAACGTTTTATGAGGGGAAATTACATGAATCCTCGATATTTTACTGAGCTGACCCTTGAAATTGCCGTATTTATTGTTAAACGAACATTTTTTTATATTACACTTGATATCGAAGTCAAAAATTTTTTTATTTTGTGTCAGATTTTGATAGATATTTATCGCACACCAACTATAAAGAGCTATTACAGCACTGTCAAGGCGTATGAAGCCTTGCAAAGGTCTTAAAACGCGATAATTTTCAAAAATCATCAAAAAATAGCCCGATTTCTGTAGAAAACTTGATATATCTTGGTTCTTTGTCAATTATGACCCCTCAAAATAGATGCAAATTCTAGCCAAGTCTATGAAAAGTCACTATGTTTCTTTTCAACTCATTTTTTACCAGGTAAAATACATTAATTCCCCATTTACTCAAAAATCATCAAAAAGTAGCCCTTTTTCTATAGAAAACTTAGTATAACTTGTGTTTTTGCCAATTATGATCCCTCAAAATGGTTGCAAATTCTAGCCAAGTCCATGCCATGACAAGTCACTATGCTTCTTTTCAACTCATTTTTTACTCACTAAGCTACAGTAATTCCTCATTTTTTCCTACCTTCTTTGAGTTCGGGCCTTCCGATTTTTAACCGCTCAACTTTCGAAAACGGTCCTTTTCTGTGTGGAAAAAGCTTGGCTTTGCAAAGGGAACCCCATTAATCGTCTTGTTTTTTCTCCGTATTCCCAAAACTTTTACAATATTTTCGTTATTTTCGCCTTGCTCACTCTTTTTCGATGACTTTTTGACTTTTTCCCCTCAAAAAATAACTTTTTAAACCAACTTTTAGTCCAATTAAAGCTTGTTTTGCAAAATCCCCCCTTCATTTTTTATTTCCACAAACAATTTTTTACAAAACGACAGACTTTTTGTTATTTTTTGACCTTATCTTTCCCATCTGCCGGATGATTTTGCCCTTTTGTTTCGACGTCTGCTCGTTTGTTTTTTGCAAAGGTGATGCTGTTTTAAAGCTCTGCAATATATCTTTTCATATTTTTCATATTTTATACCCCGTCATTTGTAAGCGCTTATCATCCCGAAATCGGATTAGAGGCGAGCTTTTGAATTAACGGTTTGGAAATTGAAAATGTTTGAACAACATGTGATACGAGCTTTTCATTCGGGAAAAAATGGTTTATTAAGTTTGTGCTTTATCAAAAATGCTTGTTTAGGAAATTATAGTTGATGATAAAATGGTAACTACAAGTGCTTATGTAATATAAAAAAAGTAGTGATCTAGGTGTTATCGATCTCAGATTTTTATGAAATTTTGCGCACACCTTGTCCCTAGGCCGTATATGAGTTTCTGATAATTTTAGCCAGAGCGTTGAAGGAACTGCCAAGATATTCAACGGGTTTTCTGACTGCGGAAAATGAGGAGAGACGGCCAGAGAAAAAAAAACATTTTTGGGAGAGGATCGTTGAATATCTCGGCTAAAATGTGCAAGAATTTCTATGTGGGCCAACTAGATTTTGTAAAAAAATTTGATGAAAAATAAGCATTGTCTTTGTCACAATCAAACCTCTTCAACGAATAACATAAAATTGATTCTTTGTAAAAGTTTTTGCTGTTATAAGGCTCGTTTTGGCCTAAAATTGATTTTTGGGACCCCGAAAATGATTTGTTATAGACAGTCTTTGTTTTGTAGAGGTCATGCCGATTTTTTAGTACGAACTTTTCACTCTAAATGATAGAGGATTAATTGTCATTTTCAATCTGTTTACCTAATGTCTGCAGTCTTATAAAAAATTTATTTGTATCATAAACACTAAAAAAATGTAAAAAATGTCCTTGCGTGTCGTAAAAGCAATATTTACCCGGAAATCTTTAATTAATTTTTGAATTTTCGTTTCAATTACTACATTACAATTTTACATACATATAGGAATGGGCAACAAACCAAGCGGTCCAATGTTGGATGAAGAGGAAATTCAGGGAATCTGCGCTTCAACTGGATGTAAGTTGGTATCTTTTGATGGAATTTTATGTTAAAGTCATATGTTCTTTTTTAGTTTTAATAACAAAAGGTATAAGCCGACGTATTTTACAATTCATATTCAAAAAATCTCAATCTGACAGGGGAAGTACTAAAAGTGCGACGCTCAGATTTTCTTTAAAATTTGCACGAACGTCGGATATGGACTAAATATCAATTCCTGAAAGTTTTAGCTCGCGCTTTGCGGCCGCCGCCGAGATATCGAACGATTTTTGCCGCCGAGAGAGCACGATAACCGTGGATTGCGGTCAGAGAGAAAAGCGCTTTTTGGCCATAACTTTGGCACTTCCGTGCGGAAAAATGTGATTTTTTGTAGAAACATTATCCTTTACGGTTGAAATAGGCATGAAACTTTTCGTGCCGAAATTCGGCAAAAAGTACTTAATTTTCGTTTACTTTCGATCGAAAAATCTCGGTTGTTTCTGCAAAGCGCGAGCTAGGATTCTCGGATATATCTTAGAAAACATTATTCTAAATTTGTGCCAAGTTTCATCAAAATCTGAGCGTCGCACTTGGAGTACTTCCCCTGTGAATGCAATCGACTGGTCGAATTTCACAAATTTTTTTAGAATGTAAAGGTTCTGTATCTCGGCTGCAGTGCAACCTTTCATTCGGGGCAGATCTGGTATTGGCCCAATATGTGTAGTCGACGTTACAAAATGGTTTGACCAGCCAGCCAATGGGCTGAAATCACAACTGAATTTTTTAATGGCTAGCCAAAAAATGGATCGGCTGGCCAAATAAATTACGTATGCCTATTTTTCACAGCTATTCCAAAGTTTTGGCCAGCTTTTTTCGAGATTTCAAAGCCATTCTGACACATTGGCTAGTTGATCCATCTTTTGGCAGCCAGTAAAAAATTTGGTTGTGATCTCAACTTATTGGCTAGCTGGTCAAAGAATTTTGCAACATTGGCTATGCATTTTGGGCCAATACCCGATCTGCCAAATGAATGGTAACCGGATGCAGCGGCGCCAAAACTTTCAGGGATAAATAGGAAAAGTTCCGGATAAAATGTCGCTTCGTATTTTACAACTCATTATAAAAACATTTCCAGTCAACCGGAATCAACTCCTTCGCTTGCACAGAAGATTTGTGGAGCTGGATCGGGATGGGAATGGCTACCTGACCAAGGATGATATGATGCGCATCACTAAGCTCAATGTGAATCCGTTGGGAGAGCGGGTTGTGGACGCGTTTTTCACTGAAAGGTAAAACTTCTAGTCACTTTATTTCTAGTCACTTTTTAATTTTTAAAGGCCACTAAATTACTACAGGATATTTTTGATGAAACTTGGCACAAATTTCGAGTAAATTTTTCTAGGACGCTTTGCATTCCTAGCTCTCGCTTTGCAGAAACAACAGAGGCTTTTAGGTCGAACGTAAGCAAAAAACTCGCCTTTTTTTTCAAATTGCGGTATGAAAAATTTACGGCCTATTTTTATCGTACAGCGTAATTTACACTTCCAGCCAAGACTACAGCGGGATGAATTACCGCGACTATGCCACAGAGGTCCCCTGCGAAAAAGTGTCATTCCCTCAGTTCGTAAAAGTGTTGGCGAGATTCCGTCCGCCCAGCAAGAAGGACGCCAACGAATTGAACACTAGACTCCAGAAGTTGCGATGTAAGTTATAACACATAGTCACTCCTGGGGCCCCACAGAGGAGTGAGAAATTAGGAGGTTTTTGATAGACTTTAATAATGTTTTGGAGGGTTTGTACGCTCCTAATTCTAGAGCAATCATTGTAATACTACTTACGATTAGAATTCACTGTCAGGCCAAAAGCGGCTTTAACTTCCACCGGGCCGGTAAAAAAAAATTTTTTGAAATGGGCCGGGACTAGAGGTGGCAATCGGGCCGGCCCAGGGCTTTTTCAAATTTGCTCAGGCCCGGCCCGATGAAAGCCCAGGCCGGCCCGGCCCGGTTTGGCCCGCTATACATAAAAGTTGGATAAAAGTCTTTGGACTTTCTACTGGAAGTTATTATGCTTTCCAGAAGGTTTTTACGTGTGTCTGCGCGAAATTAAAAAGTCTAGTCGGATGACTGGAACATCCGTACAGGTAGCTAAACCTTACAATTATCCAAAAAGTTGGATTGTATTAAATTTTTTAATCCTATAGGAAGTTAGCTATATAAAAGTATGGACGTTATAAGGTACATGGTTAACCAAAAACTGTTTAAACACTTTCATTTACATCAAGGAATCAAAACAGTGAAATTTTTAAATCTATCATAAAAAAATTCGAAGATTTTTGCCCGACCCTTGCATATTTGGGTGGGATTTTACATATACATAATAAGTTACATATACATATAAATACATAATTTTAAAAGGTAGTAAAACAGCGTATAAGTCAAAAAAGGTTTAATCTAATTTCCATCATTTCTACAAAGCATTTGTGCTTTATTTTGCTGGTTTGGCATTAAAAATTTTTTTACTTATCTAGCTTCCGGGCCGGGCCGGGCCGAAAGTGTCGGCCCGGCCGACGGGCCGAAGCGGTCAGGCCGGCCCGGGGCTTTTTCAAATCTGATCAGGCCCGGCCCGGCCCGGCCCAATCACCGGGCCCGGCCGGGCCGGGCCGGCCCAGCCCGATTGCCACCTCTAGCCGGGACACCTTTTTCGGCACAAAGCCATGTCCAGGCTAGACATGGTTGGCGCAGCTTGGTGGAAATCTGGAAAGTGGTCGGTCCAAGCTGACTTCTTTTTGGAGTCGGGCTTGTGGCTCGACGTTTGTTTCCAGTGATGATCCAGTGGCAAAAAACGTATCATTTTGCATATGGGAGTATCAAAAAATGTAGTATAATGCCTCCCTCTCCAACTAAAAAAAAGCCCCGTTTTGAAGGGTTCCCTCACAAAAAGAGCGGACGCGTTTTTGAAATCGGAATTTTTTCATTTGTAGAGGGAGGTATTTTGCTACATTTTTTGATACTTCCGGGATGCAAAATGGAACGTTTTTTGCTACTGGATCATGTCCGCCACTGTAAGTCGGGATCGGCCACTTTTCTATATTTTGATCGGGCCGGGGGCTTAAAATTAGCCGTGCCAGCCATGTCCAGTTCAGTCGCGTCTTTTGGTGCGACATCGCGCTGATAATTTCATTATTTTCCCGACAAGCTGATTCTAGTCCTTCCGGAAATTTGAAAGACTAAATTTTGGCGTTTGCACAGTGCGAAAAAAGTAAAGATGGGCAGCCTAAAAAAAGCCTATTGTACGGTGCAAAAAGGCACGAAATTGTACAGTGAAAAGTGAACTTTTGTTTTCCATGCCGCAAAAATTACTACAGAGACTTCCCTGACGAGCTAGTACGCCATAAAAAACTTACCATGTAAAAACTTACACGTATACAAACTCACCATTTCCAGTCGCCTTTTCCATGTACGACCTGGAGAAGAACAACTACATAACGCGCGACGAATTCCGTCAGATTTTGCAAAAAATGGTCGGCGGCAATGTGAGTGACGAACAGCTGGACAGCATCGTGGACAGGACGATCGGAGAGGCGGATCAGGCCAAGGACGGGCAGATCTCGTTCGAGGAGTTTTGCAAGGCTATGCAACGGACCGATGTGGAGCAGAAAATGTCGATTCGGTTTTTGAGCTAAACAGTGTAGACATGTAAAAGTGCTTTTGTGCCAATAAACGAATAATTAACAAGGGATGTACTCCAAGTGCGACGCTCAGATTTTCTTTAAATTTTGCACACACGTCGGGTATGGACTAAATATCAATTCCTGAAAGTTTTAGCTCGCGCTTTGCGGGCGCCGCCGAGATATCGGACGATTAATGCCGCCGAGAGAGCACGCTAAATGTGGAGAGCGGTCAGAGGGAAAAAACACTTTTTGGCCATAACTTTGGCAGTTTCGTGCGAAAAAATTTGATCTTTTGTAGAAACATTATCCTTTACGGTAGAAATAGGCATGAAAATTTTCGTGCCGAAATTCGGCAAAAAGTCCTAAATTTTCGCCGACTTTCGATCTAAAAATCTCGGTTGTTTCTGCAAAGCGCGAGCTAGGATTCTCGCATATATCTTAGAAAAAATTATTCTAAATTTGCGCCAAGTTTCATCAAAACCTGAGCGTCGCACTTGGAGTACTTCCCCCGTAAATCAAAATTTACTGTATTCTCACAAAAAAAAATAAATTAAAAAAATTAAAAAATGAATTATGAGTACGATTTTTTTTTGAATCCTTCACAGTAGTATGTTGTAGTAATCTGTACAGGTTACCTGGGTGTTATTTAGGTAGCGGTAATACGATGAGTTTACGTCTAGCCCCGCCACTGTCTAATAGAAGAGAGTAGTAAGGCCCAGGAATATTAATATACTGTAATATTACTCCTTATTCCAGAGGTCTGCTCTGCACCCCTACGGGTCAGACGTCGGGAGACTCCGCTTTCTCTTTCGATCCGGCTAAGTCTGCCGCGACAAATCCTTCTCAATTTTCGATCGGGTTTTTCGTATGTTGACTAATACGATAGCTCCCAACGGCTGTGTGTTGATGGGTCATTACGTCTCTTTTGCCCCGAGGTATGTAGTTCGAAACTGTGGCAACATATTGCATATAGAATAACTATGCTTTCCTCATTGACGTTTTATTATCTCTCCGGACCAGTAAGCTATCTTCAGGAAAGTTGATTTTACCATGAAGTTTGGCACATGCAATGCACAAACATTAATTGTTCATTGATCTCGATAGGAACAACAGGAAAACGGAGGTTTGTAGGAGGAATAATCAATACTTTGTAAACACCATCATCCTTCACATATCCTGGAGGATCCCAGTGAACAACACCCGTACCTGTAAAGGTTAGGTAGCTCGGGAATTAACTCTATAAAATATCATTTAAAAAAAATTTATCCTGACAAGAAAACAAGCAAGAAAAAGGAAAGCAAAAATAAAACAAGCAAGAAAAAAAAAAGGAATTACGTTCTACGTTTTAAATATCTTCATTGCACGGGTGCAGAAGCATGTTGTGTTATACGCTACATGCCTACTTTTCTTAACACAATTTTCGCACATCACATATCATAAAAAGAAGAAAACAAGCAACCACCGTCTACAAATGGATTTTCTGAGAGATTCAGAAATTTGCATATCGCTCAATCAGGATTTCAAATTTATTTTTTCAATAGAAATCAACATATCATAAAAAGAAGAAAACAAGCAAGAAAAAAGAATTAAGTACTATGTTTTAAATATCTTTGGATCCTCATTACACGGCTGCAGAATTGCTTTAAATGCAACATGCCTACTTTTTTTAACACATTTTTTGCACATTACAATGTGCAATTCACAACAGTATATTTTTTCTCCATGCTTCACCGTGCGGTAACAAACGGGGCATTCGTTTCGATAACTTTCGATAAACGTCATATTTCCCTTGGGGATAACTTAAAAAAATGATTATCTCTTGAATCAAAAAAAAAAAAAAACTTACGGAAGGTGCCGTATCTTTTCTTAAATTTTTTCAAAACTCTTTTCTTCTTCTTTTCGTACTGTATCAGCTCAATATTTTCCAGCTCACTGCTGGGGTTTGAAACGAAGAAGTTGACAATTAATCTGTTTCCATCGTGGACGTGAACATCAACCAGTGTGTTGAGTTCCTCGTTTTCTTCCTTTACTTGCTCTATAAAGAAAATGTAACTTTAAAGAAAAAACATACTGATGGCTTTAAAAAAGAAAAAAAACATACCGATGACTTTATTGCATCCTCCAAACAAGCTTTCATTTGATAACAGAAACCGAGCCGTGAGGACTCGGTTTTGTTTTACGTCTAATCTATTGATAGACGTTTGTTCAGTTGCGCGATCTCCCATGCCGTGAAACACAGGAGGTCTTCTAATTTTCTTAAATGGCCTTTGAGCCATTTTTTCCCTCTCCACATAATGCGCACATTGAGCAAATCAAAGTGCGGCTGCTCAGTGACTAGATTGCATAGGTCCTTAATTAAGAAGTCCAAATATTCGCGTAGTGCAGACTTAGACTTTGTCATTTTGCACAACTTTGGGCCTTTTTTTGATGTCCTCTTTTTTTTATACAATCATTAAGCTTTGGCCATTAGTGAATTTTTAGGGTGTGATTTTTAAACTTCTTAATCAGGGCTAGGGGTAATGTTCCGGTACTTTGGACATTTCATGCGTATATGGGTCGCACGAAAACCACCGCACAGCAAACACATGGCGTCTGATCCATTTTCAATCGTTTTAAAGATATTTTTTGTGAGGTCCTCCATTGACTTGTCTTTTTCAAAAAGAAGTCATAAATTTCAAATGCCTTCTTCCTCTCTAATGACATAATTTATTGCTTTGTCTGCTGTGTTGTGTTGTCCATTGGCAAAAACGCATGAAAGCAATCAAAAAGGATTAACAAGGGGAGTACCCCAAGTGCGACGCTCAGATTTTCTTTAAATTTTGCACACACGTTGGGAATAGACTAAATATCAATTCCTGAAAGTTTTAGCTTGCGCTTTGCAGGAGCCGCCGAGATAACAAATGATTTTTGCTGTCGAGGGAATACACTAAACGGGGAGAGCGGTCAGAGAGAAAAACAATTTTTGGCCATGACTTTGCAAGTTTCGCGCAGAAAAAAATGGTTTTTTGTGGAAGCATTACCCAATAAGGTAGAAATAGGTATGAAACTTTTCGTGCCGAAGTTCGGCAAAGATTGACAAATTTTCGCCGACTTTCGATCTAAAAATCTCGGTTGTTTCTGCAAATCGCGGGCTAGGATTCGCGGATATATCTTTGAAAAAATTATTCTATACTATATTTGTGCCAAGTTTCATCAAAATTTGAGTGTCGCACTTAGAGTACTTCCCCTATAAGGAGGATCTTTTAAACTTCTTTTGTGCTTTATTTTTAACTGTTTCAAAAGACATTTTCCACATTAAAGAGTGGGTTATATTTTTTGCCCAGCAAAAAATATAACCCACTCTTTTCAAGCTGAAGCCATAAATCCCCTCTAATTACATAATTTATTGCCTCGTCTGCCTTTTTGTTCATTGGGAAATGCTCAAAAGACAGGAGGGCAAATATGTAAACAAAAAATAAAGTAAAGTCAATATTAACTTAAAAATTTTTAAACTCCACAGTAGACCCAACGAAGGGCCTACAGTAAAAGAAAAATCACAATTCGAAGGATTATCATTTCCATAGCGTATGTTTGCCGGTCACCAAACGTCTCAGTTTCACGTGCGGCAGCAATGACTGTATATATAAGGGTGGTCATATAAGAATTAAAAAATTTTTTTTCCCAAATCGCGATTTTTGGTGCACAAAAAAATCGACGCCCAAATCGAAAAAAAAATCGGCTTAATTTTTTCAGCACCGAATTCCAAAATGCGGTACTGACTTGAGCACTTTGTCTTCGGTGCAGACTTAAGACTTTGTGCACTGATTTCGAAAAACAAAAATTTTTTTTTAAATACTTATATGACCACCTTTATATCCGAATTACACCCCGTTCGTCAAGAACCATGTACCCAACAATATAACCCATTAAAAAAATTCCCGCAAATAGTAAAATAAGTTCAAAAATTGAGAATTTATTTTATGCTTCAAATTATATAACACAGTCAATAAAAGTAATTATTAGTCAGTATTATATGTATTTATATTATTTATATTAAATATTATATAAAACAATATATTTTAATAAGAAAATTAAGGCAATACCCATACATATTTCATAAGTAATTTGTAATATATAATTATTATATATGTAATCAGCAAAGCTGTAATATTTAAAATATTATATTTACAGAAAAATCCAAGTTTAAAAAATATTTAACAATTGTAAAAAATATCAAAAAATCATCAAATTCTAACAAAAGAAAAAACCGGCCCCCGGATTTTTCGAAAATTTTTATGGGCCAAATCTTCCGATCGAGGCTCGACAGGATAAAAGAAATAAAAAAAGAGAGAGAGAGGACCACGGCATTTTGGCGCTTTCCTTAATCGCCCGACCTGATAAATGGCCTCGAGATGAAACGTTTTTCGGGTAAAACTTTTGATTTTTCGATTGAATTTTGAGTTTTGTTTTGGTGGACATAGGCACGGCCATAAAGCTATGATATATCGGGGGAAAATTAACTATGAAATCAAAGGTTTTGTCATGGAATTTTCAAAAATAAACAAATTTTTTTTCACTGATCATTTCTCATTACTTTTTATAGTCTCTTGCTCAAAGTCGTCGTTGTAATCTCGGCTGCTCAAGTAAAACAAAAGATAAAATTCTAATTTCAAGGAATGATGCTTTAGTTTTTTGAGCTGGGATACTGTAATTTGAATTTTTTTGTGAATATATCCGATGTCTTGAACAAAAAAAGATTTCAATGAAATTTACATATTTGTCAACATAAAAGTCTTTTGTTATGCGAAGTTTCTGTTTGGTCCAAAATTGAACTTCATACGACCTCATAAGTGGGTCGATACACAAAAATTTCAAAAAAACTTCCGAATTTATTAAGTTCGCGGAATAAATAACAATAAAAACTGATGTCTTTGATAACTTAGAAACTTGTCTCTTGTTTGATCAACCTCTGCAGGAGATCGTTGGGGACGAGTTCACTTGGCCCCGATTCCATGGATTTACGCGGCAGAGAGACCGAACTTTCTCGACTTTGATCCGATGGAGTGTCCAGGATAACATGAAGGGTCGTTCCTGAAGGAGGAGCCTTCTTTCGGCTTCGGTCGCGACGCTGAAATTCAAACTGATGTTAAAAAAAGTTAACAACGGCGGAGAAATCGATTAAACATTGGTTAAAATTTGAAAGCAGGGCTTGATCACTTTTGAGGGTTTTGAAAATTACCAAGGATACTTTTTGACACCTTTTGCTAAAAAATTCAAAAGTCTCAAAAAATGTCACCGTTGGGTCAAAATTGCATAAAAAAGTTATGATAACTTTCGAAATCTCAAAAATGTCTCATGGATACCTTTTGATACTTTTTGAAGAATCCGCTCTACACGAACCAAAATAGTCATAAAATGGATGAAACCATGTTCAAAAACCAAAATTTTGACTGATCCCTTTTGAAGTCTCAAAAATGTCTCATGGATAACTTTTGATACTTTTTTTAGAAATCGCTCTAAACGAATCAAAGCAGTCATAAAACAGCTGAAACCTTGCTCAAAAGCCAAAATATTTTACAGATCCCTTTTGAAATCTCAAAAATGCCTCATGGATAACTTTTGATACTTTTTTTTTAGAAATCTCTGTAAACATGTCAAAATAGTCATAAAATGGCTGAAGACTTGCTCAAACACCGAAATTTTGACTGATTTAAAAGTGAAATCTCAAAAATGCCTCGTGGATACCTTTTGATACTTTTTGTAAAAAATCTTTCAAAATCGTTATACAACCCTTAAATGAAGAAATTTAACAAAAATTACATCTCCCTCACCTGATTCGTCGCATATCTGCTCATCTTTTTCCGGTACATTGTCCACAATTCCTTGTCCGCCTCCGGGTTGTCTTGCGGATAGTAGTACTTGAAGAGATGCTCAAACTCCAACAACTTCTCCTGCGACAACTGTTTGATGCCGCGTTTCTTCTCCTCCTTCGTGAAGAGCGATGCGTAAATGAAGCGGAAGAATTTGAGGGGATCGTTCCCGGCCTGCTGATAGAAAACCTCCACAACGTCCTGGTCCAAGAACCGGAACTTTGGCACCTTCTTGCCCAAGTGCTCGTTGCCCGGCAGGGATTTTATCCGCTCAATCTCGGCCTTGTAGCTGGCCAGTTGTTCGAGGATTTGGGCCTGGAAGGATTCGTTTTTCGCCTGTTCATCGGCTACACGTTGTTGGAGCTGGTCGATTTGGTCTTGATGAGTGTCGAGACGGGAAGTTAGGAGGTCTTCGGAGAATGAAAATTCGAGTCCAGAAGCGGCTGGTCTGAAAATTTTGTGGGTTTTTTTTTTATTTTTTTCAAAAATTTCTCAGATTTTGATGAAAATCGGGATAAATTTAGAGCAGATTTTTTATAGGGTTCTTACGAATTTTTAGCTCGTATTTTACAAAAATAATTGATTTTTTAATCAAAATCGCAAAAAAATTAAAAACTCATTTGATGAAAATAGGGATAAATTTAGATTAGATATTTTCTAAGATACCTGCAAAATTTTTAGCTCGTATTTTGAAAAAATAATTTGGATTTTTAATGAAAAATTTCACAAAAATTTTTATTATCTATATGTTTTTCAAAAAATCTTCAGATTTTGCTGAAAACCGGGATAAATTCATATTACATGTCTTTCGGATACTTGCAAAAATTTTAGCTCGCATTTTCCAAAAACATTTTGGATTTGTTCAAAATTGAAAAAAAAAATTTTTTTGCAATTTTGGGCCAAAAAAATCAAAAAAAAAAATCCAAAAAACAACCTACTGTTTACTGCAGCTTTCTGCATTCGCCCTCTCCGCAATTCTCCGCTCTCTTCGATAAATGTAGCTCATCGTGAACTGAGCGATTTGTTTGGCCTGTAACCGGTCGCAAACCTCCATAACCTCCGCTTCTTCTTCTTTTCCATTATGCCACATGAATTTTCCCTTCTTTCCCTTCGCAACCGTCTCGAATCCAGGCAGACATGAGGTGACGGAAGTGGCGATAACTTCGTCTTGGTCGATCAGGTCGAGCACAACCCAGTCCTTGTTTTTGGCCATTCTGGAAATAAAATTGGATAAAAAAAAATTGAAAAAATGATCGTGCTATATCCACGCGTATTTTACAAAAGTCTAAAGGCCATTTGGAAGCTCAAAAAATGATTTATCTGACCAAAAAAAAGTTTTTGGTTAGGAAAAACCTTTCCGTTTTTTAGGACAGGGCTGAAGTCATTTTGGAGGCCTAAAAAAAGACGGGCAAAGTCTCTTTGGAGACCTTTTTTAATGTCAAAAGTACTCATCTACAATTATGAGGAAAAATTAAATAGTTTAGAGGGAATTTCAGAAAATTTGAATGGTATTTCGATGCAAAATTATTGATTTTTTACCCATAAATTTTAATGAAACCTGCCACGAATTTAAAATTAGGGTTTACAATAAAGTTACGGGATTTTTCGGCCGAAATTTGTTAATCCACTAACGGACCAGATTCAGTGGCAAAAAACGTAAAATTTCGCATCCGGGAAGCACGAAAAAATGAAGCAAACTGCCTCCCTCTCCAAGCGAAAAACTCCGATTTCAAAAGCGCTTTTTGTGAGGGAAAGGGCGCGCCCTTCGAAACGGAGTTTTTTAGTTGGAGAGGGAGGCACTTTGCTATATTTTTCGATACTTCCTGGATGAAAAATCGTACGTTTTTGTCACTGGAAGAGGTCCGCTAATGGATTAAAAAATTTCGTCCGAGAAATCGCCCAACTTTCTTATAAAACCCAAGTTTAAATCTGCCGCAGGCTTCGAAAAAATCTATGCGCAAAAAAATCAATCATTTTTCACCGAAATACCACTCAAATTTTCTGAAATACCCTCTAAACTATACTATTTTTTTCATAATTGTAGATGAGTACTTTGAACATCAAAAAAAGGTCTCCACAGAGACTTTATACGTCTTTTTTAGTCCTCCAAAACAAATTCCAGCCTTGCTCTAAAAAACGGAAAGGTTTTTTCCCAACCAAAAACGCGACAAATTCTCTCCCCGCACCCTCTCTCTCTCTTTCATTCTCACGAGTGCTCTTTCGAGTCGAAAAGATCGTCTTTCAAAAGAGCGCAGAAAAATTTTACGCGCCTTCAAAAGAGAAGACCCGCCGAGAAAAGTGCGTCTTTTTTGGGTTTGGATCAGTCGCTGAGGAGCATTTTTGACGCCTTTTTTGGGATGACCTTTCGATATCTATGCGGGAATTGACGGTTTTTGAACCCTGCTATCCATTTAAGGGTTTAAAAAATCTGGGGAAAAAGTGTCAAAAGTTATCCATGAGTAATTTTTTGTGATCAAAAGTACTCATTGATCAGGAAAAACTCGGAAATCATATAGAACGTCATATAATATCATACAAGCGTCAAAAAAATAATTTTTTCTTTATCCATCCATTAGGAAGACATCTGGCAAAAAAGTATCAAAAGTTATCCATGAGTACTTTTTTTGTGATCAAAAGTCAAAAGTACTCACTGATCAGGAAAGACTTGGAAATCATACAGAACGTCATACAACACCATAGAGGCATCAGAAAATGCCCTTTTGCTTATTAAAACCAGCATTTTTGATCAAAAACATCAATTTCTCAAAAAAATATTAAAAATTTCTCGAGTAAAATCGCGATTTTAAGATACCAAATTTCATAAAATCAAATATAGCAAAGCCAGAGTACTTCTGAAAAAAATGAGCCTCAAAATCAGTAATAATTTATTTTTCAAACAGCAAAAAATGCCGTATTAACAACAAATAACATTTAGGAAACAGTAATAAATAAAAAAAGTTAAAACTCTGGTTCATGTTTAATAAGAGATTGTAAGATATCGCTGGGGATCAATTCGCTCGTTCCGACTTCTCTCGACGGCGACATTGAGGAGCTCGAACTGTCGCGACTGTTGTCAAATGGGCCATCATCTGCGTCAAGGATGAGATGCTGAATCGAGGCAATCGAGGGGTTTGGCTGTGGTTTTCTGCGGACTCGACGCTGAAAAATTGGGTTAGAATCAGTAATAAAACAACAAAAAAGCCTATGAAATTTTTTTATTTTGATCGATTTTGAAGGTTTTTAAAATGCTCAAGGATACCTTTTGATACTTTTTGAAAATGACCTGTAATGTGTCAATAAGTGTCGTTTAACAAACAAAAAAAAAACAAAAAATTGAACCTAGTGGCCAAATTTGGGAAAAGTATCAAAAGTTATCCATGATACTTTTTACATTACTCAAAAGGTATCCACAAAAAATTTTTGCTGTTTTCATAATTCTTCAACAAAAAATAAAATATTTTTTCAAAAATGATCAAAAAGTATCCATGATCACTTTCAAAAGTATCAAAAGTTATCCATGAGGCATTTTAAAACACTCAAAAGTTATCCACTAAAAATAGGCTATCTTTACGACTTTTCAACAAAAACTCCAATATTGTTTCACAATCAAAAGTGATCATAAGGTATCCATGATCCCTTTCAAAAGTATCAAAAGTGATCCCTCCCAAAAAACCACCTACATGATTCGACGCGTATCTGCTCATCTTCTTCTTGTACAATTTCCACAGTTCCTCATCGGCTTCCGGCGTCTCTTGGGGATAATAAAACCTCAGCACTTGTTCAAATTCCAATAACTTCTCCTGAGGCAACAGCCTGACTCCGCCTTGTCGTTCCTTCTCGCTGAACATGGCGTAAAACGCAAGAGGGAAGAATTTGGAGTGATCTGAGCCGGACTGTTTGAACAGGGCGTCTACAATGTCGCGCTCAACAAAGCGGAAAAGCGGCACTTTTTTCCCGACCAACTTCTCATTTCCGGGAAGCGCTTTGATTCGGTCCAATTCGATTCTGTACAACGCGAATTGCTCTTGCATTTGTGTGCGGAAGCGCTCGTTTTTCTCGGTTTCGTCTTTTAGGAGTTGTTCGATCAGGTCGAAGCGTTCGTTGTATTCGTCGATTCGGCCGGAACTGATGAATTTTGTGGCCAAGCCGGCGGGTCGGCTGAAAAACGAAAAAATTGTAAGAATCTGAGGTAAATTGCTGAAAATTGTATACATATCCTAAAAATAGTGAAAAAATAAGTGATACCTTTTGAGGTTTTTAAAAGTGATCCATGATACTTTCACAAAAAAAATTTAAGATTTTCCATAAAACAAAGAAAAACATAAAAAAATAAGAAAAAAACAAAAAACATCAAAAGTCTTCAAAAGTGATCCGGGATACCTTAAAAAGGTATTAAAAGGTATCCATATCATTTTCTGACCAATTCGAAAAATTCAGACCAAATCTTCATCAAATTTAAAAAAAAAAACATTTTTCTCCTCAAAAAAAGTATCCAAAAACCTCCATGATACTTTTGAAAACCCTCAAAAAGCCTCCCAAAAAAACTCACTTTGCCATATCAATAGCCTCATTCTCCAACTCCACCGCTCTCTGCGCCCTCCTTTTGATATAACCATTCATAAATTCGACAATTTGTTTGGCCGTCCGTTGATCACAAACCTCCAAGATTTCGGCTTCTTCCTCCCTCCCATTGGTCATCGTAAACCTTCCTTTCATCCCTTTCACCACTTTCTCGAACCCCGGAATGCATGAGTACAACGAAGTGGCCAGCACTTGATCTTTGTGGAGCAAATCGAGGACCACCCATTGGTCTCGGCTTCGAGCGCCCATTTGGAGCTGAAAATGGGGGAAAATTCGAATTTTTTGAGGAAAAAAATTAAAATAATAGCCCAAAAATAAAACTGAAGCAGAAGCCCTCGTATTTTATAAAACAAAATAAATTTTTTTTTTGAAAAAAAAATAAAAAATTAGAGATTTTTTGATATTACACTAGTAGAAAAAAGTGCTCAGAGTTTGATAAAACTAGGCCAATATTAAAAAATTAGAATTTTAGAAGGCAAATTCAAACAGTTTTAGTCCGCGATAAGCAAAAATATTCGATATTTTTGGATAAAAAATTCCAAAAATAAAAAAAATTGAGGCTTTTCGTGTGAAATTCCTTTTTTGACAAAAAAATCAAAGGCAATTTTTTATAAAAACATAGCTTTTTTAGGTTATTTGTGATAAAAAGCAATAAAAAATAACCATGAATAACCTCATGCGGTCAAAAATTATCAATAAATCCCTCCAAATTCAAGAAACTCCCCAAAAAATGCTCAAAAATAAAAATAAAAGAGCCTTTCCAACCGCAGCGACATCCAAATGCCTCGAAAAAGCATTTCGACTGCCTCCGCATGTCTCGCTCTCTTTGCTTCCCACAGACGCGAACGTCCTTTCGATGGCAGAAAAAAAGGAAAAAGAGCGTGTGGAATGGAGAGGGCGGAAGGAAACGCATCCATTTTTGAAGCAGGGCCCTTCCAAAAAGAGGCCATTTTTAGGAAAGAAAATGCATTCTGAGGGGTTTACAGGGCATGGGAGATAGTAAAAACATCTACTTTATAGTATACTATAGTAGATTTTCATTTTGAAAAATCAAAAAAAAATTTTTTTTTTTGATTTTTTTATTGCGAAAAAATCAATTTTCGCACAAAAAATCGACAAAAAATGTGAAATACGATGGAATAAAAATAATTTCTGCATAATCAAACAGACTTTTTCAAAATCAAAAAAATTTTTTTTTCTTTTTTATTTTATAATAATAATTAGAAGTTCAAGAATAAAAATATACACTCATTCCGCCACACTCGTCAGGAATTGCCTCAGAATTTCCATTGGATCTTGACCTGAGAATTCTTGAGATCCGTCTTCATCGTTAGCTGAGTTCGAATTTTCCTCCGAGAAATCGTCATTTTTCGAGGTCTTCTGTCGTTTCTTGTTCTTTCTCGTGCTCTTGTAGGGCCATGTTCGACGCTGAAAGAAAAGATTGGCAAAAAAATTGAGTTTGGATCAAAAACTGAGATCTATTATATTATCCATGAGGCATTAATAGTTTTTGGGTAAAAAAAATTACTTTTAATAAAGACCCGAAGGAAAAATAGTTTTTTTTGGACGGAAATTGCATTAATCTTCAATTTTTGTAAACTTCATGGCAACAGCTGCCGTATTTTACACTTAAAAAACAAAAAATCTGCCATTTTGAACCTAAAATTGGATAAAATTTAAAAAATTTTTTTTCATTCCCAGCCAAAAAATCGTACCAAAATCAATTTTTTAGCCCTCCCAAACCTGCTAGACATTAAAAATTCTGAGATTTACAAAAAATATCATGGATAACATTTGAAGTCTTCAAAAAGTATCATGGATAACTTTTGACACTTTTCAAAAAATCACCTGCTCAGCCCATAGCAACCACAAAACCATTATTTTCAATAATAATCTCAACTTTCTACTTACCCTATTTGCCGCATAAATCGTCATCTTTTGTTTGTATGACTTCCATAATTTCAGATCGTCCTCCGCACTTCCTTGTGGGTAATATTTAGACAAAATGTTCTCTAGCTCAAACAGTTTGTCCTGAGGGATCTTCCGAATTCCGCAGGTTCGCTCATAGGGCGTCAAAATTGTGGTAGAGACTTTGTCGAAAAAGACGCCATGATCCCCATTTGAAGCTTTGAAAAACTCATCGACCTCTTCTCTCGCGATATAACGAAATTCTTTTTCGGCGTTGGAGGGTGATGAGGGCTCTGGAAATTTAATTGTAAGTCATTTTACAAGGAAAGTACTTTTATGGGAGCTCCTACTTTTTGACGGGACATATCTCAAAAAATCAGAAAAAATGTGCTGATCAAGGATATATAAATCTTAGCTGCCCATTTTAGGTTTTTAAGGGTGAAAACTCAATCGGAAGTTGACTTAAAGTCCTATATGAACCCCTTTTCGCTTAATTTTTCACAGGTTTACAATTTTTATTTTGGCTTAAAATGGTGTTTATTGAGTTTCTAAACGTAATAAGTCAGCCTTGGCCCAAAAATTTATTTTTCCGACCTTCAACTTCAAAAAAAGTTGATTCAGCCCAAAAGGGAAATCGAACCCGTGCGGAGTCCTACCTCTTGATTCCCAGACTACGGCACTAACCACTCGGCCACACCGCTCTCTTCCGAAGGAAGAGACCGAATGCTCTTTTTATCGTTTCGAATGCCTGCGCCTTTTGTAGGGAAATTGAGCCAGTCTTTGGGCATTTTCACCCCTAAAAACCCAAAATGGGCCGCTAAGATTTATATATCCTTGATCAGCACATTTTTTCTGATTTTTGAGTTATGTCCCGTCAAAAAGTAGAAGCCCCCATAAAAGTACTTTCCTTGTTAAATCAAAAAAAATCTCAAAAAAATTTAAAATTTCGCGCATTTTTTGTCATAATCAAAAAAAATTAATGAAAAAATCAAAATTATAACTAGATTTACCTTGTAAAATTCGATTTGCAGGCAAAGCTTTGATCCGGTCCAGTTCTGTTCGGAAAATTCCTAATGTCTCTTCAATTTTCGACCGGAAAAAGTCATTCTTGGCGGACTCATCTTCTAATTGAAGCTCAAATAGCTGAAATCTTTTGGAGAATTGATCGCGCTGCTCGGTGGACATCTTTGGATCCGGCCTAAAAGAAGTTTTAAAACAGTTGGACATCGTATTTTAAAATTTTTTAAAAAGATTTTTGATAAAATTTTAATCTTGAAAAGTAAAACACTCAAAAATATACTGAAGATTGCAGTGTTTTATAGTCAGAAATAGTAATTTGCCGTCACTTTTTTACCAAAAATCGAAATTTTTTGACAAAAAAACTATTAAGTCATCATGGATAATATAATTAAAGTCCAATTTCGTCCCAAGTCTTTGTTGTTATACTCAAATATCCTAGTAATATCTCAAAAAGCTAGTCAAAGCCTCTAATCTTGCCTTTCAGCATCAAAACTACAATAAATTTTATATCCTCAATTCCATCATGGATAACATAAAATTTCTCTCAAAATTCAAAAACTAATTCAAACCCTACCCCGCCGCACATCCAGGAGGATCTATCCTCCGCCGTAGCCGCCTATGATTCCAATCATTCAAGTTGTTGGCCACGGCTTTGGCCATAATCTCATCAAACATGTCCAAAATTTCGGCTTCCATTTTTCGGTATCCCATGATGAATTTCCCGGTTGCTCCTTTGTAGATATCGCCGAATTCGGACATCCGATGGTCTCTGCTGTTGACGGCGAAGATTTGATGGGCTTCTTTTACTTCAACAACCAGCCAAATCGGGACTTTGATTCCGGAGATCCGCCTAAAAAAATTATGTAATAGTGAGTGTAAATCAATGTAAAATAATGGGACAACGACTGTTTTAGAGCCTTGGCTGCCCGTATTTTATATAAATATAGCCAAGTTTATCAGAAAATTAAACTTTAGTTCAGTTTTAGTAAAATTTTTATATTACACTAGACAAAAATTGATGAATTAGCTCAAAGATGGCCTAATTCTTATTTTCAAACTACATGTTATGATAAAATACGTAACTTGCAAGCTTCTCTTCCAATTTTCTAAGCCTAAGTTGGTGAAGTTGAGATTTCATTGACGTTTTATCAAATTTTCCCGTGTTAATCATGAAAAAGTTGATAAAAAATGCAAAAAAAAATTTTCAAATCGGATTTCATTAGTTTTTAAAACAGGGTTCGCGAGAGACTCGAGCAACCGCAGAACATGGGTGGCACATTTTTACCAAGTTGGTCCTACAGAGCCGAAATTCAACCCAGTTAGTACACTAACAAAACAAAAATTTTTGGCATTTCTATTTTTTTGAGATTGGGCTTACTGTAGGCGTACTGTACTTTTACCGCAAATTTTGTATCACAAAAACTAGACATGCCAGAGAGTCGGGGGTGGATCGGATGGATTGGTATCATTATTCTGAGCTAGTTACCTGTTGACAACGTTTTTCTAAAGTTTTGCCTAAGGCAAGAAAAAGTTGATTCTTTGGATCAAAAGTTACAGTAACCTAGATTTCTCAAAATTTTTTCATAGTGCGGAAAATTTTGAAGCTTTTATTTAGAAGTGCTTTCCATTGCCGTTCGAATGAGCCTATGAACACGCCTGTAGAGTGTCTCCTGGGGCAGAACCAGCCGTTTAAAGTTTGCATTTACAGAAAATGTGTCATCATGACATAGTGTACATTTTGTCAAACCGAATGTATTATTGCATAAAATGGAGGCTGATGGTCCTCTAGACGTAATCAGGCCGTCCTTCGCATCGATTTACCTATCTGACTGCCATAATACGTCGGGATGACATATTTTCTGGACGCCGTGAAACCTAACAAAGGCGAGAAAGCCGAGCAACCGCAGGATAAGGGAAACACATTTTTACCAAGTTGCTCCTACGGGGCTCAAATTTCGCATACTGGGTATACTAGCAAAATAAAAATTTTTGGCACTTTTATTTTTTCGAAATTTGGCTTACTGTAGTCGTACTGTAATTTTACCGAAATTCTGTTAATGCAGTTGTAAGTATGTTTTGAGACTTGGGACTGCTTTTATTAGATTCTAGAAATCATATTGAGCACATCTGATGCAAAAAGAAACTTAAAAATCCCTTTGGGTTTGAAAACGCATAGCTTTAGGAAAATATTGTTACAGTAACTTAGTTTTTCCAAAACTTTACATATCAAAAAAAGTTCTTAACTGATACAAGAAAAAACTGCTGTTTATTGCGGTTGTAACAAGCCTATAACCATGTCCCTGTAGGGTCTCCCGCTCAAGATACGAAGATTTAAAGCTTGCCACCACGGTGGATTCCAGAAAATATGTCATCCCGACGAATTATGGCAGTCAGATAGGTAAATCGGCACAAAAGACGGTCGGACTACGTCTAGAGGACCATCAGCCTCCATTTTATGGAATAATACATTCGGTTTGACAAAATGTACACTATGTCATGTTGACACATTTTCTGTAAATGCAAACTTTAAACGGCTGGTTCTGCCCCAGGAGACACTCTACAGGCGTGTTCATAGGCTCGTTGGAACGGCAATAAAAAGCACTTCTAAATAAAGGCTTCAAAATTTGCCGCACTATGGAAAAATTTTGAGCAATCTGGGTTACTGTAACTTTGGATCCAAAGAATCAATTTTTTCTGACCTTAGGCAAAACTTCAGAAAAAAGTTGCCAATAAGTAATTTGCTTAGAATTACCATACCAATCCACCCGAACCACTCCCGACTCTATGGGATGTCTAGTTTTTGTGATACAAAATTTGCGGTAAAAGTACAGTACGCCTACAGTAAGCCGAATCTCGAAAAAATAGAAATGCCAAAAAATTTTGTTTTGCTAGTGTACTAACTGAGTTGAATTTCAGCCTTGTAGGACCAACTTGGTAAAAATGTGCCAAGGGGTTCTCGAGTCTCTCGCGAACCCTGTTTTAAAGGACCAGAAAAGGTATTTTTTGAACCGATTTTTTTATCGGCGTAATCAGGCAATTTCGTGGCGGGACCATCAAGGTATGTATGTGTTCTGGATTTTTAGAATGGAGAATAAACTTCTCCTGTGAATTTTAAATGGTCGATTGACCCAAAACTATTGCTTCACATGTTGAATGAGCTGGGTTATTCCAGGAACTCGATGAAAAACATCAAAACCGTTCATGTAAGTTGTTTTTTTTCCTTCAGTTACTTTTTTAGGTATCTCTCCGAACAAGAAGGGTTGGACGATTATAAGCGGTTAGAATCCGGACTCGTGGATGGGAATGGTCGAGGGAAACATGTGGACGGGTGAGAATTTTACTTCTTTTTTGTTTATTTTTTAGACAGACCGGGATCATGAACAATGTTTTTATCAGTGAAATTAGCGCTCTAGCTTTAGTTAATCACTGCATGAAGTAGTCTAGGAGTTGATATACGTTTTACAGAACAAAGCATGTTATTAATACTCCGTTTTTATCAGAACTATGCACTTTTGCCATGGATAATATCAAAATTTGGGCTAAAACTTGATTTTTGGGTAATAAGCTTGAACTTTTGGGCAATAATTTCTTTGTAAATGTTCATTTTGTTTCAGATTCCTGTTACGTCGGGAAAAGAGTACGATGCAGACCTTGGAGACTAGAACAATGCCATCAACACGGAAAATTATCTTCATGAACGTTGAATCCCTTTTGCTCTATTTCAATCTAAATATATTTCCTCTGTTTCAGTCTAATATTAGCAATAAACCTTTTCTTAAGATCTGTGAGTTGTTTTTGAATTCGTCAAGGAACTTGACGCCATGTTCAGAGTAGCATCCATGGAAAGAGATACCTAAAATTCAAAAAAAAACGGATAAAACGGAAACAATTGAATTAAAAATGGAACATGAATAGTAAATGCTAAACGTCTGCCATCTTTCTGAGCCTAAGAGATCAAATAGAACCTGAAAGACGAACACAATCAGTAATTTTCCAATTTTTCATGAAGTACAACATAATTTTTGAACTTATATGACGATTTTCGATGGAATTCCTGAAACTTCACATCTTATTCGGCACGAATACCAATCTTTCTGGGCCAATCGGCCATTTAAAATTCACAGGAGAAGCTTATTCTCCATTCTAAAAATCGAGAACACATACATACCTTGATGGTCCCGCCACGAAATTGCCTGATTACGCCGATAAAAAAATCGGTTCAAAAAATACCTTTTCTGGTCCTTTAATGGTAAAATACGACATAACATTGATAGTAAACTTTTTAAAATACAAAACCCAAGAAAATTTCAGACTTACGCCATAATTTTATATTATCCTTGAGCAGCTCCACTATTTCCAGTGAAAAATCCTTCGAATTGACTCGAATTTCCACCAAAAATGTGGAAGACCTGGAAAAAATCGGGTGGGAAGCGTTTTGAAGGCTTCGGCTGCTTCGAATCCCTCAAAAACGCGCTCTTTCCGCAGCCTGAGGCCAGAGAGTGCGGAGGTGGGAGAGACCGCAGACGGAGCGGCTTTTTCGCTGCTTTTTGTGGGGAAAAAGCGGATGGAAACAAGGCGGCGAGAAAAAGGTCAGAGTATTCGAAAGCTATGGGGAAAACGACTTTTTTGGGTAAAACATAAATTTATTGGGGGAATTGTATTATTTTAGACCTAAAAAATAGAAAATTTTAAAAATTCGGCAGAAAAATTTTGAAAAATACGATTTGAGCTTTTGAACTATAATTGTCAGGTAAATTAGCTTCTAAAAATTCCAGAAGCCATAATTTTACACAAGAAAATCATAATTTTTCATCAAAAATTATATTACCCATGGCAATGGCTCACTTCATATAAATCCTGCCTAAATTAACAGATTCCGACGTTTCAAGATATGAAATTGTCTCAAAAGAATTTTTTGAAGTAAAATTTATCCAATCCCGCGCTAAATTACCTTATTTTGCTAAAAAATCACCATTTTTTGCCCCAAAAACTTTATGAAAAAAAACCCTAGTAAACCCTTTGTTTCTAACAAAAATAATAGTCTAAATAGTCATTCTGAGACTCAACATAATTTATTTTACACTAAAAACGTTCAAATTGCCGGTTCTTCGGCTGGAAAATTCTCCGTTTTTATTAGACGTTGAAGTATATCATTGGGGACCAGATCGCTAATATCCATGGACTGCTGACTCGTTGACACCGAACTCTCGCGACTAGTGTCGGAAGTGTTCTGCTGGATGATAAGACGGTTTTTACTAGGCACTGTGAGAGTTTCTTTCATCTGTCGACGCTGTAAAGGATAATGTAAATAATCGGCGTTTAAGGTAGTATAAGGTGTGCATCGACAGTATAGAGGAATTCACTAGAGAAAATGAAGAATTTTGGACCAAAGAAAGTGATAGCGAAAAGTTGTAAACAGATTTTAGATCAATTATATATTATACATGATGACTTGATATTTTTTGGTTCAAAAATCCCGATTTTTGATAAAACCTTGATGGCAAATCGATTTTTCTTTGCGCGAACCGTCGTAATCTTTAATTTATCAACGAACGACGAACCGTATTTTACCTTCAAAATCCATGACTTACTAAAATTTCGTCAAAATCATCGTTTTTCAAAACAAAAATAGCAAAATCCCAATACCCCCGGCAAATTTGGATCTAAAATTTTTATTGTGGCATCCTACACGCTGCATTGGCCAAGTTTCACCTACATCCATCACCAACTTCCACAAAATTGCCTAAAATAATATAATTTACCCACCTGACTACTCGCATATTTTGACATCTTGATCCTATAGAACCTCCACAAGTCCTCGTCCTTCTCCTCGCTTTCTTGTGGATAAAAGAACCGTAAAATCTGCTCCAATTCCATCAACTTTTCCTGCGGCAATTTTTTGATTCCCCGACTTCTCTCGTCCGGCGTGAAAATTCCGTAAAATACCAATGGGAAGAATTTGGAATGGTCGTCGCCGGACTGTTTGCAAAGCGACTCGATGACCTGTCGGTCGATAAATCGGAACAGCGGGACTTTTTTGCCGATCAATTTCTCGTTTCCCGGCAGCTCTTTGATTCGGTCCAACTCGAATCTGTACAACGAGACCTGCTCCATTAAATAATCGCGGAAACTTTCATTTCTCTTTTCCTCTTTCTTTAACAGGTCCTCCATTCGGTCGAATTGCTCGTTATATTTGTCGATGAGGTCGGGGCCGAATGAAGTGGGGACTGGCGCTGGTCTTGGGGCTGGCGTTGAGACCGTGGGAGGGGTTGGCGCCGGCGGAGGGGCTGGAGTAAAATTTGGAATCGAAGATGGGCCCTCACTGAAAATCGAAGCATAAGGAAAAATTTTAAAATTTTCAAAGTAAAATACGGAGTCTCTTCATCATTAAATGGAAGCAAAACAAAAAACAATAGACCTTTATCTCATCATGCATAATATAAATATCGGTCTGTCGGGAAAAAAACGGCGGATCGTCGCGCCTCGGAGTCGCTCATCATCGCTTTGCGACTGCAAGCAGCGGCTTGGGATTTGGCGCGCGATAGCGGCGAGGCGAGACATTTTGCTGCGACGATCCGCCGTTATTTTCCCGACAGACTGATAAATCAAAAATGTTGTCGCAAATACCCTTACTAGGGAAGTGTACAAACGAACCCTCACCAATTCGCAAGTGGTATACACCATTGGAAAGCCCTTGAAAAATGGTGCAAGGTACCATTTTCATTTTTTGCAGAATGCCTTTCCGCGATGACATACTGTAAATTGTATTATTTTTAGGTCATTTCGCAACAAAAATCTTTCTTTCTCTTGAGCGGATAAAAATCCTCGAAGACGGTTGCTTCAATAGTGCAGTGGTTGCGGAGCAGGCTGATAAGCCAAACCAAGCTAGGTTCGATTCCCAGCTTGGAGAAACACGTTTTGCGTTCTTACAGTTAGGATAATATTTGAGTTAAACCTTTACAAACGCTTTATTTTTTCTAGAAAACGGTCGATTACGGTTAAAACCATCAAACTTACATGTTTTTCAAAATTAAAAAAAGTTAAGTGTTTTTTCACGTTATGGGTGTTTAAAACCAGTAAATATCATATGTAAAATGGTTTTACTGGTAAGCGCCAAACTTCATAATGTTCTTAGGCCAACCTAGTAGCAATATTTACCATTTAGCGTTTTGAAATATAAGATTTATTTTGCCCCACAGCAGATATTGTAACTACTTAAGGGACAAATCAACCGTTTATAATTTTTTGCCCTGAGGCATTCTGCAAAAAATGAAAATGGTACCTTTCACCATTTTTCAAGGGCTTTTCAATGGTGTATATCAATTGCCATTTGGTGAGGGTTCGTTTGTACACTTCCCTAGTTAGAGCGTTTTCAGCAGACCTCTATTTTACTTGTAGCCCTATTTAACACTCATAACATTTCCCTTCAAATCCGAAAAGGTTAAAAAAAATTATTATTCCTCCTCGCCTACCTTGAATTCTCAACTTTCGACTCATCAATCCCCGCAATTCGATTATTTCTTCGTCGAATGTACGTGCTCATAAATTCTACCATCTGTCTGGCCATTCGTTGATCGCATACTTCGATGATTTCTGCCGCTTCGTAGGCTCCATTCAGCATCGGGAACCTTCCTTTACTGCCTTTCGTAAATTTCCTCCAAAATTTTAATGCCGAAACTGGCGCGGCAATAACTTGATCCGCGTCGAGTAGGTCGAGGACCACCCAAATGTCCTTATCCTTGCGTTTTCCGGACATTGCGCTGAAAAAATTAAGAAATTTTTTTTATATTGTAGTAGCCAAAAAATTAAAAATTCCAAGAAAAAATCGTTGAAAAAATGTTAAATATATTTCTGCACACAAACAGATCGTATTTTCCTTCAAACCAAGTAAAAATAGTAACTTTATGTATTAAAAAACCGATGACAATTAGAAATATTATTCATGAGACAATTTCTTGTTTTATCGTGTACAGTAAAGCATCCACCGTGTCTTCATACGGGTCTCTGGTCTCTGATGCGGATTCCCGTTGTCGTTCTGCAACCGAATTTGAACTTGACGGGGACTTGGCTTCTCGGTCTAATCGGGCACGTTTCTCCGGCGGATTTTCCGAATTTTCTCGCTTTTGCCTGTTGGATTGGCGTCGTCGCTGAAAGAAAATAGTAATTATAAGAGCGTAGAGACATGACAATGCCAAAAGATGAAAAGATGGAGGGTTTTTCCCCTTTTTTTGGGGAAAAAATCATTAAAATTGCCTAGTGTAATATAAAACTTATTATAAAAATCCCTAGAAAAAATCTTTCATTCAACTATAGTCCTGCTAGACCTACTAACCGCATTTTGAACCTCATTTCGGCAAAAAATCTTCGAATTTTGCCTAGTGTAATATAAAATTTTTTTTTTAGATTTTTCATGCAAAAATTCGGTGACAAATCCAAAAATGAAACTTCCCAATATTCTACGGTGCTCCAAGATCTTTGAGATTTCAAAACTCTAACTAATAAATCATCATTTTTTCTAGTGTAATATAAAAATTCAAACTTTTGTTGTTTTTTCGTTCTCAAAATCTCTACCCACCCTCCCAAACCCATGAAAGTATCACCCACCTTATTCGTAGCCTCCTGCGACAGCTTTGATTTGTAAATCCTCCACAATTTCCTATCCGCTTCGACACTTCCTTGCGGATAATAGTAGCCCAGGATCTGCTCCAGCTCGAACAACTTCTTCTGCGGTAGCTGTCGCACGCCCAACTCCCTCTCGGCGTCCGTGAAGATCCAATTGGAGACGAATTGGAAGAACAGGGTGTGGTTTCGGCCGGCCTCTTTGAACAAACCATCGGCCATGTCCTGATCAATGAACCGATAAAACGGCAATGGTCTGCTCTCTTCCGGCGCTTTTGGGATGCTTTCGATTGGGGGTAGGACCTCGTAGCCGGGCATGGATTTGAGTCGGTCCAGTTCTGTTCGGAATCTCCCCAATTTCTCCTCCATCTTTGCACGAAAAGCCTCATTTTTGGCGGTCTCGTCGCGTAATCGCAGCTCCACCAGCTCGAATCTGTTGGAGAATTTGGCATGCTGAAGGGACGACATCTTGGCGTGGAATTCTTTGCTGAAAAAAGAAGGGTTTTAGACAAAATTTTATTACTTTATGCATCTGAATGGTAAATTTTGATATTTCAGACCAATCTAAAGGCTTAAACTAGGAAAAATTGTCCTTAATCTATGTCAAAATGTCTAGATATTCCATCGCAATATAATTTGGGACCAAAAAGTGGCAAAAAATATCAAAATTCCTCAGATTTATCAACTGTCATCATCATCTAAAATAAGGTCAAAAAATATAAAATTTCAGCAAATTTCATATTCACATCAACCCGACGTTTTTTTAAACTCCGTGAGCAATAATTCAACTGCAATTAAAGTTCATTTTTAGACTAATTTTGAGGAAAATTATATTATTTTAGGTAATAAACACAAAAATTTCGGGATTTGATGACTTTTCATGCTAATTCTGGTTAAAATTCTTTCTACCCTACTCTAAATTAAATTTCCTTTCTATCTGAAAATCACTTTCCCTCTAAAATTCATCAAAACCTACTAAAAAATCGAAAAATTTCAATCAAAGTCATCAAAATCAAGGTGAACTCAAAAAAACTCACGATTTCTTCCCCTCAATCTGTGGCCTCTCTACTGGTTTCCGAATTCTCTTCTGGATCCACTCATTCGCAGTTTCGGCCACAGCCTTGGCCATATTCTCATCGAACATTTCCAGGATTTCGCTGTCCAATTTCTGATAGCCCAGCATGAATTTGCCCAGCGCGCCCTTGTACACTTGCTTGAAATCCATCCGATAGTCGGTGCATTTCACGGCGAGGATCTGTTGGGCTTGTTTGACCTCGACCACCAGCCAAATCGGGACCTTTATTCCGGTCATGGCACTAAAACACGCAGATTTTAAGTATAAAATGGGAAATAAATGAGAAAACGCAATGTAAAGGTGAGGGAAATTGCAGAAAAAGTTGCGCAAAAGAGCTCTATTGCTCTCAAAAATATTTTTGCGATCAAAAACCTGCAAAAAACAAAGGGTTTATCAATTTTTTGCGCAATTTTTCAATATTACACATGGTGAAGATAAATTTTCTCGCAAAATGCGGAAAAAACTAGGAAAAAATTATATATTCCGCTAAAGTACGTTATTTCCAATATTTTTGAACCAAAAAAACTTTAAAAATTCAGCAAAAAATTATATTGTAGTAGGTAAAAAAAAATATTTTTAGGTATAAAACCTATTTTCTATGGCAAATTTCCAAGAAAAAATCAAAAATTATGGTCTAAAACGTGAATCAAGCCAACTAATATTCCTTTTTCTTCCTGAAAAGACGATTTTTTGTGGAAAAGCGGATAAATTTGGGATTCCAATATTATTTTAGGCAAAAACCGTGTCCAAAACAGTTTCTGCAGCAAGACGAAAACGAAATTGGGTGAAAAGTGTTGGCGGGGAAGGGTTTTGAAGGCTTTCCGTCTCTGCCTTGCCTGCGAAAGCTCGAAAAACTCGAAAACGCGCTCTCTTCTTCTGCTGAAAGAGGAGAGAGCGCGCCGCCCGAAGAGACCGCAGAGAAAGCGGCGCTTTCGCAGCAAAAAATGGGGGAAAACAGAGTGCGGCGGGGTCCGAGAGTCGGAGATTTTTTGTGCAGAGCGAAATTTGAGAGAGGAAAATGGAATTTTTTGGAGAAAAAGGTCGAGCCGACCTTTTTCCAGGCAAAAAACATCTTGTTTTGGCGGAAAAACGGGAAATTTGGCGGATTTATCTGCGAAACATGGAAACAGTTATTGATGCTCGATTTTTAGCACATTTGCTGGAGAAAAAACACAAAAAATTAATTTTAATACTAAAAAAAAATTAAAAATTTTCACCACGAGCGGTCGGCGACAATTTGTTTTGGAGTTTCGGCCCGCCTAACCATCCCTTCAGGCCGGGTTTTCCGAAATTTTCCGGACTGGGCCGGACCTACTAATTTCGCGGCCAGCTCCCGGTCTTTGATTTTCAAGCCCAGTTTTTGAATTTTCCAAGGAGTGGCAAAATTAGAAAAAATTCACTCGAAAATATTGCAAGATTACATCTTAAAAATAGATTTATTGTATTACATTACTATACCGATCAAGATGTTGTTAATTTCTAACTCAAAAAAACAAATGAGAATTTCCACATATGCTTCTAGTGGATTGCTTGTTCCTTGGTCTGCATTGGCGATTGTTGTTGAGGCAGGGCACGTCAAGAAAAAATAAAACAAAAGCGCTCAAGCAATGAAAAATTCTTGGCATTCTGTTTCGGCGAAAGAATAATTTTTTGCTCCAAAGATAACCTGATTACACGATGAAGATGGGGTAGAATGGGGTTATTGCATACATAAATTTGAAGCTGGACTCCTGCTTAACCTGAATATATATATTTCATATAAAAAATCGGTCGCCTTCTATCTGTTTGAAGCCTAAACTAACAACGCCTAAAAAATGTTACGATTTCGAGGATTTCTCTAAGATTTTCCCTCGCCCCTATTTGAAATTTCGTGGAAACATAGTCTGGAACAAGGCGGATTTTTTGAGCCTAAAACGAAAGAAATCAAATGAGCCAGTTTCGAGATAGAAAATCTCTTCATTTTGCGCAATATTTCGCCTTTCCTCTGACTTCATCCAAAAAAACCGTCATTGAGACGGATTTTTTGGACACTTTCATAAGCGGGAACAGAATGCCAACTTTCGTGTTGAAAGGTAACCCTTTGAGCGCAAAATCTTGACGTGCAGGGGCCTTCGGCACTTTTCGTAGCCACGGAAGGATCGGGGCACCTCCAGTGGAATTCAAGGGTCACAATACAGACGCTAGAAAATAATGTATTGATATGTTTATTAGTGCAAAAATCCTTACGTTTATGTTAGTAATAAGACACATTATAGCCTCCAACGGGCACAGGCTGGAAAGTCCATAGCCTTCCGTATTACGAAAGCTTACATTTATTTGTTGAACCGTTTTGATTTACGTTCAACTTTTCAAAAAATTGCTTTCCCTGCTTACAGATGGGCTCTTGTTTTTTTATTTCGTATGTCTCCCAAAAATGTGTTGCACTAGTAATGCCTAGAATTTTTATTCCTTTTCTAGAGCGTTGAACTCATTTGTGGCTAAAATTAACCTATTTGAAATTTGTTATGTCCGTTTCGTCAATTGGTTGGCCGAAACACGTCTACTGTACGTACTTTCTGTGTATATCATACGTAAGGTCGAAGATATTATAAGGAGCTGATATTAATACCTCTTACTTTTGGGCGAAAATGACGGTTGAAGTTATAAATCTGAAATTATAATTACGACTCAGTGTTTGTATCAAGAAAATTTCCAAGTTCCCTTCGAAATTGTTGTTGCGGAATAACAAAACATTCGAGCAGAAGTATTCGGCGATAATAGTCGTCATCCTTGATTCATTTATTTTGTTTCAACATCTGCAGTTGCAATGGAATGGCGTAGGGTTCAAAATCTTTACGATAATATTATAACATTGGTGGTGAATGAATAGGGGTGTAGAATCCATATAATATCAGCGTAGCTTAAACAGTGTGTGTGTAAATCAATAAAATAATCCAATACAATAATCCAATACAATAGTCCAATACAATAATAAATAAGCCTTATGAAAACCAATAAATATTGAAGATTCCAAATTCCAAAAAGTACTTTGTTACCCATTGAATTATACCATCATTAGAACCATAATACCCAAAAGACGAATATCCTGTTCAAAATGACAGTATACCAAATACCCCTGGAAGAAAATGAAATTATACCAAATACCCTGGAGGGAAAATATAAATACCAACTTTTTACCAAAATACCAAAAGACTTATCATACTCTAACAGTTATCCTCTTACGCACATACCCTGTTCATAACAAATTCAAATGCTCCGCTGATGGTCCAGCCAAATATGGACATCCATCTCCAACATCCTCAAAACGACCCACTGACGAGTATTTTTGTGCCATATACATCGGTAACAACAATATCGGTGCTTCTTCATCCCAGCGATAACACTTGGCTCTCATTTCTGGGTACGCCACCGTTGACCTCACTATTACCACGTCGTTTTCACTTGGTCTCGGTGCTGTTCGCACAAACTGGTCGAATCCCATCGACAATTGTTCTTCCAAATTCCTTTGGAGCACTAACACCGCGCGGAAATGAGCGTCGGATGGAACTTCTCGATCTCTATAGTCCCTTGTGAAAATTACCCTGGAGACGACCGCCCTCTCATCCCGGGTCCATGGTTGATAGTTTACCCGAAATCTTGTCGCAATACCCGCTGGGTGCGGTAAACCCGTTCTTTTCATCTTTCTATGGTAGCCGCAGGCTTCTGATTCCTCAGCGTTTGGATTTTCAACTGGCTAATCTCTACCACACTCCAATTCTTCTTCCAGTTTCGTATTACGTGCATAGTGTCGTATAGTTGGAAATGACACTTCAGTCACGACAACCGGCATATCTTCAAATTTAATTTAAGCCTATAAGAAAACGTCTGACATGATTAAAATTACGATATGTTTACATCCTATTGTTTCTACTGAAGGTGATAATACTCGCTCATTCTTTAAGGCATTTTTACGACCAGGTATTGACCTAAGTTCAAGTTCTGAGCGGACGTCAGCTATTTTATAATATTTCTTATAATTTTATAGAATTTTCCTTAAAAAATTTCGTTTTTTTACGATTATGTCTTTGCGCATGTAGAATCCCAGACGTCTTGCAAGAGCAGCTGAAAAAAATCCCCGGCTTCTTGTGGACACTAATGAGTAGTTTCTGTACAAACCTACTTTATATTCTAGAAACAAAAGTTGACTTTCTAAGTCTATTTTCTAACGAATTCTTCTACTAGACTGAGGACGGAGTCTCCCTCGCACCAGCGCTTTACGAAGAATTCTCGGCTAGCTTTTTCTTTTCTACCGATTGCTCGCGTTCAAAATCTCTTCTGCGTCTTCCTCCTTAACAAGTCTCGACATAAATTACGTGGAAGAGTATCATGTCAACTTCTTCCACTACAGATGGTGACTACCGTTTCGTTCGCTAAGGTTGGAGATCAATTACGATGTCTCTTTGCGGGTAGGAGTGCCGGGCTTACGTACATGAAAAGTCTATTCAATATTGCATTCTCTTCAGTCTTCCTTGCAGAAGAGTTTCCGGACATAATTTTGAGCTGATGGATTTTCAAAAATAGGTTTTACGGTCAAATATTCACTAAATTGGGAATGAAATATTCAAATATTTGTTTCAAAATATTGAAAACCCATTATACGACTTTAAATATATAGTAATATATATGATTATCATGAAACATAAGACCAAAAATAAGCGATATATCATCATTATATGTCTCAAAACTTTTTCAAGTTTAAATAATATATAAAAAGTATATGTATTATATATATATGTATTCAAAGTATAATAAATATATAAAATTAATTAAAACGAGGAAATTCTTACTCGCAAAAAAACGTTCTTCAACCTTTGATCTCCTCTTCATTCCAATATCTGAATGGCAAAGAAACGCGGAGCTTAAAGCAGAAAAAAGATTGCATAATTTTTTATTGCATAAAAAACTGAACATGCAGAAAAGAAGCCAGATATTTCTTATCCTCGTTTTTTATACGATAGGTTACGCAATGACTTTTCAGAACTTTTGTCGAGGAATGACAACGTTTTTGAGAATCCGTCTTTGATTTTATACGATTACGTTCATGTTAACTTCTTTTCTTCTCTTCGTATTGGCCGACTGATACCATCGATGGCCTTTGCCGCTGCTTGGGCTTTACGTTTATTGCCCGGAACATGTACGACAATTGGCCCAAGAGTGGTGCTCGAGGCTCACAATGCGAACATGGACAGTGCCATCCTTTTGTTTCAAATCCTTAGACTGTTGATTATGAGGAAGTTCGATTTCTCCAAAATTGGACTTCACTTTTCAGTAATGTATTGAAATTACGTCCCGTTCTTCAGAAGGCATGTTTTGATTTCTCCAAAATTGCACATTTGAGCCAACTTTTCTGGTAGTGCGATAGACGGGATTTCGTTCAAGATCAGCGAATTCGATCATATATTCTTGAAGCTCTCTGAAATTCCACGTTTCGGTGTTGACTAAAAGAAGCACTTCTTACGGACAAGTTGAACAAATTAGTATTCAATGACCGGTACTACGATATGCTTCGTATGCGTTGTTCGTTTACATTGTGTGAAAATACAGATGTATGTTCCTTTTAAATTACGGCGATATAATCGACGAGATACAGGTTCTTTTTTCGTGTTTTCAGTTGTTAACACTCGTGAAAACTTTACGGAGTTTATCACGTTAACGTATTCCGAATTCTACGATTGAACCCACTGCCACTGATATATGGCCGTGAGACTCCCTGGAACCAAATTGAATAAATTCCGGCGCGTTACCATAGACCCAGAACAGTCTTGACTTGGCGGTCTTGCTCGATGAGTTCGTACCCCTCAGCCACGAATGAGTAGGAGATGGTGGAGGCGAACAGTTTGATTTCTTCACCAAGGGAGGTATGCGGGCGGTTTGGCAGCGGGGGTGGGTGCATACCCAACTAAACCAAATTACGGGGCATTGTATTTCCCCTACTGAACCGGCATCACTACGAGTTGTTGTTAGGGATGTTTAATTAGTTTGCGATAAGCCACCTGGTGGAATTAAAGCCAAAAAGTGGTTTTTTCGCGGTTCGTACAGCGACATTTCTGGTTAGACCGGAAGGATTTCAACTGTGGTACGAACCTTTGTCGTGGTCTGGATGTCTGAAGTGACGAAACCTTTCAGAATCGAGACGGATTTGGCCGAGTTCAGCTTTACAAATTGTCATTTGTTTCGCTTTGTTTCCCTCCTGTTACGTTCTTTTTCAACACGTAGCACGTATTAATTACGTTCTTTTTCAACACACAGCACGTATTAAGTTTATATTTACAAAATATAAATTTTTTAATAACGTTTATGTGAACGTCTGTCCGTCTTTTGTCAAGGACAGTACCCCGTCATACTGTGACGTTTTTTACAGCCCGGGTTTTGAACGAGTCGTTTGATGTTGATAATATCGATCACGCAATTGTCCATCATAAAATTAAAATTACGTCCCCGAATAATACGAGACGTTCGAATTCACAATAGAATATCTTCATGCTTGATCTTGCGGGATTACGTGAAATTTATCAATTCGACGTTGATATTCGCTTTGCCATATAATTAAATTCTGCGCTGATGATTAATGGAAATATAACGCTTGAGAAAAAACGCTTACGGGGTCTTCTGTGTTCGGTATTGGAAATGTACAGTCCAAATAAAAACACCTGGGGGTTGCGTCCCCAGTTTTTCTCTGATAACAAATAAAGGAAAAAAACGTAGATTTACTACACAATCACGTCTGTCATTACAATACGTAAAAGTTCAAACAAAATCTTTATGTAATATATCAAACAAAAGAACATCCACATTATATTTTATTATATATAATATAATAATAGTATTATTTAAAAAATATTAGTATATATGCAAAGCATTACTCAAAAATACTAAAAACAGAAAATGCGTCCTAAAAAATACACCTTATCGTTAGTTGTGTGAAATAAAGGTAATAGAAAATAAAAATGAAATGGAAGCTTTTCTTTTTTTCTGTTTTTCCACTAACCTCAAATTCTTTATAAGACAGAAAAAAAAAGAGGAAGCTTGGTGAACGTTGGTTGATTTACTGCGCAATGCATTCTTGTTTGTGGGCAGAAATAAATTCTTTTGAAAGTACAGAGTACTGTAAGTTTGTAAGGATGATAAAACCTTTACGTTGTTGCAGGACAACTTCAATACACTTCTATGAATGAAAGATACCATGACTGATATGTTGCCATTTCTGAGGTTTTCCATTTCCAAGAACATCAATTGCATTAACTCCATCGTCATTAACAATAGAAAGGGGATTACATGGTAATTGTTCCAAAGCTATGTGTCGATGTCGAAACCTGCATACGATCAGCAAAAAATACGATATCGTGTGCTGAGTATGCTTCATAGGCGTTTTTCGTTCCCAATGCGTATAAAAAACGGATTTCTTTTAGGTTTAACATTACGACGTCGTGGTAAAGACATATTTGTGCGTTTTCTGTTGTTCGCATTGTCATATTACACGAATAAGATTCAGACTTCATTGTTATAATTATTATTTTATGGTAGGTTATTATTAAGGAATACTTAATTGTCCGCAGTATATTTGCCTAACGACTTTTGGGCTCTCGAAAATAAATTTTCAATTAACATCTTCTTGATTTTATTTTTTATTTGATTACATTTATTTTGCGTGTTTTCTTACGTGTGCTTCGGAAAATGTGTAGTCTAGTAAAAAAGTTGCTCTCGAACGTCGGTAATTTTACTCGCATTGCTGTACAATGAGCCTGGGGGGGGGGGCTTTGGTAGCGGTAGTCTGGCCAATAAGATTCCCGCCTGCCTAACAGAACTCAGTAGTCAGACCTATGAATATTATTATTACGATATATTTTTTATCGAAATAAAAGTGGGCGGGGGGCTTGGGTCGAATGTCGGGAGGCTCCGCCTTCTTTTCCGATCGGGTTAAAGTCTGCCGCGACATCCTCACACGGTACGTCGTTCGACGTCCTCGTCGAAATAGATTACGGGACTGTAATTTAGCAGGGTTTACACAACGCAAACAGAATACGAAAGTCACACAAGTGTAAATGATTTTATTGGTTTTCGTACTCGAATTTTGGTATACACAAAACACATTTTGAAAAGATTCGACTCTTAATTCAGTCAGCCTCTCTGCAACACACATGGCCTGCTCCAAAGTAGTTCTTTTTCTTTGTTCACTATCTTCGTCGGACACTCCACCTTGCTATTCTGCTTTTTGTTGTTGTTCTTTGGCCGCTTTCCGCTTATAAAATTGCCGTTGTTTCCGGGCATGTGCGAGACGTAATTTGAGACCAGATATTTCGAGGTTTTTCCCGATTAACTTATTCTTCAGTTCTTCGATGATATCATTTTTGTTGTTGCCTCGTAGTACGGATTTATGTTTATGTTTTCTATTATTCACTCAACTATAATATTCTTGACGAGTTGTTTTTACTCCAAATCAATCTTCAGTTACGTCGTATTTCATAAGTACCGTTTCGTTGTTTATCTTTCTTTTTTATTTGAGTAAAATTTTTGCATGAGCATTTAGTACATAATAAGCTCAGTGTCTTTTTGAGGATATTGTTTAGAAGCTTTGTCAGTGCGGGATTTCTTCGGGTTTAGAACATGTAGTTCGACTTGCGAATTACGTTTTCAAAAGCTTTGACCAAGTAAGTTGTTACAAACATCAATCTTATTTCGCCAGATGCTGATGTCTTTTTTACGTTATCGAATTTTGAGATATCGCACTCTTTATTCCTGCCGATATCGCACTTTGTTAAAACCTGTCATTCGGTTTATAAATTACGCGTTCGTACGACAATTTCCCACACAGAATTATTTTTATTTTCTTGCGATATTGTGCAGCCTGTTTCTCCATGAAGACGGGCTGGAAAGTGATCAAGTAAGTTGTTACATACATCAATCTTATTTTGCCAGATCCTGATTTCTTGCGACTGTTTGCATAGAACGTACAGTTAAAGTCTATAAAACGGAGGCATTTCAGATAAATATAGATGACCTCAGAGCTTTTTCAAAGTAGTTATACTGGTCGACGGTGATTTGTTTGATCATCATAGCTCATTTCATCGAACCTGTCAACAACGAAAAACTGAATTTGTCGACAATGAAAACGTTGATAGTGTTTTTTACGTGTCTGCCTGGCGTTGCAAATCAATTCCTCTTTGTTCCAGTTGTTGAACGGATAAAAAACATTATGTTCAAGACGATTTTGTTGCTTTTATCTGGAATATTCAGTGCTCTTGTACGGTGCAATCCTTCTGTAGATTCCAGAAACATAAATTACCGTTCTATACGAGTGCGACTGGGCGACACATACGTCTGGCCATGACTGAAGACTGGATCGTCCAAGTACTGTTCTTCAATGTCATTTATTGTGCTAGAAAGATTTGTCTGCACGTCGAAATTTACGTATATTCTTCCATAATTTCTTTACTTAGCTTTTGAAATAATGCCATTCAATTTTGGTAATGGCCATTTATTTTTTTCCAGCCTTTTTCTCAGCTTTATCTGGAGTGTTTGGGAAAAGTAACAAAGATAAAATCAAGTATAATTTTACGTTTAAATCGATATCAAATAGTTCAGGCTACCAATTAACAACCATAAAAATACTGCCTCTTGGAAGCGCACAGAGAACAGATAATGGATAAATGGACAATTGGAATGACTAACAACTGCTTTAAACAAACACGATATGGCCAAGGAATGTAAAAAAGAGATACGGCCTTGAAACCATGGTGTTGTGTACACTCTTGCAGGTCCTTGTGGAGAGATTTTTTTAAGTTAAGATAGCGTTGAAAATTGAAGCTTAGCTTTGCCGTTGTTTTTTATTAAATGAAATTTTACGTTGTCGAATTTATAAAAGTCGCTTTCTTTATTCCTGCAGATATCGCACTTTGTTAAAACCTGTCGTTCGGCTTATAAATTACGTTTTTGAAGACGAATGTGAATAGCCAAAGGTCTTTTTCCCGCAAAAAGATTATTTTTATTTTCTTGCGATATTGTGCAGCCTGTTTCTCCATGAAGACGGGCTGAAAAGTGATCAAGTAAGTTATTGTTAGCAATGTTCTTTTTATCTTGAAGGAAAGATGCTCTGCCCGTCGAGCAAAATATTAAACCCCGCCGAAATTTGATCTCACGTGTCAAGAGAATCCGCCTTTTCCAAATCCAAATAATCGACGATTACAAAGAAATATAAATTGTATTATTATTGTGCTACGCTTTTTGTGCCTTGTTTGGATTTTTGTTGAAACATCCGTCGCAAATCAAAGTTGGTTCCCATTCTGCCAGCTTATTTTTTGTTCGATATGGATACAATCACGGACAGTTGTTACATGTCTTTGTGGAGACATTTTTTAGTTACGATAGCGTTGAAAATTGAACCTTAGCTTTTGTCGTTGTTTTTTAATAAATGAAATTTTACGTTGTCGTATTTTGAGATATCTAATTCTTTATTCCTGCAAAAAAAAAACTGTCGTTAGACTTACAAATTACGTTTTTTAAAAATAATTTTAATGTTTCTGACTTTTTTCGCTTTCGAATTTCTTTTTTTACGAGGTTTGTTTTTCGAGTTGTTGCATAGGAATAAACTTACGTCTCCGAATAGGAACAACCGTTCAGGACCTATAAAAATAACACAAACCTTTCGGAAGTTAGCCCTATTTATCGCGAACACAACTGGGTTGATGCCAATCCCTTTTCGGAAAATTAGCGCTGGATTAAAAATGTTAATTTTACGTCTCCCAGCAGAGTGAAGTGTTTTGGAGTCAACATAACTTATTATTTACGTCGTCGATCCCCATGTTGAATATAAGCTTTTTGGAAATTCGCGATAGAATAAAAACGATAATTACGTCTCCAAACAAAGTTAGTGAAGTGTTGTGGACTCTAACCTTCAATTCCGTTGCATTTTTTTTACTTGTAGACTTTTCTGAGTTAATCAAATGATCATTACTGTGTAAAATAGCCGTCTTCTGCACAGTACGAAGTCTTTTTACTATTGAAGTCAGTTCGCAATATTTGTTGTGTGGAATAGTTGCGGAGGTCTAAACAACGTTCGCGTAGTATTTATTTTACGGTTTCTGCTTCCAACGAGTCAGATAGTTTTGTTGCGAAATTCATTGTTGTTTGTTCGCAAAAATAAATTTTTTACAAGTACTGAGTACTGTAAGTTTTTAAGGATGATAAAATAAGGGTTAATGTTGAGCTATTTCTTAATCGTGGTATGCATTTTACGGTAGCGTCTTCCGCTTTTTGTTGGTAATAATTATTTAAAATAACAAAGTTCTTCATAGCATTGTAAATTTGCCCGTTCGTCCTCTACGGATCATCGGATGATTGTGTAGAAATCGTTGTCGGTTTGGCGCCTGCAGGCTTTTCTTACCCCCTAGAAGCGTCTGTTGTCGAAGCAAAATTGGGTTCCATTTTGCCAGTAGGTGCTTCGATATTAATAAAATTACGTCTCCAAATACAAAACACCATCGAGGACCAAAAAAGAAAAATTCGCACTTCTTTATTAGTCTCTGGTGTCTTCCAAATTGTCGTATTGCAGGACAAAGATTACGGCTTGTAATGATCCAGAAACGTCTTGGGCCTCGGGTAATTAGCTTATATTTTGCAGCAACTTTTGTTGCAATTTATGCAAATTTGCGTTAAAAATTTCTTTTTTTATAGGATTATTACGGGCAAGTTTGTTCCCTTGTTAAAACTTACATTATCTAGAAGAAGTTCACACTGCGGCTAAGCTTTTTTCCCGTAACAGAGATAATAAACAATGGGTGGCCCGGTCACTCGACACTTTGCTAATAAAGTCTTTCTGTCTGATGGTCCTATTTTTTGTCAAATTCAATACAATGAACGGAGACGTGTAAGAGAAACACATAATATCACCATAATATAAACGATTACTAAATTCCAATCCAATGGATTGCCAAAACGCACGTAAAACATAAAATACGCCTTAGCGGACTATGGGATTTTATGACGCTATGATTTTTTTGTAATATTCCTGTATTTTCTTCAGACATTTTTGGTGCAGGTGTTGTGGCATAAAAGGGCACATCATTTAGGACATTAAAGATCCGTCCGCTGACAACGACGGCCGACCGCGTCTCTCGGTTCGAACAATCCGAAAAATTCGAATTGTTCGAACCGCAGGTATACCCGGCGCGGTCCATTTTCATTTTGCAAACAACAACAGCCAGGATCTTTATGTCCTCATCAATTCCAGGTTTTTCCATGACATGACCTTTGGTCATGAAATCGCAAGATTTCCGTTGGAAATAATTTTCCGTAATAGGTGGTTACAATTTTTAAATTATTTAAAATAATATTTAGAAATAATTGATAACATTTTTGAAAACAAAAATATTCTTATCGCCCGAATGGCTTTCATAGTATAAATGTAATATATTCGTAATATATGAATATTAGAAATTTATAAAAGTTAATATATTGGTAAAAATAAATGAGAAAAAAATTAAAATATATATAAAATATAAAAAAATTTAATAAAAATTATACTTGAATATATAAATTTATTAAAAAATATGTAAAATTAAATCAGCTTTACATAAATCTACTAACAGCGTACAGCAAAAATCAAAATTCCGATGAATAATCAAAAATCCCAAAGCAAAACCGAAAAAATTAAAATCCCCTCCAAAAAATGCTTGTTTTTTGTCCGTTCGAAAAAAGCGAGTAAAAAAGGAACGCTTCTCCCGCTCTTTCTGCTCATTTCGGGCCTCAAAGAGAGGGCGAAAAAATGGACATCCACGCGTAAGAGACAGAGAAAAAAATTCAAATCATTACGGACATGAGGTTTAATATACGAAGCTTAATAAGGTAAATAATAATTGAAATAAACATTTTTAAAAAAAGATAATTTTTTTCCTGGATCAGACAAGATTTACGTAAGTAAAAATTGGTCTTTTGAGTTGAAACGCGGGGTGGGTTTCCGGTCTCTGTAGACCGCGGCGGATCTTGCTCTGAAGTATCAGAACCTACACGGCGTAGTGCAGTGGAGGGACAATGAAAACCCACAATATATGATCAATATTTTATCTCGACCTCGGCTAACACAAAAACACAATAAACAAAACACAGTAGTACTACAAAAAATGACCTAGAGATTATCCTCTGGTTGGACGTCCTGGTAGAGGCGTTGATGCTGGCTTATACAGTGCTTGATCCCGGGCGGAGCGCCCAGTGATTTCGAGGCCGTTCCCATGTGCTCTGTACGCATCCGTGGTGGTTTGGAGTGGCCGCTAATTATAGAGAATTATGGAGCTTCCAGAACCTTCCAAAAGGTTCTGCCCTCAGGCATCCTCGCAGGTGACTCACTGGGTATGAGTCCTCGGTGTCCTTTTTGACTCCTGTAGTTTGTAGCGCCAAAAATAACCGGCCAAAATTAGCGCCTCGAATCATTGAAGAGGAGCGCGGATCAGGGTTCAAAACCAGCAAAAATACTCCTCAAGACATTCAATGTCTTACTGCCGAAGTCGCAGTACCCCACGCATTGTTAATTCCTTATAATGAACCGCTCAAAACCCCCGAAAAGAGGCACCTGGATCAACTTAAGCCATTCCGGAGCACCATCGGGCCCCCTCAGACAGCCCGATCCGAGTCTCCGAGCAACGCACTGAAGCCCTCTATTCCGGCGCATGGTTATAACCTGAGGCGCAAGTAACGCTCTCAAATCCGGGCCTCCAATCAATAGGGAACCAGCTGCTTCAAAAGGTGACTGACAGTCTTTCTCTGACATCAAGTACTCTTCGTTCAGCAACGGCGGAGTGCAAACCTATGCATAACGTAAATTTTCTGGTTCGAATGTACAGCAAAGTGATGACTAATTTGTTGAACAGCCTAATCAACTTCCATCCGACTCGATGCTCATAAAAATCCTCAGCACGTAAATCAAACCTACGAGGGCAACAGTATTTATTGGCAAAATTTCTGGCGGAAAATACTTCAAGTCCACATCAAATCACTCGAATTTGATAACCACGATATCAACCCCCCAAATTGAGGCACAATTTTTCTTTTTGATTAACCAGAGGTTATTCTTGGAGTTTTCATCTTTTTGAACCACTAGATTGGCGTCTTTTTTGAACTGTGATCTGCCACTGTAATATGATTGCTGTGCGTTATTAGTAAATGTGCTTATCATCTTGAAGACCCATGAGTTACATACCAGTCTTTTTTGGAACCAATACACATCATGGATGCCTATTCTCATGTGGTCGCACTCATATGGTTGTCTGTGTCGATGTCATGGACAACTCGTTGTTCAACAGCAATCGACTCGAACACTAAAAATAAGTAAATTAAGCAATCGACTCGAACACTAAAAATAAGTAAATACGATTTATCTCGTGCAATCAAGGTACTCAAAAAAAACAGTAAGACAGGCTAGCAAAAGAGCTCGAGTGGTTTCGCCGTGATTTCATCAGGGCCTGCATAATGCCCTCATTTGCATCCGGGTGATTGACAGGTTAATGTGGGAAGTAATGGGTTTCTTACTTCTTAAATTACGTCCAATGCCTTCATGTACGATGTTACTTCTTCCGAAGGTTATTTATACAATGAAACCATTTCAATTTTTTGCGCAGTAATTGCCGCATCAGACAGACTGGAAACTCAATGGCGTCGGGGAGTAATACAATCGTCAATAGGACAGAAATTCTGATGACACAGATCTTAAGACTGTTAGTGCTATGGGCTGATAAGCCGATGGAATACGTTGGAATGTATATAGATAAAAATATTGGAAATATTGGGCTTTGTACTTGCCCATAAATCACGATCTTCTGGTTTCCAGCACCCCTTAACAAAACATTTTGTTTCATGAACGTATTAGGGCAGGTGTATATGACCTGTATAATCTCCTGTCTTACGTTCATTTCCTTTGTTCATTCAGACTTCTATTTTACAATAATTTTAATAATAAAGCACTCATACCACTGCCTAACCAGTAATTCAATAAAGATTATATTGACATCTTCACTATTTATGAAATAAACGGCTACATGAAATTGCTATAACAATAGCATACGAATACATTTACATATAACACATTACGTTTGTTCTTCCAGAGGTGTAAACCGTACTGTTGGCTCAGGTTCATTCGACTGCGGTCTTCTTGAAAATCTTCTTCTTCTATTTTCTACCCTAGGCGGTCGGTTTTCGAGAAACCTTTCTTGCCGAAGGCGATATGCTTGTTGTGCGTTACCTGTAAGACAGTTTACGTGACGTACCTTTTTCGAAGAAAATATGCGAAAATCAGTTATCTTCGAAGGGGCCAAACGCATTGTCAGTATGAAGTTGTCGTCTGGGCTAGCAAATGCCCATTTAAATTACGCGTCCGCGTTTTACAATTGCAACGAAACGACTCACTTACTAGCAAATTTGTAAACATCAAATAACTAAAAAACGATTCAGCTCACGATCTCTTAGCGGTCGAAAAAAGATTGATAATGGGGTTATAACTTTACGTGACATGAGTAGCCTCTCTTGCCGAATAGTACATACTTCAAAAATAACAAAAAATAAAGAGCCATTTTATCGTTCATGCTATGCTTAATGTGCTCTATTTGCAAGGGTGGAGTTATTTTACTGCTTTCCCTGTAAGGCCATGACATGAGTTGTTTGTCTACAGGTTTATTGATATCTCAAGAATTTCTTAGAATGCATACAATACAATAACATTAAGTAAAATGCTAATAAGACAACAATTTAACCTATGAATCTTTTAGAATATAGTGTCATCCTTCTTTTCAGAAATAAACGCAACAGTAAAAACGTTAATTTTACGTCTCCTAACAGCGTCCAATGTTTTGGAGGACTTTAACTACCAACTGTGTCGCATTTCTTGTTATCCTTAATCATTTCACATGGCCAATAAAATCAAAATTTTCATACAAAATAGCAGTCGTATGTGCCGAAACAAAACTCTTTCTCAAATTGAATACAAAAGTTTAAGCTGAATCACTTCACCGGACGACGCACGTGAACGATGCAACATACATTTTTGCACGCAATGATCCGCTCAGTCCAACTATTTATTACGTTTTTGATAGCGCATATTAATTAGCTTATATTTTGCAGCAACTTTTGTCGCAATTTATGCAAATTTGCGTTAAAAATTTATTTTTTTATAGGATTATTACGGGCAAGTTTGTTCCCTTGTTAAAACTTACATTATCTAGAAGAAGTTCACACTGCGGCTAAGCTTTTTTCCCGTAACAGAGATAATAAACAATGGGTGGCCCGGTCACTCGATACTTTGCTAATAATGTCTTTCTGTCTGATGGTCCTATTTTTTGTCATGATGTATTGCAAAATCCTGTCATCGAAGTCTGCACCTCCGGCCGCCGCACTTACGAACTCTTCTCGCGCTTTCATGACACCTTGAGCGAACAAAGTTCCCGATGTCACGATAAAGATGCGATCTGTATGTGCTCTGGCGACATCGTTGAGGGTAGCTGAAGAACACGGTTTCCTTTGCCCAAACCAATTTGTGGGTCTGACCATCATACTCAACACAACTCGATCATCGTCTGGGCTGATGTAAGTGCGTGAAGATCGAACTTTGATCATCGATGGGGTACTTGACCGGGCCAACGCTCGAGCGTGGATTTCTAGGAAATCACACCCGAGAAACTGCTCATTTCTGGGTCTTGGCTTATTCTTACGTCAAAACCGAATAGCCAGTCAGGACACGATCCGACATCAGGAGGGACGAGGGGTGGACGCGCGTCATTCGGATAGAGATTCGCCCACATCCAACACGCGTCGCCTCGATCGAAAAGAATTCATCTTCATCCATTACGAAGTATTCACCTTCGTCCATTATGTAGGGCATGCTCAAGTCGAACATGAGAATACCAAACAAAGCCTCGGTTCTGCGTTGTCGCATAATTCGCGCCATATGCTTGGGGCTGTAGTCATACAGCGTGTGCAAGGCCACGATGGCTGCGGCCCTGTGGTGGCAACTGTCGTCCGAATTTTATTTTAATCTGAGTATCAGTTTATTTACGGGAAGTCCGTAAATAAACTGATATTTAATATTAAAAATTATATTTAAATATATGCGTATTATATGGAGGTTCAGAATGTTTAAAACGTATAATATCAGTAAGTATACATACGTGTGTATAAGCATATATAATAATAAGCAAAAAAATTATAAAAACATCAATTCAAATCGCCTTGATTTACTATATGCGTACATTGAAAAACTTGTTCAAAGTTTCAAAATTTTATTAATCTAGTGTCAAATATGAATTTTATGCAAATTTTGAATTAATAAAATATCTAAAATCTTCCCAAAAAGCGAAACAAAAATCGAACAGGATAAGATCCCCTCGAAAACAGTCCCTGTTTTTTGCTCGTTCAAAAAAAGAGCGTGTAAAAAAAGAACGCTTTTCCCGCTCTTTCTGCGGGTTTTGGACCTCAAGGAGAGCGAGAAAAACACAAACGAACGCCAAAACAGAAAAAGTGATGGGCGTGTTTTCGACTAAAGCCTTCACAAAAATGGTTACAGCACGAGTTTGGCATCGATACTACTTTTGTACGTATTTAAAAAATCCCAAAATATCCCCGAAAGATGGTAAATTTATATTACGAGTTTAAAATTTACAGTACGTGTAATATGTTTGGTTCTAAATAGGCGTAAAGTGCCCTTGTGCTATCCTCAATTTATCCAGCAGGCAGGCAATGAATGTACTGTACGCAGAGCCCCCATTGTTCTATTTTGGGCACTAACCCCATGATTCTTTTCATCTGGGGGATCTTCTCCACAATCAACCGGCCCCTGGCTTATGATGAGCATTCCATCTCGTTTTTCACGAAGCCTATTGGCACCACGATGTGCGTTAACCAATACGTTGTAGAGAGTCCAGTGGCGTGTCGGCTAGAGCTAGACGGGCTTGAAACTCAATGGCGTCGGGGAGTATCTTCCGGGGTAAGCCGGGCTCGCAGCGGAAGATTGTTGATCTTGATGTAAAAAGTGGGTTCGTAGTAAACGCTATCACTATGTGCGCTTTGATTCAGGCCAACGTTTTCCAGGGTCTGACGAAAAATTTTTGACAATATGATTTACCGTTTTTATTTGGTTGTCTTTGCCATAGTAAACGACAGAGTTTTGGCTAACACTGAACCAAGCAATTGTCCAATGGTTCGATCTACGTATTGGAAGGATGACGTATTTGCCTTATTTTCCTTGTGGACAAAAGTTTCAATTACGACAATCTCATTGCTTGCAAACCAAACGCGATCCCTTCTCGAGGTCTTCTCCTGTGTCTCTTTCCACATACTTACGGTAGTTCTTCGCACTATGGTGTGGTCGTTTTCTCGTTAGCATTGAATAGCCTGGTCTGAAAACAAAAACACAAAGGAAACTTTACGTCGATAATTTGCCATTTTTGAGAGTGGGCAGAATTATCTCGGGGCCAGCTGCGTCGATCGCGCGAACTTGCAGATCCCAAACCTCTGCTCGATAGCATACGTTTTTCTCTCGGTATTTTGTGGCAATGTAAATGGAAACTAAACCTGATTCCCTTTTAATCGCCACTTAGACGCTATTCAAATCACCCTACTTACGTCAAAAGCATCCATGAATCCTTTCATTAAGTGAGGAGGAGACCCCTCATAGGTTGTCACCATTGCTTTAAGCACGTTTTTGAGCTTGTTAGTTGCATCGTCCTTGTTGCTCTGGGGACCTTCTCCAGATATTACGTTGAAATATTTCTCAAAAAAGTTTTTATAGAGGGCCCGTAGATGCTCAAGACTTCTGCGGTCTTTTCCATACTCTAGGAAATGTTTTGCACTTAAAGAACTAAAAACTAAAAAAAATATTTTACCTGTTATATTTAAAATTCTTTTTTATAAATAAGTATACATTACACGCCGTCGTTCGCGATTTGGGCAGAAAAACAACAACAACAACAATGAGGACTTTGAACTGAAACCCCCTACCTCTTCTTCTACCCTAAATGGCTTTGGCTCCCAAAGCAGTCTTCTTGACTAAATGTAAAACAATTTGATTTCTTCCATGTTGTTCTCTTAGAAAAAAAGACACTTTTAATATACCATCGTGCTGAAATTTTAAAAAAATAAACTTTATAATTTTACACGAAAAATACTTTATTGAGTGAGAAACAAGAACAAGAACAATTTTTACCTGTTATATTTACGGCCAATCCATAGAAATTGGTATTTAATATTAAAAATTACAATTCTTTTTTATAAATAAGCATGCATTATATGAATCGTTTACGTCAGTTATGTCCAGGTAGAAAAAGTTGGAGCAGAGTAAAAATATTTGAAATTTTTGCCTTTATGACAAAAAAACATTTAAATTTCAATAGTTAATGAATACTTGCCCTTCTTAGGCATACCACGAGTCATTCATTTATAAGTTTATTGGGTGTACAATAACTTGTCAAATACAATGCATTAACTATTATTATACCGAAGAGGGTCATATACATAGATTGATTACAATACAAAGGGGAAGAATTGCTTAGATACTATAACACGACACTACCTAATAGGCCTACTCCTATATGGAGGGGCACCCGGCTCCTAGCCTCATCAAAGGCACCTACGACCCTTTCGAGTCAAGGCGTGTCTATATGATATGTCGCGCTGCTATTGAACACATACAACTCAATTAAATTTTTATATTTCTTATATATAATATTATATCAAATTTTATGTATTTACAAAGAAAAATATTATTATATTTGAAATATATAAGGCGCGTGCGTTCTACATCTCAGCGGGCCCCCTCGCAGAAAACCCGCATTTCTTGTCTGTAGGCCCTCTAGACAAGAAATGCGCATTTTCTGTCTAAAATAGAGACAAAATTTGCAAAACTTGTCTGAGATAACAGACGAAGAGCCTGGCTGTTAGCCTGGACGAAAACTTCAAAATGTTGTCTGGACTCCAGACAAGAAACGAGGAATCCTGTCTGGTAGTCAGACAAACTTTTTTGTCTGACGAGAAACGGAAAATCCTGTAAAAAATCTTTATCCACAAAAAGTTTCGATTCTCCTCTCTGTGGGACTTGCTAGTTGCATTTTACAGCCCAAGTTCTACGACGGAACTTGTCCGAACACCGAAACCCAAGGCAAACGACCGTCGTCGCTGACCCCGATCACGGTGAAGGACATCCTTCGCCTTGGAACTTCGGAGTTCCTTGAGACTGTTTTTGTTTCTGGCCGAAAAGCCGAACACCAACAAATTCGAAAAAAAAATTGCCCGCTCAAGCAAAGAAAACTTTCTCGCTCAGGAAAGAAATGGGTTCCTCTCATGAGCGAGAAACCCAGAGCCGAGAAACGCAGAGAAAAAACAAAAACGCACGCAAAAAGCGAGAGGGCACTATGAACGCGATTTTTTCTCTGCGTTTCTCGCTCATGAGAGGAACCCATTTGTTTTCTGAGCGAGAAAGTTTCCTTTCGCCATGCGAGCAAAGCGTTCTTGGAGTTTCGTGCTCTTTGGCCTTTCGGCCAGAAGTGAAATCAGTCTCGAGGAACGCAGAAGTTCCAAGGCGAAGGATGTCCTTCATCGTGATCGGGGTCAGCGACGACGGTCGTTAGCCTTGGGTTTCGGTGTTCGGACAGATGCGCCGAAGAACTTGTGGTCTGACGTGCAACAAGGTAGTCCCAGGAAAGAAGCGCGATGAAAGTTTTTTTGTAGACGAAATTATGCATTTCTAGCCAGACAAAGTTTTCTTGTCTGGATACCAGACAGGATTTCGCATTTCTTGTCTGAAGTCCAGACAAAAAAATTGTCTGCTTCCCAGACAACTTTTGCGTACTTCTTGTCTGGCTTTGGACAAGAATCGCCAATTCTCGTCTGGACCGAAAATAATTTGGACGGAAAACTGCAATTCTTGTCTAGAGGGCCCACAGACAAGAAATGCGGGTTTTCTGCGAGGAGGCCCGCTGAGATGTAGAACGCACGCGCCTTATATTTAATCATTAAAATCGACAATGAAAAATATATCAAGAATATATGGTAAATGGTATATATCATATATGTAATATGAAAATTTAAGAAAAATTTCAAAAAATATATCAACACAACAAATAAATAAAGCCATCTCGCGTTATTCATCGAGGCCTCTCTGCTATGAGCGCCTCTAAAAAATAACGCGGAATAGCAGAAAGTTGCATAACTTTCGGAAAGATTTAGAAGAGCCGAGTCATATATCAACGCCTCGCGTATTATTAATTGCGTAAAGTATAAAAACAAAAGGGCCTTCGGATTGTCTGAATTCTTTATTGTAATTACACATCAGGCACTTTTATATGGAATAAATAGACGAAAACGTATATTTTGACGAGAAATCGGGGACATCGGTGGGGCTTCTTCGTTCCGTGAGCCGATGCTGGCTTGAACGCAGTGGAAGCGTTCTGGGGTCATGATCCAAAGGTATTTCTCTGCACTCCTGCCAAATTCGCTCAGTTCGGGGAGTTCGGAGTTGGCGGATCGCTCGGCTCTGAAAACAGGAAAATAAGAATAATTTCTGAGCAAAAAAAGATTATAATCCGGTTCCGCAAGCCCTGCGGCCACAAAATCAGCCACCGTGTTGAAAGGGGTCAGGCGTCGAGTACGAAAAATCCACTTCTCGGTTTTATATTATTGCCCTGAAACGCTTGTTGTGCATTGTTTGTAAACGCCATGCAGTCTTCACAAATGGTGATGATTTGCCTGCATCATTTCTCTATGACTTAATCGAAATGAACAATTTATGGATAACTCTACACCCAGATGGTTGCTTACTTTTCTCTTTTCTTATCCAAACTCGTGGATTTGTCATTTTTATCTCAGCAAGCTTTACGAAGAATACTCCACAGTTGTATCCATCCTATTAAGTTATTGGATTCGTTTTTATGCGTTTGAATTACGACGAAAAATTTTTGACAATATGATTTACGTTTTATTTGGTTGTCTTTGCTGTCATAGTAAACGAGTTTTTGCTAACAGTGAACCAAGCAATTGTCCAATGGTTCGATCTACGTATTGGAAGGATGACGTATTTGGCTTATTTTCCTTGTGGACCAAAGTTTCAGTTACGACAATCTCATTGCTTGCAAACCAAACGCGATCCCTTCTCGAGGTCTTCTCCTGTGTCTCTTTCCACATACTTACGGTAGTTCTTCGCACTATGGTGTGGTCGTTTTCTCGTTAGCATTGAATAGCCTGGTCTGAAAACAAAAACACAAAGGAAACTTTACGTCGATAATTTGCCATTCTTGATAGTGGGCAGAATTATCTCGGGGCCAGCTGCGTCAATCGCGCAAACTTGCAGATGGCCATGCTATAAATACAAACGACCTTGAGCAGTTGTTTGGCAAAACAAGAGATCAAGAACTGCAGAAATTGGAAAAACTCTTGAGTATCATTACGGAACATAGCCGCTTACTATCTTCCTCAATTGCGCTGCCCACCATAAGCTATATGAGAATTGGATGAATGCAAAACGGCATTTAGACTTAACCGGGCGGCGACTTGCGTAGTCTTTGTACTTTTAAAAATTACGGCTATGTGGTACAGAATGTTGTAGTTGCTCGTATATATGTGATCATGACAACATTCTCGATTACGACCGGTTGTATTCGTTGAATATATAGAAATAGGTTCCAGGAAATTGTGAAATGCGAAAATTTTTAATTTTACGCCATTTCTCATCAGCATGGTTAATGGTAGTACGGCGAATCGTTGTAAAACCAATATTTTCATGATCTTTTAGCGTTGACGACAGGTAACCTTGCCGTTGAACTTATGTGTGAATCATATTTTTAGTTCAGTTTTGCGGGGTTTTGATGCAAAGTTGAACTTTTGAAGTTTACTTTATACACATTGCTGTTTCAACATAATGTTTGACTTCAGCCTAATCGTGCTATGATAGTTGACGGAAATATATTGTACATGATACGTTATCCTGCACATGTTGCCAATTACGCATGGTTCACATATGACATGTCCACATTGCTCGATAGTTAAAGGGTATATTCTCACTCGTTTTTTACGCAAAGGATTTCATTAAATTTGGCTGCGGATTTCATTTAAATTTGGCTGTGTGTTTGTGGTGCCTTGTCCTCGAATTTCATCCACTCTTCCTTTACAAGACCTTTGATAAGGGGTGATGTCCTGCCGTTTACGTCGACTTCTACATGTAGACAATGCGGAATAACCGTTAAAGCCTTTAAAATTTTTCGTTTGTATCGTTTTTACTTTCATTACCTTTGCGGCATTTTTTATGGTTTTGATAAACATTTTAATTAATGAAGTGACCTTACATACTAACGCCTTAACGAGCTACCTTCAGGTTAATATACTCGGCCATACCTAAACTCTTCAGCGAGACCGCCCTATCATATACAAACCTGACATTTTTCTCAAAAGGTCTAACCATTTCGAGTGTAAGCCACCGCTGTTGAATATTTTCCAACGTATTACTATCACAAATTTAAAAGCATAATGTATTACACAGAAACCCTTTCTATTTTGACGTAAGAAAAAAATAGTCATAATATTAGAGTTATATTATATTATTATAGTAATATATATAAATGAGTATATAAATCAAACCAATCAGATATATTTTAATACTATATATCAAAAAAAACTTATTATATTATATTACATAAAATTAACATAAATAAAAAAACGAGAGACGCGGTTTAAATCAAAATTAAAAGATTCTATTATAACCTCAAAAAAATTAAACTTCTAATTTCACCCAAAAAAAGTTACATAATTTTTTTAGACATCTTTTTTCTATACTCCCGGACATATCTCTCTGACCACCCTTTAGCTGGGCTGTTAATTGAGCTACATGTTCCAAATTTTAACTGCCCTTTCAAGAAGAGGTGCAAAACATTTGGTAAAACGGAATTTTCCATCCTTGCACTTTAAGGGCAGTTTTTTCGACATTTTCAAAAAAAGGGTGGACAAAATTTTCTGATCACTTAGGTAAATTGTTCGCAACTGGGGAAAAATGTTTGCCACGGGGCTAAAACTGCTTATACTGCATAGCACAGACGTACCGCATATATTTACGGCAAAAAATCGAGGAGTAGTAACATACGTCGCAAGAGGTTGTGCATTCTGCGCAATACGCGATTTTGTTAGTATACGACGGCTCGAGGTGGGCTAGAAGGATAAAAAACGCACAGGATTATGTAATTGATCACACATGGTCAATCTCCGTCCATAATACCGAGCGATGTTAAGGATTTCATCAAGCATGTGCAAAATCATTACAAAACTGACCAGCCGGCCGGACTTTAGCGGCCTGTAACTTTTTCAGAATCAGCCCAAACTGGTTGAAATTAAACACGGCTTAGCCCTACACAATGAAGAACAAAGTTATATTAGTGCTGACCCGGCCTCATGAAATTTCGGGGTGAAATTACGCGATAACGCAAACTTGAGGATTTTTTGGCCATTTTGTAATTACAAGATCGGAAAAGTTGTGTTTTTTTGGACTTTTGCGTTAGTGCGCGCACAAAACGCGAAGATAACGGGAGATTGCTATCCCACGTTCTTCAGTATTCACCAAAGAGTATTGTAGGGGATTTCTAGACTGATTTAATAAAAACGCCAGCGGTTATGATCAATAATTCAGAGATCAGCTACTCCTAGGTGATTTGCTTAAGGCGTTAATGGCATATTTCACATTGCAGGGTAGTAAGATCTTGTATCACTACCTCCAATGAGTTCCTTATTACCTTTTCTGAAACAAAAAAGTCGTCCTTGCCGCATAGGGCGTGATTTTAAAGAGAAAAAGAGCGCTGCAAGAATACGAGTTGCTTGAGGGCACACGCCGACTTTGGTGGTAAAAAGCATACCCATCCTCCTTGTAGGTCCCTTAATAGTGTTCAAAGATAACTGAACCATATCGCTTATTCAAGGAGACTGAGAAAACTTTAGTTATTTTAGGTGATCAGAAAGTTTTGTCCACCGATTTTTGAAAAAACCTTCATAACTCGCCTAAGGACAGAGGCACGAAAAACAATTTTATGTGGCACATTCTGCCTGCCATGACTAGTATACATGCCAAGTTTCAAAGCGATTGCGTTATATTGACTTGAGATATGGGTGGTCAGAAATTTATGTCCGGGAGTATATTTCCCCATCAGTTGCCGTTAAAAAAAGAACGGAAAAAGAATGGCAACTCTTTTTTTCTTCTTCCCCCTTCGTTTATCCTTCACATAACAGAAAATACGCAGAAAAACATTAGGCTTGGTTTATTGCGCAAAGGTAATAAGGCAGTAAGCGCTAACGTTTTTTTCTGTGATTGATTTACCTATAAGCAGAAATTTTTTTACGGCGAATTGAAGATGTTTTCAATTCGCCGTAAAAAAGTTTCGGTGGTTACTGCCCTGCCCAAAAGCTCCAGAACCTCCGGAATTTGTAACTGAAACAGAATTAAGCACGAATCTTGTTTTTATCTTTGTGTATGTCGATGAAAATGGGGATCTCGCCCTTTTCATAGGGACTTCATCCAAGATCCGCGCCCAAGGATCCACTAGGCTGCGTTCCAGTCCCGCATAAAATTCCCAATCGTCACCTGAGATTATGAAGTGCGAAGAAGCAAAAAAAGGGCGACAAACCAAGCACAGAATTATCTTACCAAGTGAAGCGGCAACGAGAAGAGTTTCGAGAAGCCATCGATGACAACGACCATGGTGATAACATAATCCGCCATTTGCATCGTGCAATGAAAAATTAAAACAGAAATGCGTTAAGTTTTAAGGCAGAGTCGACTCATTTGATCGAATGAGACACGTCTCACCCGGTCTCCACCGCGAAGATGAAGGTTCTTCCGAAACACTGATCCCTCGGCCGCATTCAATTCTTCCGAAACCGGAAACCCACCCCGCGTTTTAACTATACGAAGCATTGCAGGTTAGGCTGAAGGTTCAAATTTTAAATTCCTCCTCG